TTTTATGATAACTACTAAACAAACGGATATGTTCCTTTTCTAAAACCTTTGACTGGTCCCTTTTGACCAATTTATAAACCCATGTTCATCTTTTTCTTTCTTGTTTTGTTGTCTCTTTTTTTTTTCTCTCAACTTTATAATTCCTTAATTTATGGATTTAGCGTCGGTCCGTAGGGAAAAAAACAATGTTGAGAGGTTCTATTTTCGGTTCATGGCGGTAAATGTTTTATTTTTAATTTTGTTTTTGTAAAAAGCCATAATTCAAAAATATTGTCGGAGTGATCATATTCTTCATATCAACCTTTATTTTCATTTTTTTAGTGGTTTAGCATTGAGTTTGACGTCTTGTGCATTCAAGAATTTTACCCCGGGTGTAATCATAGTCTCTCCTACAGATTTTTACGTGGGATGTCCTTTCAAAAGATTTTCTAATTTTTAACTATATATAAACTACATAAACAAAAACTAGGTATCATATTTATCCCAAAATATTCCAATCTCCAAAATAAGTTGTTTAATTTAGAGTTATACATAGGATATTTAAGATTAGAATACATAAATACCAGGATAAGCTGAAACACTAGTAATACTTTTTAAAAAATATATTTAGCATTAAAACGCATACAAGGCTCATGGTTCACAGAACAACAAGAGGATCTAGTGATGCCATTATGCGCTAACAAGACCTTACAAGATCCAATCCATCATTCAGTACCCGAATTAGCGTGAGACATTTTAGTACCGGGTCAATCTTGATGTTCATGATAAAACAAAGTACAAGTCTTTAATTTAGAGAAAACTCCCATAATTAGAGGTTAGATCATCAAGATTGTAACTGTCTTTGACCCGATACATAGTAAGCCTTAAAACCTTTTCCGATAGACATTCTCTAACCAGTTATACAATGTCTTTTCCGATACATAGTAAGCCTTAAAACCTTTTCCGATAGAAATTAAACTGAAAGAACAAATTCATTAAGACATTATCATCAAAACAAAAGCTATTTCCATCAATAGTCTAAATATATCGCATTTTCTCTTAAAAACTAATCAGCTTTTATTTTAACACTAAAGCTAAAACTGAAAGAAGATAGTCATCAATATACTAATATATTTCTTCTTCATATTACTTAAGCATTCAATCAAAATAAAATAAACATTCCTATTTGTCAGGGATGAATACTTTTAACAAAAAATAAATATCATGTCAGATAGAAAGTGTGGAAGCTTTCCATCCTTCGTAATGTACTTACTATATACAATAATAATAGTACAATGCATAAAATTAATATATGAGCTTGTATTATATACTAATTCCTTGGTGCCTCTTTGTCGGTAATATAATTTTAATTACTCGCTTTTTTGACAATGTTACTCGTATATTCGAACTTTATTATTCGTTTAAATATGAAATGAATGTTCGTTATACATATTCAAAGTCTCAACTGAAAGCAATCATAATAACGGTCAACGTTACACACAAATTTTTTAAACTAGCTTTGAATTAAAGTTTCAGCTTTCGGAACTTTTTATAAGTTTAACTGATCACTCCTTCTCCTTTTCTTAAAAAAAAAAAAAATCAAAAATGTTAAAAACGAATGCTGACCATTCCAAGAACATTTCAGAATACTTTATAATGAAACTTATAGCCACTTTTTAAAAACAAAATGAACTACATCTATGACAACTAGTACATTCTTTTGAAACAACAACCAAAAATCAAAGTGTCTTTTTAAAGTACTTTAGAATTCCGTTAATGCTTTTTGACATCATAAAAATCGGTTAAAAAGACACAACATATTAAGCCTTTTGTGCTAATAAAGTGGAGAATTTGGTCTTCAAATTATCCACTTTTCGAAGTTCTGTTTTTTCTTTGTTTCCTTTACAAGACTTGTAAAAAAGATTCGACTATATATGAAACTTCATGAAACCAATCTTCATACAACCTTTCAGTTTAACTAGAATGCAAGTATATATTATCGAATGTGATATCACTGCATCGTCATGGTTACTATGATAAAATAAAATTTGGGTCGGAAGTGACAACCCCAAGAAGAATGTGGAGAGAAACTAGAGCCGGTAAAAAAAAATGCGCATGCAAGCATGCATATAATAAAACACACTAATCTACAAACTTACTTAATTATGTGTTTGTAATCTCTATAACCCTACATAGAAGGAATGGGCAGCATCTACTCAGATATTGGGATTGCAAATAATCTTATTTTCCAATAGTTAAATATTCACACGCTTAATTAAACTTATATTATAAACAATTAAGTACATGATTTGTATATTGTAATTGTCTAAAGTATAAGAATGTGGGGGTTAGGTTACTGCCATTCCAAGCCAACAATTCAATAGGCTTTGAATGATCTATTATTTCTTATGAGTCCAAACTTTTAAAACCAACTAAAATATGTGACAAGCTAAGCTAGATATGTTTTAATGATGATTGATTTTTACGTTAGTAAATTTAGAGTTTTGATTATATGACTAGCATAAAAGGTTTTTGATTGATGTTATGTTTCATCCTTCGATCGCGTTCACGTTACATCCACTTCTAACGTTTTTAACTAGCAATGTTCATTTTTTGCTGCCCCAAATTTGGAGGGATTATTTTTTACGTATATGTTTGTTAATTTTTCTTATATATTTAATATAGGAATTTTAACATTTTACCCACCAATACTATTAATAACGTTAAAACATGATCACCTGTCGAAACTATATATATGCGTTGTCTGTCTCACAGCACAATAAAACGTGGAACGATAATACCAAGTGGAATTAGATAAGACAAGTGAGGTACACAAGAAGATGGGGCAATGCTAAGAAGTGTTTTTAGTAAAAGTATATAAAGGTTAAAATGAGTAGAGGGAGAATAAAAAATAGAAGAAATGTTTCCTATGCAAAGAACAAGAAGAAGGTTGTCTACATAGGGAGGGTGAATTGGGCTACATTGGTAATAAAAGCCATAACTCACTTTGTGTTTCTTATTTCAATCACAATCATCAATTGGCACATTGCTCCATTTCTCAGACATCATCATCTCATTAACTTCCTTCATTCTTGATATATACTATACATATACACATACATATATAGATAAATAAATGAATATATATATATATATATATATATATGTGTCTGGTTATTCTATTGGTGTACCCATAACATTTCCATAGTCTCATTGAGTTATATTTTAGTGGGTTATTCTTGTTTGCGTGAGTATCAGTAAAATAACGTTTGTACCCATCTCACATTGTCCACATATAAACTGTCCATTGTGTTTTCTCTAAATTGTTTTATTGAAAATGAATTATTTGTCCTATTCTTGATAAAGGGAATAAAAGTGAGTGAACTTTATCACTGATCAAACAATTTTTAAAAATCTAAAATGTCTCTTTTGTTTCATTGAGAGCTCTCTCTAAGAAAAAAAATAGCAAGAAGGCTTTACTATATATATATATGCATGAAAGAAAATTACTGCATAACATATTAACATTATAGCGAGCATATATATTAGTGAAGGAAATTTACATTTTTGGTATCTTGTTCTTATTCATTTGGACATATTTTTAGAAAGAACTTAAAAATTGATTGATGGTGAAATTGATGAGCATGTGATGTGATCGGTAAATACAACTAGTTGCGTATCTATTATTTTACCAACGCTAGCTAGCTTCGAGTCTTCGACTATTTAACATGTGTACGACAATATCATGCGATCTGATTATAAATGTGTATATATTACGGTTTTACCAACGAAATAGATTAAACGAAAACATAAACATTCGTATTCTTGTCATTTATAATTTGATGAAAAGTCAAGTTTGATGTATCAAAGCAATTGTGAATAATTATTTATAAGATCTTATATTATACACACACCCTAGCTATATTATGAATATTTACCACACGCATAGGTTTTATATATATACACATATAGTTTACAACAAGATCTCTATATTACGTTGATGTAATCATTCATGAAGTAGTCGTATAGTAAATTTTGTTTTACCTAGATGTATTATACGCGCAAATTGCATCGTTTCTTGGAACATTCAATCATAATACAGTGTGGTACATGCTAATGTTTATCTCATCTAATGACCACATCGAAATTACAAGCCTACTATGAATCAAGCTTATGTGTCACAATCTCAACTACTTTAAAATAAAGGACTAATTCATTGATAACAGATTTTTCAATTCTGTTCGTGACTCCTCTCAGAGGCTCCGACGTGAATTCAAGTGTTTCATGGTCAACATTACATACATGAGATTGTCCTGGCCATAAGCAAAGTTTTTTCATTTCAATCACAATGAAGGATTTTGGTACTAGCTATTGTGTTTTACGTTTAGTTGTTTCAAGTTTGAAACATAAACACGAGGAAAGAGTATGGTCACGCGTGCCAAGATGAGCTGTATGTGCGGTTGGGGAAAGACGCGCGTGCTTTAATCTCTCACGTGTGAAGACCTCAACAAATAACAAATACTCAAAACTAAAAAAAATGATTAATAATATAAACAAAAGAAGAAAAATACCAAAACATTTTTAAAAATATATATTATATTTTCATTTTTCCTCAAAAAATACCAATTTTTGAGAAAATAAATTAGTTAAGAAAAAAATATCTCATAACTCAAACACACAAAATATTCTTTAAAAGTGGTTTGGTGTTTTTCCGGAAAAAAAAAAAAAGTAAACTTCCCAATATTAGGAAAACATTAGTATAGCTAAAAACTTTAAACTTTTTTTTTTTTTCTTCTTTGGACAAGCTAAAAACTTTAACTAATCGTTATTTGTTTTTCTTAACAAGTGTCGTACTTTTGAAAATGCCGAATAAAAAAGTAAAGTAATTTATTAAAAATAGATAAATGAATCGATGACGCATGACGACGAGAAGACGCACTATATAACAACCATCCTTGAGCCAAGGCATTTGAAGATAACAAACAACAACAACAAAAAAAAAAAAAAGGAAAAAGAAACAAAAGAGTTTTTCAGATATCAGTTAGGTTTGGTTGACACTTGTAAAACTGTCTTAAGAAGTTAGATTCTTGTGCTCATAGAAACCTTAAACTGTTTTTTATTTACCTTTTCTCTTTCCCGACCAAAGTTTAGATTTTACTTTGTTCTTACAAGTCGGACCTCAGAATCAAAATGGAAATCAAAGGTGAAACGATGCAAAAGTCAAAGTTCAGAAGAATCTGTGTCTTCTGTGGAAGCAGCCAAGGGAAGAAGAGCAGTTACCAAGATGCTGCTGTTGATCTCGGCAACGAACTGGTAAATACTTCACTTTCTACGTACTTATGTTTCTGGTTCTGCTTGGTGATATGCATATTTGCTTCATTATGGTCTGCAGAACTGTCAATTTTGAGAGTTTTTGATAAACATGTCAGTTTACAAGATGTGTAACTTTTTGGAAATGCAGAGCATTTTTGCTTTCGTCTTTGAAACTAGCCAAGTGGTAATAGAACCTTAGATTATTCTAGTCTCTGTTTTGTTAAATGGGTTTGATTGAATCTATGCTTTTATGTAGAACTCAAAAATAGGCTTCATGTGTAACTCTGTTTTATTTTTTTCTTTGTTGTGCAGGTTTCAAGGAATATTGATCTAGTCTATGGAGGTGGGAGCATAGGATTGATGGGTTTGGTTTCGCAAGCTGTTCATGATGGTGGTCGTCATGTTATTGGGTAAACTTCTTTTTTAGTCAAATCAGTTTTTTTAGTTAAAACTCTTTCTTTAATCTCTTCTCTTAACAACTTTTGTGAATCTTCTTTTATCAAAACAACAGCAACAACAACAACAAAAAAGCTTTGTGAATCTTTATCACAAAAAAAAAAAAAAAAAATGTCTTTTGAGTTTTCTGATGGAACACAATTTGTCTTAATAACTTCTAACAAAACCTCTGTTTTTTGTCATCTTGTTGTCACTCTACAACAGAATCATTCCCAAGACCCTCATGCCTAGAGAGGTAAAAATATAAATAACCAATTGTATTTGTTTATTAATTTTATCTGTAAGTTCTGCAAATCCCAATTCAAACCTATTTAATCTTTCAGTCTTTGCTTCAGTTTTACTCTTCTACTATTTATTACCTTTTCTTAAGTCTAATGATTATGAGTAGTTTTATCTTTTCTGCCTCCTTCTCTTCTTTTCTCTGTTATTCAATTAGGTACCCTAAAAGATAAAAATATCTTCTATGTTTTGTGTTATTTTATTTGGAAATAAAAGAAAATGATGAAAAAGGAGGTGAACTATAGATTAGGGTTATGTGAAAATTGTAAGAGAGATATTCAAAAAAACAGCCAATATTATACGATTACTTGCATTGGCCATGATTGCTTTTGCCTGTAGAAGAGTCCAAACCTGCTTTTTTGCTCTCTTTTAACTACTTTAAATTATTTGTTATAATAAAATTGGTGGATGTGCTCTTTGTTTTGCAGTTGACTGGTGAAACAGTAGGAGAAGTAAGAGCAGTTGCAGATATGCACCAAAGGAAAGCTGAGATGGCTAAGCACTCTGATGCTTTTATTGCCTTACCAGGTTTTGTTTTTAAACCCCCTCCACCCAAATTTTGTATCATCATTTTTTTTTGGCTTTTTCATATATATATTTATAAAACTCAGATTTGCTTTTCTTTCAAACCAAGTAATGATGATAAAGGAAGAATTGGTCAAAACTGTAGTGACACATGAGCCTCAAGAACACCAGTTTTAGGCCCTCTAAAATGTTTAAAAGAGGAATATTTGTTCATGAAAAAAAAAAAGATAAAAAAACAAGTTTGACTGATTTTGCCAAAGATAGAGAGGAGAACAAATTGGTAAAAAAATACATGTTAACTTGTCTTGGTCAAGCTGCAGTGTGAAAGCTACACTGAAAAGTTTTCCTTTTTTTTTTTTTTTTTTTTTGGGTATGGGAATTTTTTTCTCTCTACAGTCTAAGAAAAAGAGACCTTGACCCATCAACATCTGGCACTTAAAATTAGGCTCTTTGTTTTTTTCCATCTTTCTCTTCTCTCTTTTACTCTGTTTATTGCTTTGCTTTTAACTTAGGAGGTACTACTATCCATATTAGCTTTGTATAGAGTCTTACTGTGACCAAAGTTTTCTTCTTACCTATTTCAAGGTAAGAGACAAAACCTGAAACAGTCCCACAAATAGAATTTTTTTTGCCCACACTGAATCTGAAATCATTATGGAAAGTCAAGTTCTTTCAAAGATCTTGCTTTTGCAATCATATTCTTACCAATGTACAAACTCGTAACAGAGTGGAGAGATGACTCATATTATTATTTTCTTTGTCTTGTACATGACAAACTTTGTTGAATTGACCATGCATATCAAATTATTATTTTTTACCAAACCATAACTAAAAGTTATGTATGAAATAAATATATTGTAGGTGGTTATGGAACACTTGAAGAGTTGCTTGAAGTCATAACTTGGGCTCAGCTTGGTATCCATGACAAGCCGGTAAGAAAATATTAAAAAAAACCCTCTCAGATTTTTTTCACAAAAGAGATCATTTGGGATATTCAAGATTTTTAACAACATTTAAATATGCAGGTGGGTTTGCTCAATGTTGATGGATACTACAACTCTCTGCTCTCATTTATTGACAAAGCAGTCGAAGAAGGATTCATTAGCACGACTGCTCGTGAGATCATCGTCTCTGCACCTACTGCTAAAGAGCTCGTGAAAAAGCTAGAGGTAATTACATTAATCAAAGAATGCATGGATACATACATATCATTTGTAATTTTATAAATGAATTTATCTTCATCAATAATCTCATAAAATCTTGTTGTTTCTTGTAGGAATATGCACCATGCCATGAAAGTGTAGCAACTAAGCTTTGTTGGGAGATGGAAAGGATTGGCTACTCGTCTGAAGAGTGATCAAGATTATCAAGATTCTCTATATATTTAAAAAAATGTTTCATATATTATAAATATGAAAATTGTCGGAGTTTAGTTTCACGATTTTAATCTTACTATAAAAGGAAGGAATAGGTTATGATTAGTAGTAAGTCTTTTTATGTAAATTATTATTATTATTATTAGTAAGTCTTTTTAACTCCAAATTCCAAAAATGTCTTTTTAAATTATGTAAGTGCCCAAAATCTTTCCTTTGTAACCGAACAAGTTTCACAATTTCGTGTTCATCTCTCATATCTAGTTATATATATATATATATATATATATATATATATATATCTATCACTCCTCAGTCCTCACACAAGACAAAATCAATACAGACGAAAGTATATTATATCCTATTAGTAGATGTGTAAGATAAATTATTGTATAGTCAATACTCAATGGCAGAGATTGTCTCTTAACACAAAAAAAAAAAACAAGAGAAAAAACAAAACGAATACAACACGAAATCTATAAAAAGCTTTTATCCAAAAGGAAATCTATAAAAGCAACTATCTTTTCTTTATATAATTCTGATCGCAAATAATTCTTTTTTGTTTTTACTATATTTGGAATGAACTTTTAAGTCTTTTTTTTTTTGGATACCCATTTAATACTAATAACTGTCTAAAATAATAGTACTTAGTTAAATATCGAGCAAGATAAAAAAAAAATATCTAAAGTGCACAATCAAATGTTTATCTGATAAAATTACTTAAATAGTAAATTATTTGTCAAACTTTGAATAACTTGTTTTCAAAAAAGAAAAAGAAATGGTGGTTATATAGCTATAAAAAAGAGTCAAACATTTACCTAATTTATGAAAATGTAAAATTATACGTCAACATCTTTCAAATAGATGTTAAACATCAATCAAAACCGACACTAATAGTCTAATGTACTATGTTTTTGTTCATGTTAAAAAGTGATTATTTTTTATTTAAAAAAAAAAGGAAAAAGAAAATTAACGACGTCGGTTACTCTGTTTAATGGAAATAAGTAAGTGTCAAGATTATAAAGTTTAAGAGCAAAAATAAAATAGTAATTTTAAGATGAATTTTACGAATACAAATCACATTCTTTTTTAAAAAGTATTAAGTATAAGTTAACTTGGCCAAGCGCAAACGTCATTTTCAGTTGCAGTTCTTGGTGGGAACTGTTCAAAGTTCGCGTTTAGCTAATGATGAACGTGAGCCGTCCGGCGATTCACCCGGTGGATGTGATTCCGGTAGCTCCAACTACCGGAGCGATCGATAGACCACCAGTGAGGATGAAAGACGTGCAGGGCATGCCCGGAACCACCGGCGGTCTCATCCTCCGCCTCTCTCAGTTCATCCCTGCTCTCATCTCCGTCTCCGTCATGGTCACCACCTCCGACTTCCGCTCCGCCACCGCGTTCTGGTTGGTAATCGAGCTCTAGACCTAGGATTTTAGAGAATTCGAATGATTATATGATTCTGTTAACTTTAGGGGTTTTTGCTGGTCTTTTGATAAATCCTTATATGGCAATTAAGTACGTTTCTCATCTAATTGGATTGAAATTAGTGCTTTGAGATGGAAATTAGTCTTCTCTGTTTTGAAATTAGTGTTGTAATCTGCATAAGCATTGAAAACATTCTTTGAAGCATCAGAATTTTGGATTTAGTTTGAGCTATTTGGTTTTAAGACAGTATGAATCTGACGAGCTCTTATGATCTGTGACAGTTGCTTGGTTCTTGCGGTTAGCCTGCAAAGCTTGTGGAGCTTGTCTCTTTTTATCGTCGATGCTTATGCTCTTCTGGTGAGAAGAAGCCTTCGAAATCACTCTGTTGTTCAATGTTTCACTATCGGAGATGGGGTAAAAGACAAAACCAAGCTCTGTTGATGTTTTAATTAGTTTACTAGAGGTATTGCAACTGACTGTTTTTAACCATCTCTCCCTGTTGCAGGTCACGTCAACCCTTACGTTTGCAGCTGCATCTGCGTCTGCTGGCATAACCGTACTCATCAACGATCTTGGTCAATGTAACGTAAACCATTGCACAAGGTTTGAGACCGCCACAGCAATGGCCTTCATCAGCTGGTTTGCTGTGTCTCCCTCCTTTATTCTCAACTTCTGGTCCTTAGCCACCCACTAAATATAGCACACAAGAGAAGTTCAGAGAAATCCATCTTCCTAGTATAATGTAAATAAAGGGTGGAGTATAATTCATGGCTTGATTAGCTTATTAATGTTTTGAAACAGATATATCTTACATTGGAAAAGTCTAGTAGTTCATCTTATCGGTCACGCGTGGTCATGTCATTTTTTCCATCCATGAGTCATCTAGTATATATCAACAAAATAGTGATTTATGTGGAATAGGAGTTAGGAGTGAGTGGTTGGGTTAAGGTGAATAGATGATGTTGAAACGTAACTTATTTGTAGATTTCAAGTTTGATAAGGATGATGCATGATGATATGGAGAGATATGTTTTGCTAATTTTGTGTGTGTTTTCGTATTGAGTTGAGGGAAAGTGTTCAACTTAAACTTACGTTGAGTAACCAACAGGAAAGTTAGATATATGATGAAATCAATCAGTATTCAGTTATTTGAATATGAATTTTCATCTCTTTTCCAAAAAGTAAGGAATTGATGGGGGTTATGGAATGGAGTTTGACCGATTCGTTAAACGAAAATATTTAATAACGGTAATTTTCACATGATACGTAATGAAATCAATATGTTAATTTGATGATTATTGGTTAATATGAATCAACCAATGACAATACTTGTCTAGAGTTTTCACACGTGACCATGTTTTGCTAGCGCGACAAACCAATAGTCTCTTGTATATCGGATATTTTTGTGAAGACCGGTTCGATGAAGGAAACGGAAAACGTTGTAATGCAATCCATCCGCAATAATACGATCTTAAGGATAAATCGGTCGCTTTAAAATTCAATGAAAGAACTAAAAAGTTACCAATGCAAAGTTATATGATACTTAACTCTATTCATATTTGCTTACTTCGATATTATTTCTTGTTTTCGTTCTAAACACCTAAAAATCAAACTGGTATTGATATGCTCTCACGGAATCTAAGAGGCAAGAATACAACACAAGCGAGGCTAGGCTAGCCACAATGAGGTACAGGTGCAAACCTTCTTCAAGAACTAAAAGTATACATTAGGAGTTAAAACATGAATTTAGCGAAAGGACCCAAGGCTGAAATCCAAAAATTGATTTATCACTACAAGGTTATGAGGTTTGTGTTGTAAATTAGTGCTTCTTTGGACAACTGTTCCACAATCCGGGTTTTCTTACCAGCGGAGGACTACATCTATCACACAACATATCATGGAGATTTTTCTAACGTGGTGGCTCTCGAGAACGACACTTTAACCGTGAAGCTTCAAGGTCTTGTTTTAATGTCTCTATCTGAATGAGCAATGCGGCATTTTTCTACACAAGAGAGAGAGAGAGACAGTGAACTAATGAGTCATGAGCATCCAACGTAAGACAATACTAAAAGAATTTGAATCCTTGAATAGGGAATGTCACCTTTTGTAATGACTCCAGCTTTTGATTTGCGTTTCCATTCTCAGATGACTCTTTGATCTGTAGAAAACAAAACAACGCTCAAAATCAATAGAAATAATGACAGGGTAGTTTTATGCACTGATGCTTCTTATTCTACGGTTTTCAAATCATAAAATCTACGACCACAACCATTAAGCCAATAAGATACACTTAAACCATTCCGAAAACATATAATGCACAGACATGGAAAGCAATATACCTAGAGAAGACAATTACTGAGAATTATACACAGAGAACCGTATCACTAGTGACTACCATATTCAGTGTCAAGATTGAATACATTCGAAATTAAAAAGACCATAAAACGCGAAAAATAGAAACATTAATCAATGGAGGAGCTTAGAAACATACCAGCGCCAGTTCTGCAGTACATTTAGAAGCTTTCTCAGATTCCTTATCAAACATTCTCCTCCACTCTGCAGATTCATCCATTGCTTCTCTATTAGCCAAATCAAACTGTTTCCTACTTACACCAAAAGTAAAACCTCAAATCATTAACATTATCTAATACACCACCACTAGAACACTAACCATAAATAAACCCCTAATTCCCATAAAGAGCAACTGAGATACGAAAACTCAATTCACATAATGTTGAAAAATCCAAAGCTACTGAAATTGAAGACCCATCCAGAAAAACCAATACTTTAACCCCAGCAATTACAGTGATTAAACAGAAGCAAATGAAGAAATAGAATCGTTTTTACAAACCTTAAGCGCTCAGTGTCATCGGAAGATAGAGTATAATCGATAGTCCAAAGCCTCAAATATACGGCGACACCAAGAACAAGAGCTAGAACCAAACCCACCAGTATCGTCTTCCTCTCAGATCCTCCCGCCATTCTTCCTCCTTCTCTGATTCGATGCTACTAACAAACATCGACGAGCTTCCCCCAACCAAAGCCTCTCTCCCCCAATCCCAGCAAAAGGAGAGTCAACGATTCGTTTCAGTAAGGCTAAAAGCCCATTAAAGGCCCGTATTTGAATAAGGTTAAATCCGTAAATTCCCCTTTTCTTAAAAACCCTAAAGTCTCAATCTCCTTCAAAAACCTTGGTTCTCTTCTTCAAGCGCCTCCTCGTTTCGGGACTCGAATCGTAAGAAACCTAAAAATCCGAGAACAGCAACAATGCCGCCGAAGTTGGATCCGAGTCAGATCGTGGACGTTTACGTCCGTGTGACCGGAGGAGAAGTGGGAGCAGCGAGTTCTCTAGCTCCGAAAATCGGTCCGCTCGGTCTCGCACCAAAGAAGATCGGAGAAGACATCGCCAAGGAAACGGCCAAGGAGTGGAAAGGATTACGTGTGACCGTCAAGCTAACGGTGCAGAACCGTCAGGCGAAGGTCACGGTGGTTCCGTCGGCAGCTGCACTTGTCATCAAGGCGTTGAAAGAGCCGGAGAGAGATAGGAAGAAGGTGAAGAACATCAAGCACAACGGGAACATTTCATTTGATGATGTGATTGAGATCGCTAGGATCATGAGGCCTAGATCTATTGCTAAGGAATTGAGTGGTACCGTGAGAGAGATCCTCGGGACTTGCGTGTCTGTTGGGTGTACTGTGGATGGTAAAGATCCTAAGGATATCCAACAGGAGATTCAAGAAGGTGAAGTTGAACTTCCTGAGAATTGATCCAAAAAAATGGCGTGTTTGTTTCTTTTGGTATTTGAGGTTTTATTAGCTTCTTCTTATGTTTTGTTTAGTACAAGAGCAACTCAACTCAGTTTTGGATTGTTATTGCAACTATTTCACTATTCAGTCCCAATTTTTATCATTCTGTTTTGAATTTTTATACGAAATGATTGAACTTGGCATTGGAATCTGAATCTGAATCAAGAACATTTATAGTCATGTATACGTATGAAATAAGATGTATATGAATCTAGCTTTTGTTGGATATAGTAGAGAAATGCTTTAGGATTAGAAATGAGAAAGAGCAATGGCAGTGCTTGTGTTCGGATTCGATCTGCATTTCTTAAATTGTGCGTCTCTCTGAAATTGGGATTCTTCTTTGTTTGAGAGAGAGAGTAGTTTGAAATGAGACATTGCCAAGATGAAAACATTTCACTCGATTACTAAGGGATCACACAAATGAAGTATTGAAAACCAGAATAGCAAATGATACAAGTTAAGAAGAAGACATGATCCTGATTTCTATATAAATAATAATGACACATTTTCTTGTGTTTGTTCAAACGTTGGCTGCACTTCTGAAGGAACCGAGGGACTTGGAACCTGATGCCCTTAGAACGAATTGGTGATAGAATGCAGCAATCGCAGCTCCAATGAATGGTCCAACCCAAAATATCCACTGTAATTAAGAAACATGAAAAAACACTTCATTATATTTCTCAATCAAACCAATAGAACATAGTTTAAATTTAATTAGGAGATAGGAGTAGAACATACATGGTCATCCCATGGCTTGCTCTCGTTGAAGATTACAGCGGCTCCGAAACTCCTGGCCGGGTTAATACCAGTTCCGGTGATTGGAATAGTGGCCAAGTGTACCATAAACACCGCAAACCCAATTGGAAGTGGCGCCAACACCTTTCATTTCATAAATCATAACCCAAATTAGTTATTTATAGCATGTTAATTAGTCTTATAATCGATGAAAATATATACTTACGGGAACGTGGGAGTCTCTAGCGTTGCGTTTGGGGTCAGTGGCAGAGAAGACAGTGTACACGAGCACGAATGTTCCGATGATCTCTGCGGCTAGTCCGGTGCCTGTGCTGTAGCCGGCGGCTAGAGTGTTGGCTCCTCCGCCGTAATTAACGTAGTAAGCGCTTTGAAAAGCCTTAACGAACCCAACTCCACAAATAGCACCCAAACACTGAGCCACCATGTAAAGAACCGCCCTAACCAGCGACACCTTCCGGGCCAAGAACAAGCCGAACGTCACCGCCGGGTTTATGTGACCACCTTCAAAACGTTATGGGGTCAATATCAAATAAACAAGAAACCAAAGGGTACGTTTATATTGTCACAAAAACTTTAAAATAACTGAACCGGTCCGGGTTTGATATACCTGAGATACCGGCGGTGCAGTAGACAAGAATGAAGATCATGCCACCAAAAGCCCATGCGATGCCGAGGATTCCGACACCACCGCACTCAACTCCACCGGCGGTTGTGTCAGACTGAATGTTGTAGCCGATGACAGTCAAAACAGTGACGTACAAGAAGAGGAGAGTAGCTACGAACTCGGCGATGACGGCTCGGTACAAAGACCACTTGGTAAGCTCCTCCGCGTCGAAAAACGGAGTAGGCGGTGGATCTTGGTAGTCCCTCGTCTGAAATCCATCGGCTCCTTCCACGTTTTTAGCCATAGTATTAGTGTGTTAGTGGATGTTTCTGGAGTTTCTTAGAAAGTGTGTTTTTGCTTGTAGTTGTTGTTGTTGTTTGGCCTTGTGGTTCTGCTAGATGAAGAATAAAAGGTTCTTTATATAGAGTGAGCTCTTTGTTTGTGATACTGTTTATGTGACACTTTTGATTTGATGTTACAACAAATAATGTTCCTTATTTTATTTTGTAAATGACAATAATGTTTTTTTTTTCTTTTTCTTTAGTGATTCTTTTTTGTAAAGATTGCATAAGTTACGTTTGCGACTAATAAGTAACCTGGATAACAGATAAAATACAAAATTAGATTCCATTTACTTTTCTTATATCTACGCTATATTCTTTAGATTTCTTCTTATAGTAGTTAACTTTATACTTGGTAGTGATTTGTCGATTTAATCACCAATATCTCACGTAAAGGAAGTTGTAATTGTACACGCAATGACGCAAACCAGGTGAACTAATTTGAGTGGGATGTAAGTGAATTTTGGAGAAAATTATATTTACTTATTTTACATTTACATGAAACCAAGAAGGGGTATATATAAAGTATAGTACAAATTCTATAACTGTGGTCTGTGAGTTTTCAATAAGGGACTATACTATTGCTATACGCTAATTGCTACTGACTTATTGAGACATCAACATCCAAAATTCATGTCATTAAATTTTAATTTGGTAGGCATCACCTTGACCGTAATTGACAAACAACCAAAAACCAATAAAACGTGAGAAAAAGTATACAAACAATGATAAATCAGAAACTACATAATGTATGTTTACAATATATACATACGTTATCTGTCTATATATATATAAGCTTTACCCACATGCATAGGTACTTGTTTTTTTGTTTTTATTTTGAAGTTTTTGACAAATATTGAGATTGTATCATCATCATCTGTACTGTAAAGTATTTGTCTCGATCGTGTCACACGCGATTCCTGCCGTTTCAACTTTCAAGCACATTCTGGATTGTTCTTGCATCTTTTTCATGATAGTTGGATAGTTTGGTGAAACATCAATTGAAAGCGAATTTTTTTTTATTGTAGAGAAATGAAATTATAATGTTGAGTTCATTTTGTAAGCCAACTAGTGATTTTTTTTGTCATGGGACACTACATCGATCAATTATGACGCTATACTGCATCGATGATGCATGCAGGTTCACACATCATAAGAGATTTACGTGTAGTCTTACTTATTGTGGATATCATTGTCGAAACTCATATATATATATATATATATATATATATATATATATAATCTTTTTTTATTGGTCGTAAATATTATATATGGGTTTATCTTAAAGAACCACGAAATGATTTATTTTAGCACATTTAGTATTTAGAGAAATAGAATATTCCACAGCGTAACCATTATTTTAAAAAAGAAAACGACAAATATGATGAACGAATGAACAAATAAAAGAAAAAAAATATTAGGCTGATGTGGAACAATAATCCAATAAGAGCAGAGCAATGTCGCTAAAATGATAAGGTTTTTGTGATGTGGCAAAACATTGGCCACGAACAACACAATACACCACATTCCTTTTGTATACTTTAGTTTTGTTGTATACAGAATAGTGAGTGGATACATACGTAAGAAAATTGCGATTGGAATTGAGGATGGAAGAGAGAGTACGTACATGTGAGTATGTGAGAGAGCAAATGATTATTTTTGTTGTTGACTGTGGGGTTGACACAACGTGGTGTTGGAGGAGTGGTTGGGTGGACTGGAACCGACGGCTGTACTGAGTTGGACTTCATCTGTATGGACGGTGCCGATGTAATATGGTCGGAGCTATCTCTCTATTGGGGCGGTTCCTCCGGTCCAGTGGACCCAAAGTTTCCATAATCTTTTCGACCTTTTTAGTGGAAACAGAACCCGTGAAGCGACGCCGTTTCTTTTATCCTGTCCATGTGATTATTATGTTAAAATTTATATATGGTAGGGTTAGCTGAGAGCTACTTCTCAAAACACTTTAGTTTTTCTTCTTCTTTAAATAGATCTTATAGGTAACGCTAAAGATTCTAGGAGTTATATTGATACAATGAGACAGCCTTTATCAATCACAAACAAGTTGAATTAGTAGTAGGAGTAGTAGTGAGGTAACAATTCATTTTGATGTAAATATGTATGATGACTCTTACATATTTGAAAAAATTTCAAATATAGAACGTTATCGCATCATATTATATAGCCGAATGTTTTTAGAAAAACCAACTCCCAAGTATGCCCAAATAGATAAGGTTCATATAAATTTTGTATATGTGTAAAAAGAGTGACAGTCTATATTATTCTAGGGAGGGACAAGGCTCATGACATAAGGACAAAGAGAAAGAAAAATATTGAAGCATATAGTATGTTCGGGTCGGTCCAAATGAAAACTACGTTTAGGTATGGGGCGGCGAGGCTAAGTTAAATTAACCATATAACTCCATTATCTATATTTCGTATTATAAAGGTCGCTGTTCTTATTGATAGCTCCACAACCATTCTTTTAAATAATCCATTTCTCAATTAAGCTGAGCTTTTAGTTTAAAGAATTGTAGAACTAATTAATTGAAACCACAGATTTTACTAATTACCTCTATAAAACATAAATACATTAACAATTACAATCATTTTGAGATGAAAAAAGTCTATTTGAACATGAGTGAATTAACCCAAACTATCATCAGTAAGTTTTATACATTTCCCTTTTACTAATGAGTTCTTTTTCTCCATCTTTCCTTTTTTAGGTTTACTAATTTTTTACTATATGAAACTTCTGTTTAAATTATGGTGGAACAGGAATACATAACACAATATATATATATATATATATATATATATATATATATATATATATATATATATATATATCTCAGTTTCTATTAGTTATGAAGCAATGATTAGATTAGTTTAGAATAATATACATCATCATCACAGCTAGCAAGGTAATTAATTAGTGTAAGCAAAAATTCCACAAAAATAATCGTCATAGACAATTCTATATAATAAAATAAACATAAACCTACCAAAAGGAATTCATTATTGTAATCTTATTAACCAAATTAAATAATACGTATACAATTCACCATGGACAAGCAAAATTAACAAGAGCACTCGCTAGAAACTGACTCTATAGTCTCTATATAAACAATCTTCCTTCGTCTCTTCACTCTTCACAATCACATAACAACCATAAAACACCATTACTAATAACAAAAGAAAAATATAGAAATGGCGAAAGACGTGGAAGGACCTGAAGGATTTCAGACAAGGGACTACGAAGACCCGCCGCCAACTCCGTTTTTCGATGCGGATGAGCTTACCAAGTGGTCTTTGTACAGAGCCGTCATAGCTGAGTTCGTAGCTACTCTCCTCTTCTTGTACGTCACTGTTTTGACTGTTATCGGCTACAAGATTCAGTCTGACACAACCGCCGGTGGAGTTGACTGCGGCGGTGTCGGAATCCTCGGTATCGCTTGGGCTTTTGGTGGCATGATCTTCATTCTTGTCTACTGCACCGCCGGTATCTCAGGTATCAAGTTCATACCCGGTTTTAGAATTTGTGACTTTATAACTTTCCTCTTTGGTTTTTTTTTGTTTTTTTGATATTTATTAACCCCAAAACTTTATGAAGGTGGCCACATTAACCCCGCGGTTACCTTCGGATTGTTCTTGGCCCGTAAGGTATCTTTGATTAGAGCGGTTCTCTACATGGTGGCTCAGTGTTTGGGTGCTATTTGTGGAGTTGGGTTCGTTAAGGCTTTTCAAAGCTCTTACTATGTTCGTTACGGTGGAGGAGCTAACTCTCTAGCCGACGGCTACAACACAGGCACTGGACTAGCCGCAGAGATCATCGGAACATTCGTCCTTGTCTACACGGTGTTCTCCGCCACTGATCCCAAACGAAACGCTAGAGACTCCCACGTTCCCGTTAGTATTTCATAGTTCATATATCCATTAGTAAATTTAATTAACATGATATGGTTACTTAATGCTTTTGGTTACTCTTTTTTTTTGCAAAAAAAAGGTGTTGGCGCCACTTCCAATTGGGTTTGCGGTGTTCATGGTACACTTAGCCACTATTCCCATCACCGGAACAGGTATTAACCCAGCCAGGAGTTTCGGAGCCGCTGTAATCTTCAACGAGAGCAAGCCATGGGATGACCACGTATGCTTTTTTTTCTTATCTTTTAATTAATTTAAACTATGTTCTATTGGTTAGTGGAGATATAACATGTTTTTGGTCTATATATAATGACAGTGGATATTCTGGGTCGGACCATTCATTGGAGCTGCAATTGCTGCAATTTACCACCAATTTGTTCTAAGGGCATCAGGTTCCAAGTCCCTCGGATCCTTCAGAAGTGCAGCCAACGTTTGAACTGAGCCACATAAACAACAATCATAATAACAACAATTATAAAAATGGTTGTGTTATTATGCTATGTACAAAAAATTGCAAACTTTGCTTTTTAAAACTATGCCCTATTTTCTTCTTTGTGTATTTCTGTTTTTAATTGTGGTGTAAGACTTTGATATGTGCCAATGCCAATGTTTGTGTACTCGGGCAAAAACAATGAATGAAACCAAATTGTTTTGGTCCAGTCGTCAGCTCATTCTGAACCCTTTAGTTCTGTTTTATGTTTGGCACTTTGTTGTCGACTTGTCGCCCTCGCCTTGTTATATTTTGATTTGATGAAGCAAACTCTAAATCATAAGGCAATTGGTAAATTAAAATTGTCTCAAAATTTAAATTAGTCTACACCATAAATTAAATTGTGGTGAACACATTTTCTTTAAGTTGACATTCCATTCACTATTATAATGGTGAATCGAGCATACGCAAGGTATAGCTTCTTTGGTTCAAAATAATTTGCGTCACTTCACTTATCGAAATAAAATATTACTATTAAAAACTGATAATTTAAAAAAGTTCAAAATAATTAATTTTCTTTGTTTATGTATGTTGGTCAAGTAATACACTTTGTTTTTCTAAAATATTAAATGTTTTTACAATATATATTTTACTAATCTCTTATATAGTACTCAAAAAGAATGTGTTTTCAAGACGAGCTTACAACATAATTTCCGCTAAGAACTCATTAAAAAAATATATTATATCAAACTAACTAAATAAATAAGCTCAATTTTTTTCAAAAATGTGCCCTTTAATAATTTTTTGTGGGTGGCCTTGGGCATCTGCCCTTTTTGCCATAGGGTAATCACGGCTCTACACTGACCTTGCTGCTGGTCAGCGAGGGTTTGCTTGTGGTTGGATTTGATGCTTCTGAGTTGCTGCTGGACTGGTTGTCTGGTCGTGTCCAGATCTTTAAATGACCTTCTCTGCATGCTGTTATCAATGATTCTTGGGTGAAGATCAAACCCGAGAGGGGCTCCATATGAACCCGGTGAGCCACGACTGGTGAAAGCTTTGGGACATCGCGCATGCATGGCGCTGGCTGAAGTGTGCCCATTGTAACGATGTTGTCCCAGTGAGCAGACTGACTCCCTGTGCTGTACGTGGGTGATCCTCCTGGAGGTCTCCGAAGTGGAACTACGATCTCATCCATTTCTAGGTCCCATAGAAGTAACTGTGTGTCCTGTTCGGCACAAGTAGGACAAGCCAAGAACACTTAGATGACCATAGGAGATGAAACAGCAGATTAAAGTTACTGACACCAACTTTCACACGGCGTGTGACAATAAAATGGAAACCCCCACTATCTAACAAATTCAACCTAGCAGATTAACAAATCTATTCTCGTAATCTAGCAATTTCCAGATGTTACATTATATGGACAATGCTATCTCCCCATATGATCAAAAGAATTTTGTCATTAAACATTTCATCTCATTTTCCTCAGTCTATATCTCCCCTACACTAGGATCCTTCTACATTCTTGTATGAAATTATACAAGAATCTGAGAAGAAGGGTTATTCACATTCCATTTGATGTTCAGAGGTTTATAACCCTTCTCCAGTAAAAATGAATAACGGAGAAGTATTAAGACTGTTCAATCAATAAGAATAGGTCAAGGCAAACTCTCAAAGTGGAAGCAAAAAATGTTCAGTTGACACCACATGAAAGAAGAGCTAGGACGAATGAATGTAGCATAACTGAATACCTGACCAACTGAACCAAAACGATACATGACATTCTCGCCAGACCCGTCTGAATTTGGCGACGACCAATACGAATCAAAAGCCACTCCGCTTACCTGTGAGAAAGCAGATGTCATTTCAAGTACTGTTTGTGTTACATACAAAATTCACTATACTTCAATTTGAAAACCATACCCATGAATTGTGTCCCTCACCCCACGCTACAACCTTTCGATCTTCCATACTCCAGACTTGAACCAAGTCATCTTCACCACCAGTCAAAAGGTACTTTCCATCCATACTGTCAGGCCGATTACAATGTTAGCACACAACAATAGTTCCATGGTAAACGGAACTTGAGTGATCGAAAAATCACAGAATTAATTTCTTTCAAAATGCAATAGGGAAGATTATTTGTCAAAGGATTTAGATCCAGTCACCTCCAAGCACAACAAAGTAGAGCACCATAATAACTTTTTACACCACACACTAGCTTTTGGGTTGAGAAATCAAAAATTCGAAGATAACCTGTACATGTCAAAAAAGAAAACGAATAGTCAACGGAAAGATATAAATATAGAGAAAGAACTGGAGCCGGAGATAAAACAATAAAAAAGCACCATACCATCTCTTCCAACAGTTGCCAAGTATGCTCCATCATTTGAAAATGCAATACAGTTAATAGAACCTTGACCAATATGCCATCTCGCTACTGGATTACTCTGCAGGAATTTATAAAAGTGAACACATGATTATTATTTTAAGACAGAAAATAAATGAGAAAAGAAACCATTGGAAACACTAGCAATAACAGGTACCTTGCTATATTTTGCTTTGTCAACTGAAAACTGTGTCGGATCTCTTATAGCAGAAAATGAAGATTCAGTTGCACCGTCTTTATTCTGGAAGTATAATAATTTACTCTGGTCAGAAGTTAGGCAGTAAGGTAAATAAAATTCAAATGCAATATCTTTTTCAGAAATCTGCGCTTGCCTTTTCATACACGTACAAATTTCCATCAGCGTGAGCAACAACAAAAGATCCATCACTTCCAGGCACCCAAGCAATACTAGTACAGCGACTGTTAATAGGAACAAACTTTATATTATCCTTGTAGAGGACATGACACATAATATACATATTTTTCCAGAAAGGAATTTAGCCAGATTTTTGTTAAGACTAATTTTATCCAACAAAAAGGATCCTAGTATAATACATATTATCTAATTCACTAAACTGAGGGTTAACTAGATCATACATCCAGTAAAATGACAAAAACAACGATAACTATGTGAGCAGTAAATTGGGGAAAAAAACGAAGTTTACAGGAAAAAGACTCTTGCCTGTTATTTACAGAACCATCTTTGTTATAATGCTGAGCACTAACAAGCTTTTTACCGACATCCTGTAACTGCTGTCTTAGAGATACGGTGTAGACTACAATAATTCACCAAAAGAATAAAGAACAAGACAAAATTCCATCTAGAACAAAAGTAACAAACTTGATCTCAAAGTTGTACATTACCATCCCCAGAATTCAGCCCAATAAGTAGATCATGTCCATCCTTGGCGTCTGGATCAAAAGCGTGGCACATAGGGTTCGAATTGCTGATATGGATAGACTTTACAGGATCCTACACAGAAAACATAACTGTGACCAAAACAATCACATCAAATCAAATCAAATCTTAAGAAAATTAAAGGAGTAGAAGTAAAATACCTTGTCTTGCGAGTTCAAGTCACTTATAAAAATAGCATCACCCACATTAAAGACTATGTAAGTTCCTTTCCCATCAAAATTTGTATTAGTCACCGAAGTACTAGAACTAGATGCAGCGAATGAGGCACCGATTCTTGAACTTGCACCCACATTCTTGGTCCCTCCATTACCTCCAACAAAACTAAGCCCACGGTTACCATTCCCACCACCCAATAACCTTGCTGTTGCTGACCGGAAACCAGTACTAGCAGTGAAACTTGACGAAGTGCCAGTTGGGGTCGATGGAGCAGGTTTCTCCTTAAGGTGAGCTAGAGTCACCTGACACCCAAAAAATTCTCAAAATTCCTCAGAAACCACTTTTAAAAGATGCAAATGAAATGTGACTTGTAAAAATTCACAGCGAGCAATGCTAGCGAAACAGCGATTCGGATTCAAATTTTCACAAAAAATTGCAAACCACATAGTAATACTGATGAAATCAGATTGGATTAAGGTCATTAAACTTCAATTTAGATTAGATTGAACTTCAGTTCATCGATTAAAAAAACCCCACAAAAGACGAATCAAAGCTAAACCTGAGTGACGGTTTTGCCATGGGTGTAGTGAAGAAGCCCAGAGGGATGCGTCTTCTCGTAGTGGAGCTTGTACTTCCCTTCAGGCGTCTTGAAATAAGTCTTAATTCCAGGCGACTGAGGATTCGCCGCTGAAGCTGACGAAGAAGAAGGCGCGGAGATCATCCCATTCGAAGTGTTCATCATCTTTTGCTCACTTGCTCTTTCTAAAACTTACGAAGTACTAGAATCCGATCATGTCCATAGCTAGGGTTCTCTCTTCTCCCCACACTACACAAAATCCACAAATCCTCCTCTCTTATCGTCTCTTCGATGCAAAATTGCTCTAAACACTGTTCATCATCGCCAAAATCACAAAACGGTACTTTAAAATTCTGGATTCTCCAATAGCTATATTGGATCAAAAGCTATGAAACGAAGAAGAATACAATGTGGTGTCCTCTTCTCTTCTAATCGAACTTTGTATATTCCGATTCGCCTCTTTTATTGCTTTCTTAATCATCAATCTAATTGACTATTAATGGATAAATAAAAAAGTCATCTCGATTAACGGTCAAGATCCCGCGGATAATTCAACGGTTAGAGATCCTTGGATCTTCGGGTTTCGATTTCCACAGCTGAGGCCCATATACAGTCCAAAGTATAGGCCCATTAAAGAAGATCCAAAATAATAATGAAGCATTTCCTTCTTCAGCTTCGAGCTGGCGTGAAAGAAACAGTAAAAATATATTTTAAGCTTTTAAAAGTTCAAAGCCATCGCAATATTTGGCCTAATCACACACGACCAAATGTTTTAGTCGACAAAAAGATACTGAACGGGTTTTACCGGTAGCCGGTGGTGAAGGTGGTCACTGGTCAAAGAAGGATTAAATTGTCCCAGCAACGTACTCAACCGCTTTAATTTGATTTTTCTAATTTGTTTTCTTAAAAATATAAACCGATCCTCTTCATCGGCACCCCCATCACCGAAAAAAAAGAGAAAAAGCTATAAAACTCATTTCTCTCTCTAAACCCTTCTTTTCCTAAAAAAAGTTGCGTCATCTATACAAAATTCATACGTCTCTTTTGCTTTCTCCTCCGATCGGTCTCATTTCTCATCGCCGGAGAAAGCTTTGGTAATGTTTATAATGATCTTTTCTCCGATCCTTGTTCTTCACACCGTTGAGCTGATGATTTTGTGTTCCTTATGTTTATAGAACCAAAAAAAAAGCTGATGAATCGATTGCAGTTTTATCATTATTGCTTACTTTCTTTTTTTTTGGTTACCGATCGTTGTTTGCTTCATTTTTTTCGATTGCGTGTGTGTGATGATTGTTGGCTTTTCTCGGTTTAATCCGGTTTAGTCCCGGTTCTGTTGCTTCATCGCTGACTTTTCCCGCAATATTTGGGTATGATCCCGATCACGTCCGTAAATTAGAGTCGGTTCTGAGGATACTGGACTTAGAATTTGTTTTCTATCACATTATTTCGATGCTGAGAATTGAGAAGAGACCGAATCGATGATCAGTTTCTACTATGATTTGGTTAGCTGTTGATAAAGCTGTTCAGGCTCTCTGCTACAGCTACGGACTAGCTAGTTTAGGATATATTGGTTATTAGCATAAGTGCATAAACCTAGGCTTAGCTAGTTTGTATCCTGCAGGTTTAGGGGCAATGGTGGTTACTAATTCTATCATACATTTCTCGACCACGAACATCTGGTAGTTGAGAAACTGGGGAATACCTTATCAGTGATTTCAAGTTGTTTGGGAGAGTTGAGAGCTAGTACGACCATATATTTCAGGTCAGAATTCATCTTCCTCCTTCTAAACGTTTAGTAAACTTTTGAAATTATAGCACTATTCCCTTCAAAACTGCATTATCAACACTTTTCAAACTGTGTTAGTTTCTCATGCTCGCCATTGTAACACATAGGATCAGTGGCTACTGGCTGGCCTATATCCTTGATGTATTCTGATTTGCAGATCTTGTTGTGGACCTTCTTGGTTGATTGGCTGATGAAAGAGAAACTGAACTCAGATAAGTGATCCAAATTATTAGCATGCTTAGTTCTACTCCTAAATGTTCGATGACCAATTTTTATAATGGTAGTGGTTTTGTGAAGTTTTTTCGATTCAGTTCTTCTGCCAGTTTCTAGTGGCGTAGAATTAGTCTGATCCGATTACATCATCTTAATGGGAGTGAGAAAATAGTCACAATTAGTCCTACAGGCACCACATGTGTACCTGAATGTGTTAGTCATCTAAAGATGCTTTGAGGTCTGGTGTAAGGTATCTATGAGTGGGGAACTTTACACTTCTTTAAAATACTACAGTCAGGAGCCTATCAAGGTATGCTGGTGGATTTTAAGACAATTAGAGCGCAGACATTGTAAATGAGGTAGTAAGCCTTTACTGGCTAGTGCTTTTGTGGACTAAACGAGGTAGTAAGCAATTCACCCAAGGAAGCTGTAGCGTATTCAATTAGTGGATCCGAAGAGAAGGAACTAAACTTGGTGTTCTTACTGTATTAGTAAAGTCATGGGCCTCATCGCGTCGGGGTTTGCTTGAAATGTGTGGAGATGATGAATCAGTTTCTCAGTCAAGCACGACAGCTGTGTAGTGTGTTCTTGGTTAGGATTTCCAAACCTATATCCTTCTAAAATTATTTGCCTGCAGGTACATTTTTGAGAGTTGTAGTTCATAAAATATTGTAAGCTTATGTCCTGCTACTGGATACTCATCTACTTTTCTTGGCTACTCAAACATGGTTGTAAGTTTAGTGAAAGACATGTACATGGCCTTTAATTATACTTCAGAGCTTTCAAATCTATTCTTTGTGACACAGACCATGACTTTAGCAGTTGAGTATCTTTGTTTGAAGTTGGAAGTCATTGTTGGTGAATATGAACGAAGAAGCAATGCATTGATAGAAGCTCAAATGATGATATTAATTGTTACCTATTTTGCATGAACTTACTTTGATGCTTTTCTATTCGGATACAATAGATTCTTCCATCCTCTTCTATATCTGCTACACTTCTACTTGGTTCCCGATAGACTGTTTCTGTAAGACTTATTGACTTTCTGAAAGTGTGTAACTTCATGAAATCCTAGTGTTCCTCGTAACATTTGATGGCACTGGTTTGCAGAGGTGAGACCTGAAGTGATACTTTAATGCAAAGGTTTCTTAGTTTCCCAATTGTTTGCTCTTTGTCCTTTTTTTTTCTTTTCGTTTGACTTAACCAGGAAGAAGTAACTGTGTATCTGTTTTTATTGACAAACTCTATATGTAAGTTTTTCTTATGAGCTATTAGATCTGTACTAGATAAGATTTACTTTGTTGTATATAAGCATCATGAACTTTCCTGCAGCACAGAGCCTAAGTCTACAGATACTTGTTTGCTTATGATTTTTTCATGAGATCTGGGGTAGAATATGGTAGGTACGGGTATCAAAGGTAATTTATACTAGAGCTATAGACGAATTTCAAATTTCGTATATATATCTTGGGAAATGTAACTATCAGACTGAAAACAAGTAGGTGACACGTTTTCAGTCACCATTTAGTGTTTCTTGGGTTCACTTCAAGATATACTATTCATGAAGGATCCTGAATTTTTGCTTAGAAATTGCAGAAATATTGTTTAATGTATTCCTTGATGAACTTTGAATGCTGAGACAACTTTCTGTGCAGGTTTAATTGACCTTAAGGTTGAATTGCTGTATAATCATGGGGCACAGACAGTTTCATGGTTCATCCCAATATTTTGATGATGAACATGATCAAGGATGGAATCATATACACCCAGAGCATCCATATACAACTCTAGGTAACTATTCCTTCATTTCTACTGATGTTTAATCTGTTTTCGATTGATTAAAATCAATCTATTAAAATCAATCTTTCAATCTTGTTCTCCTTTTCTTAGAGACTGACATCAACCTTTGTAAAAGCTATTTGGTTGTTATATGTTTATTTTTAGGATGTTTCATATGCTTTCACCTATGGGTAGATTGAGTTTCACTAGGCAAAAATTCAATCTTTATTAGTGGATACCCTCGGCTAGTGAGAATTAGGAGGCTGGATTTTATAATCATCTCTGATGCCCTCGCCTTTTCCTTAGTAATGTGTATGGACTTTCTGATTAATATTATCCACTCCTCATGTTCTCAGCAAGATCTGGGACCAGTGAGAACAGATCCCATGTTTATCCAGCAGAGAACATATTGAATGAAGGAATGCCAGCGTCTTCTCATTGGAACTCTTCTCCACGTCCAAATGCCTATACTGCCTCAGGTCATAGTGTGGAGAGATCACACTACAATTCAGGGGCTTCGGGCCCATCCCATGACCCTTTCGTAAGTTCAACAGTTGCAACTTTCTCTGCTCCACATGAGAATTATGTGACGTTTCCAGCTTCTTCGAACTGCAACAACCAGCCATGGTCAAATGTTAGTTATGTTGAGCAATCTATGGAAAATATGAGAGGAGCACAAAAGCGGAAAAGCCCATGTGGTTCTTCCATCTATGAAATGGGCAGTTCAAGCCAATATCACTGTGACAGACCTTCAGACACCCCATTTCCGTCGGAATTGCACCTGGGAAAATCAATAAAGCATGATCATGATCCTCATTACGCGCCATGGCTCATGAATCCAGCTTACAAAAATAATAATCTCTTGATCAGGGGAGAGGGTTCTTCAAGGAATGTCCGGAGTCGTCCTACACTTGATTTAGACACCAGCATTGATAGAAATAATTTGTCAAGATGTCCAAGCCTTGATTCTCATTATGCATACCACCACAGTGTTGAGAATTCTGGCTCAGGTCAATTTCCTGGCCATACATCTCATATAGATAAGGATTGGAACTGTGCTAGACCCTCCCCAGCTCCTAGAGGTATGCAAATTTCAGTTTGTCTCGAGCTCGAAACTTTTTTTGTCTCTATAACCACATGAATTCTCACCTTGCTGATATAAATGGCTTTATTCCAGAGACAAACAATTTTCTTCCTGCGAGAAGTATTGCCAACAGTACCTCTGTTGATACTTCCAGCTATCACCATGGGCTTACCGAAAACAGAAACCCTACAGTTTCCCACGGTTTCTCAGGAGCTTCATCACAATCTACAAGCAGCAGCCGCTTCTCTCATAGGTCAACACCCTCCTATAGATCTTCGACACATGGGTCTCAATTGGGACATGTAGCATCTTCTTCTGGAGACAGGTCTCATTTGATCACTGAGACTTATCCATCGAGGCATCTTAGGCCACCACCACACATTTCATGGCGTAGTGGTGATCGCCCAGGGAGACGCAGGAGTTCCTATGAGAGGTTTCAGCCTCCTTTCGATGAAGTTGCTCTTCATGAACGGTTTTCATCTGAGGTATGGTTTTCCCTTACAGCTGCATTATCTTAAGTGGAAGTCTGTCCTAATCACATTAAACATAAAGATAAGTCCCCACCCATTTACAACTAATTTGCTTTTGGGGGGTGTTTAAACAGGGATTCATGGCCGTAGATCGCCAGCCACACTACTATGGATCCAGGGAAACGCTTGATCACCACAGGGACATGAGGCTTGACATCGATGACATGACCTATGAGGTAATAGCCAAATACTCGTGTGTTTGAAACCTCACATAGGCTCACTGATATGTATTCTGAGTGATTGACACCATTCAGGATCTTCTTGCTCTTGGAGAAAGGATTGGGAGTGTCAACACTGGTTTGTCCGATAGCGCTATCTCCAGTTGCTTATTAAAGACAACATATTATCCATTGTATCAAACGGAGGAGCAAAGAAGATGCGCTATCTGTCTGGTAAGATTTAATTTGTTAGGCTAAAACAATTTATGGTGCAAGTAAAAAGGCTAATATGATGATGGCAACAAATAGGAGGAGTACATGGAAAAAGAAGAGTTAGGGGAAGTGAAGGGGTGTGGTCATGACTACCATGGGAGCTGCATCAAGAAATGGCTGTCGATGAAGAACTCTTGCCCTATTTGCAAATCTCCTGCTCTACCTGATGCTTCGAAGAACCCATCATAAATTATCTCTAGATTTATAAATACTCGAATGCTTTTTAGGTGATATTTCTGTGTGAATGTTTATATATATTGATTTGTCTTTCTTTCAAAGGTTAAAAAATATGTTGATAGGATCGAAATACAACAATAAGTAAGTTGTAAATAGATGGAATGATTATTTCTCAATGGTTATGACTTATGATATATGTATTGGAAACGACTCTCTTTGGAAAATTTGGATTTTTATTACAGATGCAAATACATAGTTGCAGCTCAGACAACAGTACATATATACTAGAACATGATTAGCCCATACATACATATGGAGTTATATATATGAAGAAAATGTGGAAGCAAGTGGAGAATTAATTGAAGGAGGAAGATGATTACGATCTTGAAATTTTCATAATTACATAATTATAGTTTCATAAACACAAATATAGCCACACAAATTAAATGCTCCGTACGTCAGACACACTCCCAATCAAATACAATAAAAATAAAATAAAAACCAACGGATAAGGCCGTTTTAAGGGGGGGGGGGGGGGGGAAGGTCAACTCATCTAAGTCACATATATATCTCGAAATATATAAACAACCAACTTAGAAAGGAAAAAAAAATTCTGTCTACAATTATGAAGCAATAATACACTAACATATAGTATTAGTAACACACACATATATATATATATATATATATATACTTTGATTTGATACCCATTACCAAACAAAATAAAAGCTTCGGAAGGAAACGATAGGACTTGAGAATTATTTCCGACACGCATCAAGCATTTTGCGGGGAGAAGCAAGATGGGTCCTAATTGCTAAGAGTCATAAAGTGATGGTCTAAATCCAAACTCTATATATTGGTGAAATAGAATATACTTTTAGATGTAGAAGAAAAAAAAGGATCAAGAATATCATTACATCAAGAAATATTGAGGATAAAGTGAATTGGCAACAAAGCATTATGTTATGTCTACAATTGTGAAGTGGATTGGACGGTAGTTAATGGCAAAGTAATGAAGATGAGAGATCAGTTGTTTAATTTACAGCCGCCATTATACTTAAGAAAGTGGAACTGATTTTTCATTTTATCTAAGTGTGTGTGTGGTTTTTGCGAATGCGCGTGCGATTACGCAAATGCCTTAAAGGTCAAACTTAATGGCTCTCAATTATTCAATATCATACATTATACATTACATTACACCAAGGAATCTTTATTGCTAAGCTACCGATAATGCTTTTTATTTTGTTTTACATCATATTTTAATCCTATACTATACATATATATATATATATATATAAGTCTAACGTTTAAGTTGATATTGAGAATGTGTTAATCCAATTTTCCTGAATACCAATCAGATCTAAATTACTACTACATGGAGTTAAAGTCATCAATCCTAATCCAAACTCTTCTAAGTGATCTTATTATATACTACCACACACAAAATGTTTCGATCGAAGATCGGATCTAAATCCCTAATTCCTAGCAAAACATTTCAATTATATTGTTAGATATATCAAGAAAGCTGTACTGAGACTCGTGAACTTTATCTGAAGTAAATTTCATATCAATTTTAAAAAAAAATTTAAAGATTTTATACTCAATACTTTTGGCAATCTATATTAACATTTTTGAAGTAACTTTTGTGTTCTACCCTTATAGTTTTACTTATTTAATTTTTTTTTACAATGTTAATCCCTACAAAATTGCACAAAACTCAATAAGTAAAACATCTAAACTCGATCTAATCAATTAATTTTATTCCCATAAAATCGAAAAAAATCTATAAATTTACTAAAATGGTGGAACAATTTTTATAAGAGTTCCGATTCAGCAGTCAAATATTTTTGAAAATAGAAACAAAAAAATCTTAATACCATACAATCATATACGCTTAAATACTAATTACCAAAAAAAAACTAAATTTTATACTAAAAGATTTCACAGTTTCCCTTTCAAATTTTGTTTCTTCCGATATTCTACAATTAATCTAAGGGGGTGTTATTGGTTTGTGAGTTATAAGGAGTTTTAATGACTTTAGATATTAGGTAGAATCTGTTGTTATTCAATCAAGATTTTACAAAACTCTTTTAAAGTTTGGTGTTATTAGTTATTGATTTGTAAAGAGTCATTCCAAATCTTCATAAATATGGGGTTATTGGATACAGAGTTTTATAAAGTCATTAAAAGTTCTGTGTTATTCAATTAAAACAAAAGAATCTATGATTGTTAATGAATTAAAATTTTATGTTATTGGTTTATGATTTTAAACACTCTTCTTTACAAAATAAAGTCATGAAAAGTATCTTATAAATACAGAGATTGTTTGAGAGACTTTACAAGACTTTAAAAAACTAATCAACAAGATTATATAAAACTCTCAAACAATCCTTTAAAATCATCCAATCTATGATTTTAGCAGAGTCATCTAAATTCTTTATAAGTTAGAATCCAATAACACCCCCTAAGAAATTCGCAATCAATAATATCTTATTGATATTTCACAATTAATAAATATGGCAAAACTTTAATTTTATACTAGCATCTATCTATATTAACATTTTTAAAGACACTTATGAAAAAACCCTTAAAGGGAGAATTTATTTACAAGGAAATACCATTGCATTTAATATTTAATTTATAAAAGTTTAAATCTTCTAATATTAGTTTCCAAATTATTTTTGGGTAATCTCCATATATTTTTTGAATTAATTACGAGTTTCCTTTTACAAATTATGTGCTCCGATTTCTTTTCCAACAAACAAAACGACATTCATTATAATTCGGTAATAGAAACAAACAAGAATATCTTACCTACATATCACGTTTATAAATATGGCATAACCTAAAGTCACATAAACATTTGGAAATGATCGAATTGTTACTAGCATATTTCATAAAAATCTTCGCATAATCCTACGCACCCCTTCCGAAAATGTGAGATCTCTAAAGATATTAACAACTACCTCACCAAACTTATCTCATAAACCATATCTTCTCATTAACACTATAAATACTACTCTTTTCCCGCAACTCATAACACCAAAACCAAAACCCATACACACAAAAAATCTTAATCAACGCCATGGTTGCTTCGGTAGCTTCGTTTCTGTCTTAGCTTTACTTATATATGTTTCTATCCACGTTCTTTACTTTGTTAATTGTTTATAGATGTGGTTGGTCAAACTATTGACATTGGGGAGATGAAAATGCTTGAAGTTAACAACATACCAACTTATAAGCTTAGATTTAAATTGAGATAAGAGGTGATATTTTTGTACTACTACCTATATATATGTTGATATCAAATTTTATGGATCAGTTAACTAACTTTTGATCTATTCATAGTGATGAGAGACTATGGTGTACCTTGCATATGTTAAAAATAATGTGTTATGAACCCGTTTACATGTCGAATTAAAACATGTCTTATTTTCTATAAAAGTTGTAGGTGACTTATTGTAAAGTGAATCTTGAAAAGGAGAACAAGTCAGATCGTAATATATATTACCAAGCACACTACAATCTTTATTTAAAATTTTATTATTAATAGCTTGATACACAAATTATTAGCTTGATACAATCTTTATTTGTGTATTATTAATAGCTTGATACACAAATTTTATCATTTCAAATTCTGTAAGTTATTTCATCGATAAGTACAGAAAACTATGTACACAAAATTATATATTTATATGAGTTCGTTTCTAACCTTTATCAAGATTGCTTGATAGCCTTTTGCTATTATTTGTTTTGTTCACAAAGTGTCACCTAGAAAGCAAAACATTATACATACAAAATCGTGAAATCCTGATGCTTTCTAAGATATATATAATGAGTTGATAAACAAAGAGTTGGGGTACGTAACAGCCCAATCCTGAATTTTGTACCATACACAATCCTATATGGGACAATCAATAGGTTAACTTGCTCTTACAACATTTGGCTGTCCAAAATAGCAGCCAAAAATTTAGATCATACTGAAGTTACTGTATCAAATCTTAAAATTGGTTAATCGTCCACAATTTCAAAACAATACAATCCATAATATATATGATACAATGTTAAATGACGTTTCGAAAGTTCATACTTTTTTCGTCTACAATTTGAAAACTGGGGATTTTTTTGACATTTTTTCCTTTAAAGTTTGTAGCTAATTTAACCCAAAAGAAAAATTATACAATGTTAATAATTATTTAGATTGGTAATATACAAAGTTAATAGTTATTTAAAAAATTCCAACAGTATCTATTGAAAAACTAATGTACATTTAAAAAGAAAAAAAGGAGAAAAATATTTGCCCTGCAATGTACAAACTTTTGCGTGTACAACCATAAAATTACTCGGTTAAAACTAATCAAGCTCTATACGACTATATGACTATATCAGTATGATAAAAGCATTTTTAATATTTACGTAGCATTTCGAACAAACCATCATATCGTAATTTCTAAAAATATGAAACTTTTAAAATATAAATATCGTCCCGTGGTGTACCGCGAGTTAAATCCTAATGATGTGTGTTACGTTACGTACAATGGGCCATGCATATAAATATTTTAGTTATTAGTAGTCCAATTCTTTCATTCTATTTGTGTTAAAACCTTAACAACTCCAACTGTACTGAAAACATTATAAAGTTTTAAGTTTATATAGTGAGGCTAATGATTCTACATTTGTAACGATATATTTAAATGGAAGGTGAAAAAGCCTGCAAGTCTGGTACGTAGAATCTGTTTAAATTGTGGTCGTCCATACTATATACCAATCAAGCAGGAAGCATCAAAGGCTAATAAGACCAAAGATAGTATAGAGCTAGATTATAGTATGGTGGTTAACCTTATAAGTTTTAAGAGAGTTGGACGTTGACGTGCATAGAATTCATATTCATAGTGTATTTTCTGTAATAATTTTTAGTTTAAAGAATTATTAGATCTCGCTCTTCGTTTACTTTCTTGTGGAACATGGAATTGTTTGAAGATGTCTAATTAATAAAAACAGAGGAAATGGAACAAAATGAAAGTGAAAAAGCTATACTAATTAACTACAAATTTTGTACTATTTATTATCGAATAAAACTGGAAATCGAGTCTCACTGAATTCACATGTTCAACAACTATCGAGTTCAGAGATAGCTAGCTAGCTAGTGGTCATAAATTTGAGTATTAATATGCGTTTAGAATAATTAAGAAAGAAAGAAAAAAATGAATAATTAATATGGGTAGCAACCACTATGACAAAGAAATAAAGATACTTAAATTATATAAAACACGATTAGAGATGGTTCTCAAACTCTATATAACCATACACTGGAACACATAGAGAGGACACACAAACAATTATTTTAGTAGAAAAAAAAAAGAGAGAAAGAGAGAGCAATGGCCAGTGTGAAGCCCTTCTGCCTCCTCAGCTTCTTTTGTCTGTTATTACAGTTGTTCTCCATCTTCCATATCGGTAAATACATTCTTCCCTTATCCAATCACGTTATGCCATGTATCTTCTTGCTTCACAAGTTTAATTTTCCACCGTTCAATATTTCTATAAACTGATAAAATAAATTAAAATATATGAAAATTTGTAGGAAATGGGGAGTTGGAGATGAACTATTACAGAGAGAGTTGTCCAAAAGCGGAAGAGATTATTAGACAACAAGTGGAGACGCTTTACTACAAACACGGCAACACTGCCGTCTCTTGGCTCCGTAATCTCTTCCATGACTGTGTCGTCAAGGTATATATTAATCAACTCTTTTTACATATAATTCACCAATTACTAATATATAATATTACGACATAGTATATATTAATGTTCTCGTGTGTGTATTTTTCTATATTTTGTAGTCGTGTGATGCGTCGCTGCTGCTAGAGACAGCGAGAGGTGTGGAGTCTGAGCAGAAATCGACGAGGAGCTTCGGTATGAGAAACTTTAAGTACGTTAAGATTATCAAAGACGCACTTGAGAAAGAGTGTCCTTCCACTGTCTCTTGCGCTGATATCGTCGCTCTCTCTGCTAGAGACGGTATTGTCATGGTGCGTTTAGACATATATTTACATGCATTTTTACAGTTAGTTTGTAATTTCTTTGGTTAATTTTTGTTTTTTTGGATGAAATTTAATAGTTGAAAGGGCCAAAAATAGAGATGATAAAGACAGGAAGGAGAGATAGCAGAGGAAGCTACTTGGCAGACGTTGAGACTCTAATCCCTAACCACAATGACTCTCTCTCCTCTGTTCTCTCCACCTTTGACTCCCTTGGCATTGATGTAGAAGCTACTGTCGCTCTCTTAGGTACCATCTTTTAACTACATAGATCATCTAATCTAAACGTGCATGATCAGTAACACTTAACTAGGATCGAGTCTGGTCCAAAACCAAAAACAAAAACCGAAAGATAAGAGTTTTGGTTCGATCTAAAACAAATTTTTGTCTTTTAATCTTGACTCAACCATAAAAATTTGATTCTTATCAATCATATATCTAGTAATACAATAATTTTTTATATGGAAAGCTACGTCAATAGTAAATTTACTTTTTTTTGGGTTATGAATAAAACCAGATCTTTATAACATAATCTTGTTTTGTTATATAAATTTGGTATTGATTTTTATTAAAAAAATATTAAAAAATTGGTATTGATAGAGATGGAAGTAAAATGATATATAAAATCATGGAATTTTTCTTAGAGATATATGAATGATGAAATCTTGAATAAGAATGACATTGTTATTGATTAGTCAATTTATATTACCGTAGGTGCTCACTCAGTGGGCAGGGTCCACTGCGTTAACCTAGTGCACCGGCTATATCCAACGGTCGACCCGACTCTCGACCCAAGTTACGCCCTTTACTTGAAGAATCGTTGCCCAACTCCAACACCGGACCCGAACGCCGTCTTGTACTCCCGCAACGATCGCGAGACCCCTATGGTTGTGGACAACATGTACTACAAGAACATCATGGCACACAAGGGGCTTCTTGTTATCGATGATGAGCTAGCCACCGATCCAAGGACCGCACCGTTTGTGGCCAAGATGGCTGCGGACAATGGTTACTTCCACGAGCAGTTCTCACGCGGCGTCAGGCTCTTGTCGGAGACAAACCCGCTTACCGGAGACCAAGGGGAGATCAGGAAGGATTGTCGTTATGTGAACTAATATTTGGTTATAATGTTGTGAAAGATAATAATCATATATATGAATGTATGTATTTGAATGTTTTGGATTCAATAAGAAGAAATACCAAAACCTTTGTGGATTGAGATATGTTTGGATCGTCCTACGTTTTCGATGGGTCTTTTTAAAAAAATGTTTTGTCGACATTTAAATGTTGCCTTGTTGGTATATTCCGTCAGTGGTTTTGATACAACTACCTATCTCAGACTTATTCGAATTTTAGTTCTAAGTTATAGTATAGTACTAAACCTATGTAAAGCAGAACGGTTGGATTTTAAATTCTCTAAAACCAGATCATAAAGCTATTCGAATCATCTAAACTATTTTACAAACCTAAATGTTACATTAATACAATTTGTTTGTTTTTTTTTTTTTTTAACTTGTTGTTGTTGTCTACAATGTCAAGCTATTTGAAGTTTATATTTATCGACAAGATAGAGATCAATTTCAGGGAATTAAATTAGCTAATGTTATCAACTTGTTGGCTCCAAGCCAAATCATGATGGTGTTTGTTTAGTTGTGAGATGCCAAAACGAGTTGGGTACTTCTCCATGTGTTTCCATTGACTCTTTTTACAATCATTTTGCTCTTGCGATATTATCAGATTTTTTTTTCTTAAATTATCGGCGAATAAATTTGGTCAGTCTCGTTTGGTGTCTAAATTAATAGACCTAAATTATTTGTATTAAAAATTGGCAAAAATAAAAAATATACGATTGTATCAAGATATAGATCTTGACCTCTATCATAAACTCATGATACTCATATCTATATTCAAACCATTTATAGAAGTCAAATCACATGCAAAGTAAACTCACGGAGTCAAACTAATCACTAATTTAATTTTAATCAAATTATTACAAACGATCTAAACGCAATTAATACGACTAATGATTCAACGCGTATACAGTGTAATAAATATGAATATCGACGAATCTCTCGAATGATAATGTATGAATTATGATATAAGATAATTCCTTTTTTTTATATTATGAATTATGATATAAGATAATTCCTTGGTTGAATATGCAGAAATTTTTATTCTTATTATACATGATTGCGCTTTAATACATTTGGTATAAATAAACTCACACACTATACAATTTGGGCCTAAAGACATTTTTGTTTTGTTTTCCATCATATCATTAAAGAAAAACCCCAAATTAGTGGAGATGTATTTATCCATTTAAACGGTATGTAATAAATAAATTTTGAAGTCAACCTGTGTTAAATAAATTGACTAAAATAAATATATAGAGTAAATGTTAATAATTGGGCCTAAGTATTTGTGTTACATGTTTTTTTGTCTTTTGTCTGAATCTCTCCCGTATTCGAAACACAGATCTCCGTTTCCTAAAGAATCTTTCCGACTGGTTTCTTTTGCCGCATCGAATCTCGGATCGTAGCCATGAGCAGTGAAGGTTCCGCCGGAAAGGTACGTCGTTTTCGATGTAATCGAGCTGTGTTTACAATCATCAATCAATGACACTCCTCCTCTCCTCTCTTCCTTGTTCTATAATCTCTGGTTTATCATTACAGTTAGATCTATTAGAGCTGAACAAAATTTAGCTTCTTGCTTGTTGTATTGTCTATTGTCTTGATCCTTCCGCATGCATTGTTTATATTGATACATGATCTAGAGTCCGATTGACTCATGGATTAGTGTCAAATAGTGTTATGATTTTGCTGGGGAATTCAGATACAACCAAATGTTTCAATTCGCTGTGATGTATAGATTTCACATTTGTACATGATGCTAATGCGTATCAATTGCTAGCTTTGGTTAACCGATTTTGGTATGATTTTTAATATGCGTTTGTGAATTGTACTACAGGCGGCTGTTGAAGCCAAAGGATTAAACCCGGGACTGATAGTGCTGCTTGTTGTTGGAGGTCTGCTTGTGACATTCCTGATAGCCAATTACGTGATGTACATGTATGCTCAGAAGAATCTACCCCCTAAGAAGAAGAAACCCATCTCCAAAAAGAAGCTCAAGCGTGAGAAGCTCAAGCAGGGTGTCCCTGTGCCCGGTGAATAGATATGATTTCCAACTTCTTTCCCTTAACTTCTTCTTCAACTGTCTCCGTACCAGTTTTCTTTTCTTCTTGTATTGACAATGTCTATGAGACTTCTTTTTTATTGAGTGTAGAAACGACCCTTGTTTTTGCTTTGGTTAGACTTGGCAATTTTAATACAAAAGCTTGTGGTTTCCCCTTCTCATATTTGGTAGCAGTTGTTGATTCTTTCATGATCACTTTAACTATACTCTCAATAGCTCCATATGTCTTCTCTTCATATCGGAAGGTCATGCAGGAAACTCGTTAGGTTATACCAATCCGGTACTCGTTATACAGGGGGCTTCTTTATACAGGTGAACAAGGTCAATATTAGGGCATACGGATTGTAAAAACAGTTGGACATTTCAGACCATATCAAAACAAGCTCGTAACATAAAGATATACATATGTTTGATTTCGAGAGAGAAAAAAGAAAGACACACGACAGATTACATCCAGATAAGGTTTTATTCCAAAAAAAAGTAAGCAAAAGACAATATCATGGTACGAGATCCACACAAGACACTTGTTTCACCAACGTGTACACAATGCAATACAAGTGCTAATTAGACCACTCGACTCAGTGTAAGCTTCACTTACGACCCATGGTTTGTTCTGTGGGTGGCATCACAACCACGGTGGACTGGGCATTGAAACCTGGGTGTATAACCTTCCTGCGGAGCTCACGTCCTTCTTGGCAAAGGGCACATGTATGACAAAGAACATGAGTCACAAAGTCACAAGTCGTCTCTAAGTGTTCCCTTTGCATCTCGTCCTCTATGCAGCTTCCACAGCAGCCACACGACCTGTTCATAGCTTCAAAACTTCCCTGTTTGCACCCAAAAGAAAATGAAAGATAGGGTCAGGAGATGATGGAATTTTCCCTAAGAGGCAAAATATAGAATGAAAACTGGGGAGACCGATGAGGTTGTTAAACAAGACTATCATAATGGAGATCTACGAGAACAGGCTTGCCCTTCTATGGCTCCTAAAATACTAGTAATTCGGTGGAACCAAACTAAAATCTCTTCGGGTTAAGTCCTCAATCATCATCATCCAAGCAATCAAGAAGAGAGATAAAAACAAGGGTTGATAAACATCTTCTATTACAAATGAAGGAACCATAAATCATTACCTCAAGGTTAAACTTTCGGCGAATAGCAGAACGGCTGGAATAAGAGAACCATGGAGCAAGACAGTTCCAGCCAAACAAAGAATTACCAACAAAGTACAATCCCAAATAAGTCAAGCAGTGGTTTGAAAATGTTCCCGGAGCAGAGCCAAGCCTCTCTGCATTAGTTCCATACAACACACAGGGAGCCACACTTCCAAGGAAACCTACATAGAAAAAAGCAATTACCTCATCACTAAAGAGTTTCATCAAACACATAACAAACATTTTAAGAATCTTGACCCATTTATCTCTGAGCTTAATCAGATCTAAAGATTGAATTTTTCGACAACCCCACCAAGTTAAGGAAACAAATTACAATCAGAAATCACCAAAAAGTTTCCAATTCAATCAATCAACCTCGACTAAATCAACATACCCATTACCCCAAAATTCAAAAAGCCAATCATTCAAAATCAAACGAAAATACTCACAAACTTCGAGATCGCTGCTGCAAAATTCATCATTGCGACCAAGACAGGTGAAAAGACCCGAGTTCCACTGGTTTCTCCTGATCGGCTCGCCAATCACGCTACCATGGCTCACGGGCAACCCATCCGCCGTCCAACCGTATTCCTCCGCCGCAGGAGGAGGCACAGGCGACGCCGTCTTAGTCTTAGCATCCCCTTTAGAGCAGATCTTGCTGTCGTTCTCTTTCCCCTGCAAGAGAGGACTCGACTCCTCATGCTCGTCGCCTCGTTGAGCTTCGCGGCTATCTTCTCCCGCCATATTTGTTGCTAGAAATTTAACGCAATATCAAATCTGAACAAAAACGATCTCTTTGATCTTAAGAAAGAAAGGATTGAGAAGAAGAAGAAGAAAGAGAGAGACTTTAACCAATTTATTGGGCGTCTCTTACGCGTTAAGATTTTAGATAGTCAAAAGACACCTTCATTGCCATTTTCTTACCATTTTAACTTTTTTTTTTATTTGAAAATATTTTCGTGTTCATTAAGATCTGGGCCTCCTAAAGGCCCATTATGAATTTATGACTTTATTCTTGTAAGCAAATAAATGGCCACAAAAGCAGTACAAAATATCTAACCATCAGTAACATTTTATGATAGCTACAATAATTTAACTCATGATTATATGTTTGAGAGATCTAGAAATCTTAAAACACGAATCTATTATCATAGCATAAAAATGAATCTATAAGAGAATTTTTTATGAGTAGTGAAAGTGTACGAACGAAACTGTTGCCTTTGTTTAATTACATACAATGTCATAGAAAGGACAACAGAAAAAATATATAACATGGTCAGGAACTATAAGAGCATCTCCAAAGGGAGATGCTTATTCTGCAGTGCTAAAAAAAAAATTTAGGAGAAAAAGAAAAAAGAAAAAAATAATATCATGATAAAGAGAGAGAGAAACCGAAAACTTTTTTTTCTTCTCTCTTCACTACAGGTCTTACCCAATAAAATTAATACATGTGGCTTAAACACCGCTCTTTAAATTCCTACTATTAGGATCGCTACTAAAAAATAAAACTGTTATTGATTTATTTTTAATAATATTAATCTTATGAACCCTTAATTTTTGTTTTAAGGAACTCCCTTTGGAGATGGTGTAAAGATTCTCTAGGATAGATAAAACTTTTAAAGCTCTATAAATTTCAGCGAAACTTCCCAAAGTAAAATCCAAGTAAAGAATAGTATAATAGTAGTGGTTTATAAAAAATTTGTCGAAAAATACAAAGAAATATATAGAAAATAAACCATCACGTAAATCCCAACCTTGGGTTCTTGGGAACGAGTTTATCTCCGATTCTCGCTGGTTCCGAGTTACAGCGCGTGAGGATCACACATTGTGTTCGTTTTGGTGCTTCTTCACTCGCTGCTGATTCTCTTCTTGAATCATCTAATCTCTCATCTGACGTTGGTTCTCCTGATGAAACCAATACGTTTTCTGGCGAGGCATGTCGTCGGAAAGGATCTTTCTTTGTTTCACTGCTCTGTTCTTCTTGATCTTCGAAGAAGTTGTTGTTCGCTAATGAAGGAGATCTATGCGGTGCAGATCTGCATCGAGTTAGTAAAAATGCGTTTCTTGGTGGTGTAGCTGTGAAAGATTTACATGAACTTGCTTCTTCTTCTTCTTCTTCTTTTTGAGTCTCCTCTGTTTCTTCTGGCTCCACTGTGGAGCGGCCAAAGATAGGCTCACTTCGAGACGAACTTGATCTCTTCTCTGACTTTCTCGAGAAACTTACATTAGAGAACGATTTCCATTTGCGCCACACAGGGCTAAAACAAGTAGGTTTGATAGGATGACATGAAAATGCGTTTTTGACCCACCCGCACCGACGTCCCCGGCGGCGGTTTTGACCCGTTGCACCTCCGATGGTCGGATTAGTTCCGGGTTTGGGTTTCTTTGACCGGTTTATCCGTACTTGACCCATGCAAGTGACTTTAGGTGAAGTTGGTTCTTGTGTCTCCGTCGTCGCCGATGCGTTCTTACGCCGGAAAAAGATAGGTCTTCTTGAACGAGAACGGCTTCTGCTTCTGCTTCTGCTTTTGGTCCGCAAGAACCGCATGAGTAGAGGTGGGTTCTCGGTTCGACCCGGACTTGAAACGGGTCTTGATGAAGAAAACCTCATCGTTAGCACTGAAGGTTTTTGGAAGCTCTCACTCTTATTTTTGGGTTGCACTGGTCCCTCTCCCTATATGATTCAGATCGAAGACTGCGGTTTTGTATTATTTTTATGTTTTGTTTATGTTCACACGTTGGGTTCACAAATTTTGACGGCTGAGATCCTTTCTATAAGAAGAAATCGGCGGTTCTGCTTGGCTAATCCTCTTTTACAAGAAAAGTTTTTTACTATTTGTATTTTTTGTCTCTATGCTCTCGAGTTGTTTGTTCAAGAGATCTATTGCTGGATTCACTTTCTCGGGACATCTTGCTTCTTGTTTGAAGCTATATAGTAGTACTAGTTAAAAAAAAAAATTCTAAAGCTTGTAAATAAAAAAATCGATAACTTGAGTCAAAAGAAGAGAACGTAATATAAAGAGTACTATTGCAAATTTGCAATGTTATACTCCATATAACGAAACTATCAAATACATGGTCATTTTATAAACTGACAATTAACAAATACCCGAAGATTTTGTATGCAAATTTTACATGCATGAAAGAGTACACTAGTAAATGAAAATATCAGTTAAGATCTTAGATTGTTTCCACTAAAATCTGAGTTTTCCCTACGTATATCATACGGCAATAACTTTGGCACCAACTAATTCGCATATATCTATCACATTATCTCTTTCAGTTCTTTTCATTTTTGTAAAACATCAAATTATTGGTTCTACATGACTTTGGTCTTTAACTAGTGCTTGTCTAATTGTCAAGCATCTTGGCTTTGTGCTATAAAAAAAAGACTACCGAAAAATCAAAAGCTAAAATCTCCTTTTGGATTTTGTTAAAGAAAAAAAGAAACAAAATCTCCGAATGGATGTCTTTGCCTCTGTCTGCTTACAACTTCTTCATTTAGTTAGATGCAATATGTTGATTTTTCGTCGTTGGGTTTTGCCATTCTTTAGTTGTTGTGTCAATGTGTCATTAGTCATTACATTGAAAAGCTTTGTAATGTATTTAGATGGTATGGATCTTATGAGCGAGGCAAGATCCATGACGTTTGCTCTTAGAATCATTTGATGTTTGTTAGATTACACTTAAGAGATATATAACTAGGGTATATTGACATTTCGTTTAAAATGAGCAATAACACTAATTATCATGAGTTTTAAAACATGACAAGAAGAGATTTATTTCTCTTTGAGTTTAAGGTTTTGTCTTATAGAAGCCATATACTTTCCCAAAAGCAGGCGTTTGCCTAGCATTACTTTCATGATTGATTTGGAATTTTTTTTTTTTTTTGACTTTTTAATAATATTGTGGATAGACTATATGTTTCAAATAATAAATTAAACTGCATTTAAGAAAAGCCTATGGCTCTATTCTATATCTAATATCGGTTTATATCTTTACTTAAAAGACCAAAAATGTTAAATCATATGACTTTGCACAGTTTTTTTTGCTTTTTCTTTTCATCACTTTCATGGTCTCACCTTCTCAAGACTATTCTCTAGATTAAGTACTCTCAAGAGTTAAGAAAAATAGGTAGATAACATATTTACCTGATAAAAGATTTTACCCCAATTACTGAAAGCATTATAAAGGTTATATAGCTGCATGAACTAGTAGTTGATAGTTTTTAACTTTTAACCGGTATTAATCTGGTTTACATCCACCGCCAAAATCAATCCATGACAATAAGATTCATTACTAAGCAAGCAACCATAGACTATTTAATTATATTTGTTATAGTATACCATTAGGCATTAGCAATGATTTTTCATTAATTTCCCAAATATGTTTCAGTTAATGTGTTCCAATCCCAACAACTGGTTGTTGCCAAAAGACAACCAAAACAAGCAATCATCAGACATCAAAATACTCTTACCGTAGCTCACCGGTTTCAATCACACACCAAATCTATACACAATTCCCATTAAAGTTCTTATATATCAACTACCTTGACACATTGTTTTTCCCAAAAACAAAGAAAAGTACCCATTCAAGAAACCATCTTCCTTAAACAGAAATTTAAAGGTAATGGGATCTCTAGAGAGATCAAAGAAGAAAGTTCAAGTATGGAAGAAAGCTCTGATCCATTTCTCTCTTTGTTTTGTGATGGGTTTCTTCACTGGCTTTGCTCCTGCTGGTAAGGCCTCATTTTTCTCTAATTCCGATACCACCACCTATACTTCTACAAAATCTCAAATTCCACCCCAACCTTTTGAAAACTCTACCTACGCACCCCATTCCCTACTCAACAGAACCTTGATCATCAATTCCCAAGCTGAAGCCCCTGCTCCTGCAGAGTCGCGAGAATCCGGAGAAGAAACCAGATCTCTCTCCGAGACGGAAGACGAGAACCAAGTTAAAGTGACACCAAGAGGACTAGTGATTGTTGTAACCCCGGTGATGACAAAAGATCGGTACAAGAACGTTCTTCTTAGGAGAATGGCCAATACCTTGAGGCTAGTCCCGCCTCCATTATTGTGGATAGTCGTGGAGAAACACTCGGATTCCGACGAAAAATCTTCCTCTACAATGTTAAGAAAGACTGGTATCATGTATAGACGTATAGTCTTCAAGGAGAATTTCACTAGCATGGAAACAGAGCTTGATCACCAGAGGAATCTAGCTTTGAGGCACATTGAGCAGCACAAATTAAGCGGGATAGTTCATTTTGCGGGCCTAAACAACATATATGATCTTGATTTTTTCGACAAGATCAGAGATATCGAGTACGTTAACTTAAAACAACATTTTCTTTAAACATCACAAATTAGAAAAGAGTTTTTTTAGAAAAATGTGTTTCTTGTGTTGCAGGGTATTTGGTACTTGGCCAATGGCATTGTTATCGGCTAATAGGAAACGAGTGATAGTAGAAGGGCCGGTTTGTGAATCTTCACAAGTATTGGGTTGGCATTTGAGAAAAATAAATAACGAGACAGAGACAAAGCCTCCGATTCATATATCAAGCTTTGCTTTCAATAGTTCCATACTTTGGGATCCTGAGAGATGGGGTCGTCCTTCTTCTGTTGAAGGCACCAAACAGGTAACTTTAGCTTCAACCCCAACTTTTATTACCTATTCAAATCTTTTCTTGGTGAATGTGAAAACATTTTGAGCTTGTTTTTTTGTTATTTGTTGTTGCATAGGATTCGATAAAATATGTGAAGCAAGTAGTTTTGGAGGACGATACAAAGTTGAAAGGACTTCCGGGACAAGACTGTTCCAAGATTATGCTTTGGCGTCTCAATTTTCCCACAAGAACACGTTTAAGTACCTGATTTGCTTTCTCTCTTTTTTTTTTTTTTTTTTTTATTCTCTAATCTCCTTTTCTCCACATTAGACCTTTTTTTTTTGGGAAAAAGAAACACTTATAGAGAGAACAACAAGCAGAAAAAAAGAAAAAAAAAGGATTTGGATCTGTCATGAAACAGAGCTTGAAGAAGTTTTGTCTGTGTCAGATTATAGCCAAAGCTGAGACTTACAAAGAATTGAACCAAAGTAAATCATAATTCATGTGTTACACAAAAGGAAATCAGAATCTACTACACCAAGGGGAAAAGATAAACAAATCATAATTCATGTATTCCAAAAGGCTCTTGAACCAAAGTAATCCAGACACAAACATATGTAATACATAAGTTTAACATACTTTTCAGCAAATTTTTTTGAAACTGTGTGTTTTTGTATTAATTATTAAAGATTTTAAGGAAACAATCTTGTATAGTAATGAATATGAATCTTAGAAGCGAAGCAACAAGTACATAGATGAGTCTATTCTTATCAAAGACACATGGTGACATGCATGAAATGATTTGGCGACCATCGATGTGTTCATATATTGGAGTGCTAAGATGATTTGGAGGAGATCCTGAATAAAAAAAAAGTCGAAGAACTTCTTCTTATGTCGTATGTACTAGCTTTTTGATAGGTTTACCTAGTATAACTAATTAAGTCGTATGTACTAGCTAGCCGATATGGCATCCGTGACACAGTAATCAGTAATGTTATTACAACGGTCATGATGATCTCTGTGACTCATAGGAGTAGCAAAAAGGGGAGTATGCACTGGTACTACTGCTCTTCTACTGCCTTGTGTTTCTTCTTCCCCCTTCAATGGTAACTACTATCGAATATAGACTTTGCTCCATCTAGTAGGTATCCTGGCCATTCTGAAGTTTCAGGATTATCGCGGTCATTAGGCTCTACAAAGAGAGCGTTGTAACCACGCGCCTCCGAGTTACTAAGACATCTGATGAAGTCATAGTCAACTGTAATGTTCTTGGAGATGACAATCACATTTGATTCCCAACAAATCTGCCAAGGTGTTGCCAGTTCCCATAAAAGAATGTCATGAATCATCCTATTAAATCTTGTATTCTTATCCCCTGGAAAAAAGTATACATAATCAGAGATTATAGATTACATACATACAGTAATAAAGGGATAAAGATAAAAAGAATTCACCTCCGGTAATGAAGTAAATTCTGGCTTTCCGATACTCATCCACTAAATCATTTGGGAACGGTATCTCCTCAGCATAAGCCCATATTGACATTTCACCATAATAACGTCTCGCCTCAAGAGCTGATTTGAAATTCTGATAGATCGATGGAGGATCAAGACCGATAGGGAACGGTGAATCATCGAAGTCCCAGAACACGCCAGTCTTACAACCACCATAAACAAGGTCAGCATCAGGATCATCATCAGTTTCAACATCAGGATCAGCAGCAGGATCAGCATCAAGATCAGCATCATGATCAGCATCAGTTTCAACATCAGGATCAGGATCAGTTTCAACATCAGTATAAGGATTAGAATCAGTTTCCCAACTGGTAGAAGAAGAAGTATCGTCAACAATTTGGTCCATAGGATTTCCTCCATTAGCATCAATTTGATCCATAGGATTGTCTCCATTTAAAAATCTAGTAGAATCGAATATTAAATCTGGAGTATGAAATAGCTTTCCTGAAGCGGCTTCATTATGAGGCTGTACCACGAGAACATTGCAACCTCTAGATTTCAACACACAAAGAACCCTGAGGGACTCCTCGTCTTGAAGGAACTTTTTTGAGATTACCATCACATTTTGTGGCTTAGGAGCATGGGCCGCTACTAGGAGAATCATGTTGCATATCATGGGATAACCAGAACCTATATAATAGGAAACATACACATCAGACATATAAGTAGAAAAAATAGTGTGTCAAGAGGTTTTTGAATTTATAAGGGACTGAATATACACCTCCGGGATTGTAATTGATAGATGCCTCATTGATCAATTCACCGGCTAAGTCTTCGGAGATCTCTTTCTCACTATAAGCATTGATTTCCCTATGGCAACCATAATAACCCATTTCCTCTAAAGCTAATATAATGCTGCGAGAAATACATCTAGGCTCGACATCTTCAGGGATTGGGTAATCGTCCACGTCCCAGAAGACGCTTGTGTAAGCGTCTTCATAAAACAAGAGTTAAACAGGAGAGGAGAGGAAACAAAAGATTAGATTGCAATACTGATCGAATTAGATCTGATAGTAAACTGGTTACAGATCGCTAACAAAAAATTTCTTATCAATCAAAAAGAGATACTAAGAGAGGAGTTACGTGAGAAATCTTTCTTGGAGAAATCTTTCTTGTCGACGTTCATGAAATCTTCCTTGTCCATGGTTTCGACGTTGATAGGATCTTCTTCCTTTTCCATGGTTTTATCCTTGGCCGGCTTTGTTTTTTTCTTCCACCGCTTCCTCAAACTGGGCGCAAGTTTGAATGTGCCAATAACGTTACCTGTATCTAGTAGGCATCCTGGCCAATCTGAGTCGAGAGACTTTTTTGGTACAAGCTGATCTTTAGGCTCGACTAAAAAAGAATTGTAACCTCTGCAACTGAAACAATCAAGAGTAAAGAGGAAGTCAATGACTCTTGGGACGAAGTATATGGTGGTTATTCCGTCTGTTTGGATGTTGTTTGAGATGACGATTGCATTTGATGGTGCAGGAAATATATTTGGAGTGTCCATTGCCCATAAATGCATGTCATGGATCATCCTATTGACTCTCGCATTCTTATCCCCTGAACAAAAAAACATATACCTCATCAGATCATAATCTCCTATGTATGTAAGAGGGACATAGAGTGTGATAAATTATATAAGAATTCACCTCCGACAAGGAAGTAGATGTTGCACTTCCGATACTCATTCAGTAAGTCAGGCGAGAACGTTATCTTCTCAGTGTAAGCCCAAATTGTCACGTCATTAATATAACCTTTCCTCTCAAGAGCTGATACTAATTTCTCATGGATAGATGGAGGATCAAGGCCATCAGGGAATGGTGACTCATCAACGTCCCAGAAGACGCCAGTGATAGGCGTAGGGCGGCGGAGGATATTCTCTGCAAGGTTTTACAAAACGGAAAAAGTCATAAACAAACTGCAAAAACCGAAGGAAATATATAAAAGATGAGGTTACAATAGAAATAGATTTAAACAAGAGATGGGTCGAATTAAATCTGCTATTAGACTGGTTAGCTGCAGACAGCTAAGAGAGAAAGGAGCTTACTGGAGAAATCTTTGTAGTCCACAGAGACGTTGGCTGTTTAGAGAAAAATTGAAGAATGCAGCATTAGGAGGAGTAACATAATAACAAAGGACAGAAGCTCTAGTAATTCTAAGGATAAGAAGGAGTACGTACGTGAGATTCCACTTTGGTCCATCAGTTTGCTACAAGCAGATACTGAGTCCGGAGTACGAAAAAGCTCTTGTGATGTGGCCTCATCGTGAGGCTGTACCAAGAGAACATTGTGACCTCTTGATTGCAAAGCGCGGAGAACCCTGACGAGCTCAGTGTTATCTGAAAAGTCTTTTGAGATTACAACCAAATTTATTGGTTCACTCCATGACTCGTTAAGAATGTGAAATATCATTAAGTTAGCTCGAATGTCTTTATCCGCTGCAAAAATGTATATATTACCAACAAAAATCTAGATTAGAGGGCATATCATCCATCATATATAGAAAGAAAAGAGAAGAGTATTAAGAAGGTTTAGGGCATTAACCCTCGGATACGTAGAGGAGTCGTCTGCCATCCTCAAATTCGGCGATCTCCTTCGTCTCACCAAAAGCAAAGAATTCCGCCAATCGAGAAACATAACCCATATTGACCTCAAGAGAGGTTTGGATTTTACATATCACCGAATGAAGATTGTCATCTTTAGGGATTGGGCAATCATCCAAGGCCCAGAAGGCGGCTGTGATTGAGTGAACACCAGTGCCTCCACATAACAGATACGGAAATAGTCGTAAGCAAATTGCGAGTAAATAAAAAGATGACGAAATATCGGATCGAACTAGATAATCTGATAGTAAACTGATTACAAGCAAACTCACAAATTATTTATCATCAATCAAGAAGAGATAGAAAGATAGATATGAGCTTACTGGAGGAATCTCCAATTTCGAAACCTTCGTCGGCCATGGCTTCGGCGGAGAGGTGAATTGTGAGACTTGTCAAAGTTAATCGATTATGAGACATGCAAGTGGATTATCCGATTATGTACGCTACTAGGGTTTTGATCTCTGCCATGCTTTCAGCCGCTGGATCTCAATTCTTTTTTTGTTAAGCTACTCAATTAGGTATGGTTTTTTTAAAAAAATTAATAATTATAAATATGTGATTTCACCTTGTATTCATTAAATATAAATATGAAATTTAAGTAAAAAAAACAAATATGCATATATACATATTAGTAAGTTTATGTGGTTTATGTAATGACCAAGTTGTTCTTGCCTTCCGACACAAGTCACTGCTATTTATTCTCTAATCTCCTTCAAATTCTACCTTTTCCTTTTTTCCGGATTTATACATCAGAAGAAAATGTAACACTTGTATAGAGAGACTTACAAATCGAGACGCTAAATCTTTTCATTGAAACTGAGGGTATAGAATGTTTGTCTGCGTTTATTTATAGCCAAAAGAATTGAACACAAAAGGAATCCAAAATCTACTACAAAAGCGGGAAGATAAAGCTACCAAATCCTAATTCATGTATTCCAAAGGCTCTTAAACCAAATTATTAGAGAGAGAAATGTTAATAAGTTTCGTATACTTCCTCAGCCAGATTTTCTGAAACCGTGTGTTTTGTTTAAATTGTTTAGTTGTTGGTCTTAACTTTTTAATCACATGCAAATTAATTAGAAAAAAAGAGAGAGGATAATCTTATAGAATAATGAATATGAATCTTCCAAGCGAAGCAAAAAGTACATTAGTCAAATCTTAATAAGACACATGCATGCACTAGTGTGTTTGGTCATGAACATCCTGACGAGTTCATAGGGTGACTTTTCGTCCATCGGTGTCCATATATTTTCAAGTATTGGAGTGCTAAAATGGTTTAGATGAGATCATGTATAAAAGGAACTCAAAGAACAGCTTATTTTCTTGAATTTGTGCAACTGAAAATTTATTTTACTTTAGCAAGGTATGATTTATCCATTACATTTAAGATGTTTACAGCCACCAAAAGAAATTATAGTAGTGATTAGTGTGAGGGATATTGTTAATTTGTCATGCATGTATGAGGGGTAGTAAGTTTAATCAATTCTTCTTTTTAATAATTGGATAATCCTACAGAAAACTTATATAAGATTGATCTAGGGCCTCATACACGTTCCTATATTTAGCTAGTCATGTTACGAGATATGAACATGTTTTTAACTTTGTTTCTATCTCCTATTGCAACTTTTATAACTAGCTAGTTAATGTTTGTCTTAACCGAAATACAAACAAATGTTTAAACTCAGTCATCTAGAGAGTAGATTCTTAATGCTAGAAAGTATATTATTGAATTAATTTACATAACTATATAACAGTCTTGTTGTAACTAAGTCGTATGTACTAGCTAGCCGATATTCATATAGGTGATCAATAATAATTTCAAACGTTTTGGTCGTTGGATTAGATACACGACCTGTCAAGGTCAAGAGCGTCAAATTAGCTAGTGCACATGGAATAATAGTCCCAATGAAACTCTCTAATTAAATGTAATGTGAGAGACATGGACCGACCAAAATTTTGGGATATCAATGTCCATAAATCTAATTACACATACTCCGACCATATAGTATTACCATATAGTGAGTGTATTTAATAATAAATATGCAGGTTGCATTAAACTCCCGGTAACCTATTGCGGTGGCAACTGGGAATTCCTAGGATCCCCGAAAACGTAAAAACAATAATGGCCACACAAAGTCACATACGTACTCTATTTATTAACTTATGACTACATAATTCAAAACAAAAGAACAAAATACACATACTCGATGAACCTTTTAGGTGTGGTAGTATTTTTTTTAACACCCGACCTGATTATTCTAGCTTAGTTGAGATTAGTAGGAATCCATATTTTTGGTTTTTCAACGGCAGTTATATGTGGTTGTTAGGTCAGTGGTAGTCTATTTTTGACTTGGTAGTTTGACATTAGGAGTCATCGACTAATCTAATTACATATGGACTTGAATTAGTAGTAGTGACATAATTAGTAGTCTCATCAATAGCTCTACTACTACTGGTGGTATATACTAGTTTACTACCTGAAAAAGAGTTTTCGAAATCACCACTTCGAATACCAAAGATAGAGAAAGAAGTGTACTTAAGTACTAATCAATTAAAACAAGTCTTGCAGAAAAGAAAAGGAAAAGATCACTATGATAGAAAAAGGAATTAAAATATATAAAGTGGTAACAAGTGTACAGATCACTGCTTAATCTTCACTTAAATAAACAATAAAAAAAGATAACCGTTATAGCAACTTACCGTTGGCAATGAAGTAGCTGCTGCTATAGCAACATGAGGCCGAACCATGGCACGTGACTCCTCCTCTGGCGCATCAACGACAACAAGCGACGCCTCTCTTTATCCTTTATCTTCTTTTTTTTGTTTGTTGTTTTCTTGTTTGTATTGTACAAGGATCCTCCTCTTGTTTCTTCAACTTGATGCAATTATTATCACTATACCACGAAAACTATATCCTTTCCAAGTAAATAGTTTAAAGTAATAGAATAGTGTTGAACAAGGTAAGACCATCTCCAATGGTTAGAACCATGGGAGGGTGCTTATTCATTTTTTTGCATTAATTTTTTAAAAATAAATTTATAAGTAGCCCTTAGTCTTTGCTTAAAGAGTTAATTTAGACAACAAAGCTTATGAAAAGTGCTTGATTTGCATTAAATATAATGCAATAAATATAGGCAATGTCTTAAGTTTCCCATTAAGCAATGCCAATGGAGTTGCTCTAAGGTGTTAAAATATATTTCCTACACATATGTATGTATTGGTAATGTTGTTTCTAATATTATTATTACTCTTAACTTCTTAAGAGTGTCATCATGTCAATGCATGCTAGCACGTTTCAAGTGCCAAAAACTGTAAATAAATCACTGATTATTACTGTGTTTAAATCTACTCTTTTGTTATTGAAGATTTTTGTTGTTTTGTGTCGTCTTTAAAGAGTTGGAATTAAAGAAAGAAGAGGTTGACGTTACATTCCTTTGAGGCTTTTGAATGGTGGTTACATGTTAAGCAATTATGGTTAAATGGAGTTTAGTGTGAGTTTTATTTTTACAATTTTAGACGTATTTAAACTTGATTATGCTATATTTGTCTTCGCATTAAACTTTTTCAAAAACGTCTTTTAAAAAACAAATATATTATTTCAGAGTAACGAACATCACCTGACCTACATGGTGGGAAAGAGAAGGTAAATAAAATAGGTACTAAACTGATATAAAACAAAAAGTATCGGGGCAAAATCATGATTTCCTGATACTATTTTTTTCACAGTCTCTCTCTCACTTTCTCTCTTTTCTCTTTCTGGATATTAAATGTGTAAACAAATAGACAGTTCACTGGTACACACACACAAAAAAAAATAAAGGACTCGGGAAGCGAGCAGAGTCAGTAAGAGAACAACACTAGGGACAAAGAGAGAGGAAGAAGATGATGTCCGAAGCTCCATAGGTTTAAAGTACTCTTCTTCGTTTAGCTTCTGCAATTTTTTTTTTGTTTCTTCATTTCATTTCGTAGCTAGTTTCTCCGATCTCTTTGTTCTAAAAGCATTTCAGACCAAAAGAGAAAAGCTAAAGCCACAGTGCTGCTGCAGGTATAGAACACCGAACACTACTTCTCTCTCCCTCTCTCTCTCTCTCTCTCTCTCTCTCTCTCTCTCTCTCTCTCTCTCTCTCTTCTTTAATATGTTTGAAATACTTAAAAACTGGGTTTTTTATTTATCTGTTTCTTAGAAGATGTTCCTTAATTGGTTCGAAAAAACCTAAACTTTTCCATTTGTTTCTTTGTTTACAAAAAAATATTTATACATTATTATGTTGTAGAAAGTTTAAATCTTTGAGGACTTGGGTTAATTGTTATGTTTAATCTCTCTTTTGTGTTGTTCTTCAAGTTGAAGATTCAAAAGCAAAGCGTTTCTGTTGTATTTTTAAAAGAAACGATTTTTGAAAGTTTTGATTTTTCTGGAAAAAAATGTTCTGGTTTAGGTTTAAATTGAAATTTCGAAGTTGGTTAGTTTCTTTTAAGATCTGTTGTCTATTTTAGGGAAGATCCACCTAATAAAAACAGAGCCCACGTTAAGTAAATGACAGGAATTGTTATTTTCTCCTTCTTCAAAAGATTCCAAATTTTTTTGAAGAGAAAACAAAAACCAAAATTGATGACTTGACAACTCAAAAAAGATTTTCATGTGGAATTTATATAATTGTACTTTCTTTGCTTGTAATTGGGTTTATCTCTGTCATTAGACTGAATCACATTTGATAAAAACTTCTCCTTTTTCTACTAATTTTGTTTCCTTTGACTGTGAACAGTTCCTTGTAATGTTTGTCTCTTGTTCCCTTGGTTTGGTGGTAGTGGTAGTAGTTTCAAATGGAGTCTCTTTGAAGCTAATGTATTTGTTTTGTTTAGTTTGTTAGGGTTTTTGTTTTTTTGTACACTTGCTTAAGCTTTGTACTTCCGTTGAGTTTGTTGTATATGCTTATGATAATCTTATAATACGTGACTGGTGTTTGTTGCTTCTTTCTCACATACACAGTTTCTCTTCATGTTCTTTTTGTCAGGTTCTTCTTCAAAATAAAGGACAGGGAGTGTTTTTAAAACTCTAATCCCAAGCAATGCAGACGCCAAAATCTAGGTGACAATCTTCAATCTTGTCCAGAGTTTTCTCTTTTGTGTGTCTTTTAGAGTCTTTGATGTGTTCATTGGAGATATTTGGTTGTAGTTTTTGAAGTCTTGATTTGTTTCAATTGTTCTTGGGGGTGTATTTTAGTGGCTTATTGATTCCTACTTGGTTTGTTTGATTATGATAGGCCGGGATCGTTGGAGGTGCCTCAAAAGAAATCTCCTGCAGCAACTCCTAAAACTGCTGCTCGTAAGCTAAAAACTGCAGAATCCGATCCTGTTTCGTCTCCCAACCCGAAAATCAGGACACCGAAAACTCAAAGCCCAAAAGTAGTTGCTGATCGCCGTTCTCCAAGAACCCCTGTAAATGAGGTACTACTAGCTTTGCACAATGCTTTGTTTATCAATGCCTATTTGGTTTGACTCATACTAGTCTCAGTTTTCCATGTTTCGTGAGGACTAGTTTTTATTGTCGGGAACCTGGTTCTTATTCTTGGTGCTGCTAAATACTCTCTAGGTGATTGAAGTTTGTCAATGTATTGTTTCTTACAACAACTGATTAAACCTTGCAAGTTGTTGATACTGGAGTGTTTGCAATAACTGAAAGAGAAATGTACCATTTGTGTTGTTTGTTAGTATTGTGGCTTGTTGCAAACAGTCCAGTATGTGTATAAACTTTATATTTGTGATATGTGATGCATCCATTTCGTAATTGATTTGTTTATATTCGTTGCTTCTATATGCAAGATTCAGAAGAAGCGGACAGGGAGAACCCCCGAAGTGGCATCTCAGATATCTCAGCTGCAAGAGGAGCTAAAGAGGGCAAAGGAACAGTTAAGTGCTTCAGAAGCGTCAAAGAAGGAAGCTCAAGATGAAGCAGAGGAGACAAAGCAGCATTTGATGGAGATCAATGCCTCTGAGGATTCTAGAATTGATGAGCTTCGTAAGCTCTCTCAAGAACGAGACAAAGCATGGCAGTCTGAACTCGAAGCAATGCAGAGACAGCACGCCATGGATTCCGCTGCTTTAGCTTCTAGTATGAACGAGGTCCAGAAACTGAAAGCGCAGCTCTCTGAATCTGAGTCTGTTGAAAACTTGAGTATGGAACTTAATGAGACACTGTCTCTTGTTGAAAAACTCAGAGGTGAGCTGTTTGATGCAAAGGAGGGTGAAGCTCGGGCACACGAAATTGTGTCGGGAACTGAAAAGCAATTAGAGATAGCAAATTTGACGCTTGAAATGTTACGCTCAGATGGGATGAAGATGTCTGAAGCTTGTAATTCCCTTACAACTGAGCTAGAGCAGTCTAAATCTGAGGTAAAGTCACTAGAGCAACTTGTGAGACAGCTTGAGGAAGACAATGAAGCCCGAGGAAACACCAGCGGGGACTCATCATCAATGGAAGAACTTAAAGAACAGATTAATGTTGCAAGGCAAGAGATTAGCCAATTGAAATCTGCAGTGGAAGTGACTGAGAGAAGGTACCATGAAGAGTATATCCAGAGCACGTTGCAGATAAGAACAGCTTATGAACAAGTCGAGGTTGTAAAATCTGGATATGCAGAAAGAGAGGCCGAGTTGGGGGAAGAACTGAAGAGAACCAAAGCTGAAAGAGAGTCTTTGCATGAACGGTTGATGGATAAAGAAGCTAAGCTGAGGATACTTGCCGATGAAAACGAGTTACTGAACTTAAAAATCAAAGAAAAGGAAGAAGTAAACATAAACTTGGAGAACAGCTTGAACCAGAAAGAGCCTGAGCCTACGGACGAACTCAGGAAGCTAGAATCCGATGTACTGGAGTTGAAAGCGAATCTAATGGACAAGGAGATGGAGCTGCAGAGCGTAATGTCGCAGAATGAGAGTCTCAAGAGTGAAATGGAAACAATGCAGAGCGAGAAGAACAAGGTTATCAATGAGGCCTTAGCGAAGCTTGGGAGTCTGACAGAGGAAGCGGATAAGAGCGGGAAGAGAGCGGAAAATGCAACAGAACAGCTAGGGGCAGCACAAGTAACCAACACAGAACTAGAAGCTGAGCTGAGGAGACTCAAGGTTCAGTGTGATCAATGGAGGAAAGCAGCTGAAGCCGCAGCTACTATGCTCTCTGGTGGTAACAACAACAATAACAGTAACGGGAAGTACGTGGAGAGAACAGGATCGCTAGAGAGTCCATTGAGGAGGAGGAACGTGAACATGTCGCCTTATATGGATGAAACGGATGATGAATTGTCATCACCAAAGAAGAAGAATGGGAGTATGCTGAAGAAGATTGGTGTGTTACTGAAGAAAAGCCAGAAGTGATCATTGAAGTTCAGGAAAAAGAAATTACCATTGTCTGTCTGTAATATCCGCTTATTTTTATCACAAGTTTCAATGTGTAGACATGTTTTTGTTGCCCAAAAAAAAAACTGTATTGTGAAACTACTCTTTTGCTTCTCTTTCTATTGACGCAGCTGAAACACTGATCAACATTTTATAAAGCTAAACTTTGGTTGTTTCCGATACAACAACATTGCTCCTAAGCTTGTTACACATCTACTGCGATTGCTTGCTATCCCTCTTACCAGCTCTGGAAATACTTAAGGTACTACCTAATAATAAAAGTATACTGTATTTTTGAATAGAAGGTTTCAAAACTTGATATACAAGTTGATTTTTATACTTCATAAAATCCATAGCAAACCAGACTGCAAGTACTAATCAAAACTATTCATGATAGAGCACTTGTCCATCTGGTCTTTACTTAAAAGCTGTATATTATACGAAGTTGCAAGTGATTTGGCTTCATTACCGTTGCTACATTATCCGAGTTGTTCCTCTGCACTGACTTTTGAATACATTTTGCTGGTAAGCTTTGGTGAAGCTGAGACAATCAGCCTTGAATTCCTTGAAACAGGACTGGCCTTTGCTTTAGACATTGTAGGTTGGGACTTTGCAGACGTGGTTCTACTAGTAGCTGATCCATTGGGAGTACGAGCTCCATGTTTTGCCAAGCCACTTACAAGACTATTACACGATCCTGTGGGTGTTCGTGCAACGCTGCTCCTCGCCTGTTAACAATCATATGGATCAGATATATTTCTATGTCAATGTTACTCTTGTTACTTCCTAGTTTATATGCAAAGGATTTCATGAATTTGGGAACTTACTCCATCAAAGTAGCCAATTTTGGGTGATGGCACGCGGAGTCCTGTTGGTTTCATCATGGAAGCAGAGGGCACAGCACCGCCATTGACAAGTGAACCACATTTTGCACCTCCTTTATCCGACTTAGTGTCATCTTGGACAGCAAATACATCTTTAGAATTGTTAAAAGGCTTCAAAGTCCGTGTTGCAGGGCTGCTTTCACCAAAGACAGTTTTCTTGTTGCCTTTAGCCAGTTTATTAGGTGTTGAAGCTCGCAGTGATTCGGATGACCAGTCAACACTAGCACTTAGACGTGAAACATTAAGCTTGGAATTGTACGTCCTATTGGCTGAGAGGGGTGAAACTTTAGGCTGGCCTATAACTTTAGATCCTGCCCGGGATGTTGGTCTATTTGCCAAAGTATGGGTAGCTATTCTTAAACTCTGATCTTTCTTCTGCTTTACTGAATTTAGAGAAGACTTGTTAGAAGTGATTGACGAAACACTGAGACAGCTCTCAAGTGAGGAGCAAGAAGATGTCAATTCATTCTTGGAGGCAAGTGAAGAACGTGAAGCAGATTTAAAAGGCACTAGAGGTGTTGATACAGTAGGTCGAGTCCTTCTTGAAATTGGAAGTCTGGAAGCCAAAGGCTCTTTACCTGTAAAAATAACAATAAGATGTAGAAGTAAAGAAAGATATAGTTAGTAAAAGACATGTAAAGACTTATTTAAGAAAGAGTTGTGACTAACCCCCAGATAATTTAGGATTCGTTTCTTGTTTGGCTTTGTTAGTATCGACTGAAGCTCTGATAGTTTTGCTGAGTCCAGTGGATGGCCTGGAAATGGAAGTATTGTGTTCTGATGAAGCGATGGGCTGTAGAGAATGTATCACAAACAACAACCAAAAAAGCTTATCAGTTTGCTTTCACTTTGAATTGCTGAACATTTTCTACCACTCTTATCCTGTCAGATGCTTTAACAAGACAGGACATATAGAGAGAGTCGTAAACATACCTTCTTTGTCCCTTTTACTAATCCTTGCGCCCTAATACTTGGCCTTTTACGAATAGGATTTGGTGTCATCTGATAAAACAAACAAAACAAAGACATGGTTAATCATGGAGAGAGTGCAAGATCAAACCATACCTTAAAGTTGTTTTGGCACTTACCTTTTCCTCAGAGCCAGGGTCGTCTAGTGTACTTGTAGCTACAAATTTCAAATGAGAGAAAATAGAAAAAAATGGTCAATTTGAGATTCATAGATAACAGAAATTAACTAAGTACAATTATATACAGTTTCAAACAACACTTCCTATATGTTCTTCTGTTTGATATGGAATAAAAAAAACAATTTGTGAGACCAAAGCTCCATATAGAATAAAATCATAGCCAGAGATGCCAATGCTTTGAATTGGAAAGCTAGTTCCTTTTCTCTTTACCAAATATAAAAAAAAAAAAACATACTTGGGCTAGGTGTTGTCTCTGTTGCTCTCAATCCATTAGTCTTGTCAGGTGTTGCTGCATCAGACCTTTGGATTGACCCTCTTACATCATCAAATGAAACAAACTCATGACCAGTCTCAACAGTGCAGTCACTTTTCAATGTAGATATGGACTCTGTTGATCTATGCAGATCCTCCTGAATGGTTGGTAAATTCTTTCTCTCCATCATGCTAGAGAGTTCATCCGGTTCCAAAACACCTAATTTTGAGAAAAAAAACGCATCTTCAGCAAAAACTAAACAAACACACTACTAAAATAAATAAATAAATAAATCACAGAACACAGCAACAACAACATGCCTGGATTGGTGAAAAAGGCTTTATCCCAAGCAAGACTTTTGCGCAAATTAGTCTTCATCATCTTAAGAGGTTCCTTCTCTTGCAAAGTAGTAGATACCAAAATCTCTTCATCACCAAACAAACCAAGACCTCTGTCTTCCTTATCAGTATCTGAATACATCATCATCAACAACAACAACAGCACAAACAAAAATGTAATCAAACTTAAAAAAAAAAAAATCAATACCAACAATGAACAATTCACAAGCATTCCCAGAAAAAAAAAATCATCATGAGCTAAGTTGATAACATGGAAATAATTTTGAAATGCGATTGAGAAATAACCTGAGAATTCAAAGCTGGATGGATCGAGGAGGGACGAGAAGAGAAGGAGGTTATCATCCTCGGTGGAGACATCAATCAGATCAAGACCATCGATATCTTGAAGAAGCTCGTTTCTCCAGTTCTCGTTGTTGTCTCCCATGGAAACACACAAAAAGTGCCTTTACCAATCGAGAATTTTCCACAGATTTTAGCAAAACATGTAATAAGAATTTGAAACGAAGCAAATCGGCGGTTTCTTATTTGTTTATTCAAGTATTATTATTATCAAACCTTTTTTAATTTTGTCTTAAGTCCTTGTTTAACCGAAGTGGGCTCGAGATAAACGTGATCCGTTGATCTGTGAATTTTTGACCGTTGGATATACGTAAAGAGGGATCTCTACTAATTGCAGTAATTTTGGTTTTAACAGATAAACGCCGTGACTAAAAACAACTGTAACCAACATGTAACAATAAGCATCTAATTTTCTCATTTGGTCACACACACTAAAATAAAGCAGGGAACAAAAGGTTATATTGGCAAAAACAAAATCTAGAAAAGTACTATGAGATAATGAACATTTTGCTGTAGAGCATCGAGATTCTTAAGACAAAAGGATTCATTTTTCTCATTTGCTCTGTGTTTGATTGGTTGTATCAGAAACCATTCTTTGGACATGTGTTGAAATTTGAAACAATTATGAAGTCATCCACAAACCAAACATAAAAATGACTTTTTTTTTCGTCATATTCAGAACAAATCCAAGAAAAGAAAAGAAAAGAAAAAAAAACAATGAGATGATTATTGTCACAACACAAATAATATACAGATAAGATAAACCCTCCTTGGTGCCACAGTTCAATAATCCTCATCACTCACTAGTCTGTTCCCGGCATTGGAACCATCATATGCTGCTGAGCCTACATTGTAATCAGAGTCATATGTATTATTAGTTCTGTGCCTTTTTTATAAGGAATTGATAGATTTATAACATATGTAATGCTTTACAAGTTTTCAGTTCTGTATAATTCGCCTAATCCTTCTACAAAACATCATTATCAAAATGCACAACACTCAAGGGTCAAGAAGGTGATTCAGAAAGATGATTAATCAATTAAAATTACTGGCAAATTTGTGTTAGCTGAGAAATGATCATTGATCTGTGATATCTTTGGGATTCTGTTTAAGCTATGACTAAGGAAGGCATCAGAGACAAAGGGATGATGAGCAACTAATGAAGCTGTTACACTAATAAAGAAGAGAAGGATGTATATCGCAATGAGTTTGAAAAGAAAAGAGTGGAAAACGTTACTTGAGAATTCCCGTAAGGACCTTGTGGGAAAGAGCCTTGGTGAGCAAGCTGCGAGAACTGCCATAAGGTAAACAAACAGCGTGAATGTCTAAGACTAATTTGCGTCATAGCTCAAGCGAAAGAGAGAAAACGTGCTGGTAAATGAAAAGACACAAAATTTCAAAGCCATAAGGTTTGAGACATTTACCTGACCGTTTTGGCTTGATTGCCCATCTTTCTTTGAATTTGCATCCCCACCTTTTGCTGATCCCTTTGTGTCACCCTATTGATCATCAACAAGAACAAGGGAAGCTTCAATAATTTCATACACTAGTTGCCTAAAAGGATATATAGAATGGATGATTCTCAAAAACGTATCAAGATTGTTGCAAGTATTAGGAATGGACAAGAGAAAGAATAAGAACGACCACTGACCTCCATCTGCGATTATCCAGTTCAGGTTGTAGAAAAAGAAACAAGATAAGGAAAAACAGATTAAGTGAGTGAACATTCATAAACTTTCAGCAAACTAATTAACATCGTAATCAAAACTGTACCTTTTGAGCGTGGATTGAAAAATATGGAGAAACTAGAACATACCTCTCTATATCTCATCAGGTAAAGCTTCAGGGGTTCGATGTATTCTTCAAATCCTAAAGTGGCCATTGCCCAAAGCAAATCATCTCCATTTATGGTCTTCCTTTTCTCTCTTTGGCATTTATCACTTGCTCTGCTCAACAAAGTCATAAAAAACCATTGCATCATTACAAAAAGGATCTTTGTAAAACTAGAAACCTAACCTGAGTGATCCGATATGCTACATCTAAGCCAAACAATGTAAGGAAAGGACTCAAAAAGACCATAAATTTCAATAAACCAACCAAAGCAGACATTAAGAAAACCCAAAAATCTCAAACTAGCCAGGTGGACTTGAAATCACCATAAAGTTTAAGACTTTTGAAAACTATGGCAAGCATCAATGATCCCATGAAGCCTCTAAACAGGTCCAGCAAACCAAAATGTTGACAAGAGCAGACATGACAAAGAATTGCAAAAAACAACCAAATGTGTTAAAATGACATACTCGCTGGTGATGAAGCTGATGAATTCAGAGACACATTCCTGAACAATCTCCTTAGCATCTTTAGCGATTTTGCCATTAGGAGGAAGACCTCGTTTCATGATACGGCTTATGTTAGCAATAGGAAGAAACCTATCCTGCTCACGGACGTGTAAAGACCTCGGACTTTGATCTCCACCACTCTCATGGCTTCCACCGCCTCCGGGACTCTTGGCCTGCGACTCCGCCATCTCAGAAGAAGAAGAAGAAGGAAAAAAACCTAACTTTCACACAACAAACACATAACAGACAAAACCCATCAACAAAAAATCAAAGACAAAACACATTTCCGATTAGACATAAACACGGGAAAAGAAAGAAAAAAAAAAACAGAAATCGAAGAGGAACAGATGAATCAGACAAGTGAGAAGAGAGAAGAATGATTACCAGATGAATTCGAAAAAGGGCGGGAGTGAAACAGATAGAGAGGTGTTGATTGGGGAAAGGGAGGAGGCAGAGGGAGAGGGATCGAGAGAAGAGGAGAGATTGATCGGACGCTTGAGAAATTAAGAGAGAGGAGGACGCCTGCGATTGCAGAGATTAGGTTTTCTCTTTTATGAGCTTTTTATCAGCACCGTTCGTTTTTTTTTTCTTTCTTCCTCTCTTTATTATTCTCTCTGGTTCATAGGCATGAACACGGTTACGGTTAATGCGGTTATGGTTAATTAACCACCGGTTAACGGTTATAATTTTTTTAACCATAACCTTAATCATTATATATACGGTTAAGACGGTTACGGTTATATACGGTTACGGTTAATTACGGTTACGGTTAAATACGGTTACGGTTATTTGATGATTATTATAATATTAATATTGGAGATAAAATTTTATGAAATATTATTTATTTTACAAGTAAAAAATATATGTGTTTTCAATTATTTATAGTGAATTAGTTAAATCTGGGTATTGTAAACAGTTATAATATAATTTATTTTAAAAATTTAAATATGCGGTTAACCTAGCGTTTAACCGTACGGTTAACCGACGATTAATTACGGTTAATTATGGTTACGGTTAATTAACGGTTACGGTTATTATTATTTTTTAACCGTAACTAATTTACTTTTACGGTTAACGGTTACAATTTTTAACCGTTTTATACGGTTACGGTCCGGTTACGGTTGATAAACGGTCCGGTTACGGTTAAAAATACGGTTAAGGTTAGCTTTTGGTCATGCCTACTGGTTCATATATTCTACCAAATCCAGATGCGCCACGTGTTTCTCTTATCTCTTACCATTAATTCTTATTTCAATCCCTCTATATATTAATTTACTTTTTATTCATTTTTTGATACATTTTGTTACTGATTACTATAGTAGGACAAAGTAAGTTATTTGTTGTTTTTAAAAAAGAACAGTTTAAACCATTTTTGATACATTTTGTTATTGATTACTACACTTCAAGAATGCTTACAATAATGTGTAATCTCAATCAGTTGAAAATGTAAAAGGTCAGCTAAAAGAAAACATAACATATATCACAATCCCAGATAAATCACCCAGTTAGTCTAAAAACAATAGAAATAAGAAAAGAAAAAAAACAAAACTCGAAGCCACTTCTTTTAAAGCTCGAGTCCAAAAGAAGAAGAGACAAAAAGTGATGTTAAGCTCAAAACTAAGTAAAAAGACCAGAGCAACGTGAAAGATCAAAAACACAAGCAAGTGTTGGTGCATCTGTACAAACAAAAGCCGAATCTACTACCGAGCTGTTGGCTGCAATACAGATTCATCAATGGAGACGTAATTTTGTGAACCAGCCAGGTCAAGCATTCCCATGTTGAGAGATGACGAATGCGCCGAGCTCCTCGAAAACTCGTCCGATATTCCGCCTCTTGCGGCCAATGCTTCCTTCTCGATCCTAATCGCGTCTTGGATATCTTTTTGCACCTCGGACATCGACGGTCTCATGTTACCGTGTGGTTTTACACACAGCAGCGCTTTCTCCGCGATCTTCCACATCGATTGGAGACTGTAATCGTCTTCTGCTAGTGCTGGATCGATGATCCCTCGGATGTCCCCGTTGTCTATATGCATCTTGGCCTACAGAAAGAAGGTATCAAAAGGATGATATATATATAGCAATTCGGTTTCAAAATTTATATATCCCAAACAAAGAGTAGCCACAACTACGAAAATGAACTAACCCATTGGACTATGTTCCGGCAGTTGACACCAAAGCTTTCATTCGATATGGCTTCTTGGCCGGACATTAGCTCAAGAAGAATGACTCCGAAGCTATATACATCACTCTTCTCTGTTAACTGCTGCGATATGTAGTACCTTTAATATCGAATAAAAGAAACATGTGAGTTCTTGACATTTATGCTAGTTTGATAAAGACATGTGAAGTTCTTGGCATTAGTTTAAGTCTTCTCTTACTCCGGATCAAGATATCCAACTGTGCCACGGACAATGCTGGAGACATGTGAGGTCCCATCAACTGCGAATTTTGACAATCCGAAATCTGAAACCTTTGCCCTCATGTGTTTATCAATGAGGATGTTACTCGTCTTGAGATCCCTGTGTATGATTGCTGGAACACACCCCGTGTGAAGATACTCGATCCCTAGTAAAAAAACCAAAACCAACAAAATGAAATACTGAAAGTGGCCTCGAGATCAGAGTCAAGAGCTCTTTCTGTTTTGTTTAGTATGATTCACTGACCTCGGGCTGCATCTTCAGCTATCTCTAGCCGTTTAATCCAGCTGATTCTTCGGTCACGGGGTACCACACCTGGAAAAAAAATACGCTTGTTCAACATAACATTATACCAAAACGCTGCAATACACCATCCTATCTTAAAAAGATATGTTACCATAAAGATGCTCCTTCAAAGTCCCATTGTGCATGAACTCATACACAAGCATGTTTTTCCCCTCTTCTTGGCAATAACCAAGAAACTGCACAAGGTTCCGATGATGTATCCTTGAGAGTAATGTAACCTGAACAAAGCAAAATCACTTGGGTTACCTCCTAAACAGAGAAAAAAAAAACTCATACTTGGGGCACATATGATTGATATGGGTTATATTAAGGAATATTTACCTCGTTTGCAAACTCTCTCTTCCCCTGATATGAATTATTTGCAAGAACTTTTACAGCAATCTCTTTACCCTCTCTTGTTTTCCCATAGTATACGATTCCAAAACCTCCGGACCCAATTCTCTTCTCAAATTTTTTTGTGGCTTCTTCGATCTCAAAAAGTGTGAAGCAATGTGCGGCGTCTCCATGAGCTTCACTCAAGGTAGATGACACTCTTTGAATTGGCAAGGGGCGATTCGTTAACTCCGCTGACATTAACCCAAGAAAAAAGGTGAGCAGAGGCATACAAACACTAGAATCAAGATACACTGTGAAACCGGTATACTAGCAAAAAATAACATACCTGAAGTTTTCCTCATTTTGTTATTCTTCTTGCTTTTGCACATAAAGATGCAAGAAATGATGGTTGCAATTAGCAGAATAGCAGCACCAACTGATGCACCGATGATGACACCGAGCTTCTTTCCTTTGTCTCCACTTTTTTCAAGATTAAGGTTCCCAGAAAAGCTGAAAACCACAAAAAAGAAAAAGAATGCATGAGTATTAGTGAGCGAGTTCAAGACACTCTAGCTAAGAACTATTCATTAGATAACACTTTTAAATCCGTGGTTGAATAGGACGAAATACTTACTTTGAGATCACATCTTTGGTCAGGTCTGATGGTATTGTTCCTGATAACAAATTGTTTTGCAGGTACCTGGAATCATAAAGCAGGTCAGGTGCATAATAATGTCGATTATAAAATCGTTTCCACCACATGAATTAATAAAAATATTAATCCTGTTTAAAAAGCTTACAGTTCCTTCAGGTTTGGGAGTTTCGCCAACGAAGAAGGGATCTTTCCGGTTAGTCGGTTGTTCTCGAGGTGTCTGCCAAAGTCCATTATATATTTATAGTTATATGAAGGCAAGAAAAGAAATTTAAACTCCAAAGTAACTGAATTTACATTATCTCCAGGTTTGGGCACCGAGAGAAATCCGGTAAAGGACCCGTAAAAGAATTCCCATCAAGCCATCTGCCATTGACAAAAGTGGCAACGTCAATAACAAGAACATCAGTTGTATAATCCCAAATTCAAAAGCCTAAAGAATAAGTAACTTACAACTGAACCAGACCATTCAATTTCACCAGGTCAGAAGGTATATCCCCCGTCAAGTTCATATTCGACAGCTTGCTGCAGTTATAACAGGCAAAGGAAATAATGAAACATAACATAATTGAAATATGCGGCTCATGAAAGTTAAGCACATACACAAACAATCCATAGCAAATAAAGCTACAAAATAGACTTCCTTACACAGCAACAACCCTTGGTTGTGGATCCGAATTGCATTCCACCCACGACCATGGTGAAGGTGAACATGGGTCTCCGCCTTCTTGAGCCCACTCAGTGGAAGAATAGAGAGATGCCACATTAGCCATAGTGGTTGCTGCAACACAAGCAATCATCTTAGAATCAAATATGAAGACACACCACTAAGATGGAGGGGATAGTTGTGCTCACCATCTACTGAACCATCGCTTTTCAGCAGATGTTTGCTGATCTCCATGGCATTCAGAATGGGTCCTCTAGAAGAATCAGCTGTTTTGGCAAATCGGAAGTTCAGCACATATGGAAGGGTTAGGTTAGGATAGCCAGGTTCATAAACACGATATGATTTCTGCGCATTTTCCCTGATGTTAACAATGGCTTTGCTATAGTCAGGCTGATCAGGTAGAATTAATCTGAACTTCCTTGACTCGTCCTCAGCCAAATCCTCGATTTCAGCGAAGTATGTAAAGGCCCAACCAGAACCAGGGAAGCCCTCCAGATTAATTCTGTAAGTTAATGATCCATTTGTTCCAACCACAGCCGTCTGCATAACCTTCTGAGGCGGTTTTTCATCACCACCGCTTTCAATCGGCAATGTAGTCGAGACTCGTACAGTCCCAGCAGCAACATCCACAAGATAATTAGGCTTCTTTAACAAATCAGATTCCCATATTCTATCATATGGATCATCCGGGTACCTGCAATACAAACTTATTTTCTTAACTCGTCTTGATAAATCACAATGTTGACACAACAAACAGATTATGAACTACATACTGACCTCACAGAATCTTCACTTTCAGCCCCAAAATTAATCCGTGCTGCAACACTCAGATAAAACCGGTCTTCAAAGGGGGTGCCATACATTGAACCATTCAACTGCCTAAGCTCAAGGGTCGATATAAACGGCTTCCCAGTTGTGGCATTCGACAAACAAACGCTGACAGTAGGAGTAGAAGCCAGAAACACCAGTTCTGCTATCTCAATTGTATAGGTTTCAGAGATAGCAATGGTCGCCCAATGAGTTGCCCCAAGGGAGATATCGAATTTGGGATACACATTGTTGCTGTTGTCGAAATCACCATACAAGAAAGTAGCTCTAAGGAGATATCGACTCCTACTAGTGACATTGAGAGTGTAGCAATACTTTCTTGAATCAGCAGGGAAATGCCTTAAAGTCGTGTACTGAGCTCTTGTTTCGTTAAGGGAGGATATCTTAGCGGTTTCTCCATAAATAAGATGATTATCAGGTATCCATTTAAGTCCAAGTTCATCAGTAAATGGCTCTGCACCTCCACAATCCAAGCTTACAAAACCTGCTCTTATCAACACCCAAAAAAAAAAAAAAGTTTAATTCTTTGTGATCAAATTCACCTCAAATACCACAAAGACTCCAACTTTTTATCTGCTGCAGTCCAACTAAACTATTTACATACAAACTCAAACACCATAGCTATTGAGATTATTTGTTAACAAAAGGCAAAACTTTGAAAACCCTTGTTAGTACTACATCACATAAAACTTACAACTATATAAACAAGGTAAACATTAAAAAGAAAAAAAAAACTCAGAAAACAGTCAATTACCTGGAGCTTGAGCTGATAAAGTAGTGAAAAGACAAGTAGAAACCAGTAGACACAGCAAAAGCAGCGAGACTCTCACCATCTCCTCTTGCTTAGAGCCAACACTTCGTAACAGTTTCAACACATAAATGGCGTTACGAAATAAAGGAACCCAAAAAATGTGATCCCAGAAAAAGTGAAAGAAAGGAAAAAAAAGGTGAAAATTCCCAGAAACAGAGTAGTCCAAACTAAATTTAATAACTATATCCAGCAGAGAGAGATCTAAGGAAAGAAATGGTTTAACCAAAACCCCAAAAAAGAAATGGAAAAATGGAAAATTTAGGGGAACGTGAGAGAGAAATGAGTGTGTTTCTTCCTCGTTAAGTGTTTGCTTTTTTGTTTGATGTGAGAGAGAGAGAGCAGAGAGAGAGAGCTTCAAAGGCAGTGGAGGTAAAGGTGCAATTGTTGGGTCCATCTTTAAGTCTGGACTCAACTTACATCTAACGGTTCTTATGGCTTTAACATTTAATCTGAATGGTCCAGATCATTGTGGTCCACCTTTACCGTGTCATACAGGATTCTCACACCCCAGCAAGCCGCAGTCTCCAGCGAAACGGTGTCATTTTAGTAATAATAATTATTTCCTGATTTTAATTAAATGACATTCTCTGTCTCTTAAGAATATTTATAGTTACATCCACATGTTTATCTCTCTTTATAGGAAAATTAATAAATACAACTATTTTTATCCAGATTTGGATCATTGTAAATATAATTTTCATTAAAGTGGCTAAAGTTAGTATGAAATTTTTGTGATTTAATGATGAAATTTCTCTCATTCATATATACTTTCTAAAGAAAAATAAACACAGGTAGGAAAATGAGAGATAATGAAATCAGGTAGGAAACTTGTAAACTGATGATGACTGATAATTTTTCTTAAAATGATCTAATGATAAGATATTAGATGCTAAACATGAATCAGATACTATCTTAACTATATTCGAGATTCTGTTTTTTTTTCTTCCATCCCTATAAATTATATTCATAATTCAATTTAAATTTTATTCGGATATACTTGCTTTTTATTTTTGTCAGCAGAAACAGATTTTAAATTCAAAAAAAAAAACAGATACAGATTTTAATATCTTAATATAAGATATTATATGTTTGTTCATATAGAAAACAAACATAATGAACATAAGGAAAAAAACAAAAGTTTCACATTAATGTCACATAAATATGACCCGGGGGAAAAAGTCGTTAAATATATATATCGACCAAAATGAGTTGTTTGTAAATAACACACACATGTGATAGAATTCTCAAAATAAGTAAGTCCCCACGTACGCTATGTCCAGTGTGCATGTAATTTATTGATATGTTGAATATAATTAGAGTAAAATACTTGTACGAAACAAAAAGAAACTTTAATGTGTAAATCTTATCATATTATTCATATATATAGTGGGAAATTGGTGATAGAGGTTAAGAAATATAAAGTGGTAAAAAAGATTAGCTTTATGTAAGATTAATATGATTAAGTTGCAGGGATTAATTATAGTATGATTGGTTTTAAATATATGATAGTTAAAGGTTTAGAGATAAGTTCAAAACTTTTTAAGTTCCAGAATTCCAAAATATATAGTTTTCAAATGTTTAAATGACAACAAACAGTTTGATTGATCTGTTTTGTTAATTAGATTTCGTTTTCTTTTTAATTGTTACTAGAGGATAACTCGTGCTACTGCACGGATGACTTTTCTCGAAGAGTTAAATAAATAAATTATAATTTATAATTATGATATGGTTAATTTTTATTTTTCAATTTATAGTAATATATGTCCGTTTTAAAAAATTCAAAGCGCAACATATGCGGAAAATTATATTTTTATTATTCATATGTTTAATATAATAAAATATAAATGAGATCATATAAACTTGAAAGAAGAATAATAATTTTTTTAATATATTAGATTAAATTAGGTAGAGATATTTTAGGAAAATCAAAATTAAATATGGAAATAATATAATCTGGTGTAGGAATATATGATTCATTATCCATACCCAAATATCCTAAAATAAAGTATCTGATTAGGTGTATTTTATTTCATTTGAAAACTTTAGTGTAAAACTAATGGGTACTTCAGCTTTAATAGTATAGATACCTATTTATTCGGTCTCCACAACATTTGAGTAGTAACATATTTTTATTTATTGAACCTTTAGTGTGATTGTGTAAAGGATAAATAAATTTGTAAGTAGCAATGAGAGATTTTAAAAAAATATGTACTATTGCAAAGATAGGAAATGGTCAAACCGTATTGAGAAGAAAACATTATCGGGTTTTGGGAGAGTGTAGTAGACAAAGACAAAGTAGTAGAGAGATGTGAGTGTTGTTTAAACTGATTTTATAATTGTCTTCCTGAAACATGATCATCATCATCGCATTGGCTAATGAGCTTTTGAATCAATCAATCTCTTCTGCTTCTATTGCTTTTATTAAGCTGGATTATTCTTCTTTTGCCTTTTCCAATATACCATCTTCTTCATCTTCTTTTTTTTTTTTTGTTTTGTTTTGTTGTTTAGTTTCGTATCCTAGTTCTAATCGATTACTTATATGTTTTATCTTATTTTCCTTACAAAAGTTAAAACTGTATTTGTATTTTCTCCCTTTGGATCATCTGTGTATTAATTTTGTATATTTTGTTTCGAGAGACAAAACAGCATATCAGGAATCTTTACTCCGGGAACATTCCTACCAAGTACACATTTGTTATTCTCGTTAAATTATTACTTATTAGGGTTCAAATTTGTATTATTATCTTGGGTAAAGACTTTAAAGACATTTCCAATTTGTATTAGAATCTTTGGATAAAGACTTTATAACGAGTCTGAATGAATGATCTGTAATTCTATATAATGGGCAAATTGAGTAATGGGTCTTATTAATGTATGGACAAATGATGAATGATCCTTTATCGCCTCCTCTCTGCTCATGTATCAACTTTAGCAGACTCCCTACTTTTTGCACTCAGAAAGATAATATTCTCATTAGTCATTACCTTATCTTTTTTTTTATTCTTTTTAACGTAAACGGACTTTTTGTCTTAATTTATATATTTTGCTCATTCCTAATCTAATGACTAATGTGTAATGCATAACCAAAATATTGATCCCAGTGGATATGCATGTAGTGATCCCTCCTGGCCATTTCCATGTCCTTTGCTGATCTCTTGACTATATGAACTTTAATTTTACAGCAAATGTTTTTGTCTTTTGAGATAGACAAAAAAATCTTATCATCTGTGTGATTGATTATATAAAGTAAAAAGTGATATTCATAAATGTCAAATCAATACTCAGCTCTGGCAACATAATTTATAACTGAACATATCTGTTTTTTGTAAATATTTTTCTTTGTGATTTTTTTGGTTTATGAAATTTTTTTAAGGCTTTCATATAAACTCTTTATGGGTTAGAGTTAGCTAGAGCATGATAATTACATTGTAATTCATCTTGTGGGTTTTGTTTGTCCGAATAATTTGCAATTTGCATGGTTAAACATAACTCTCTTTGTTTGTTGGCCTGTTGCCTGAGTTAGATAATTAGCGACCTACGCAGAAATTTATAAGAATGTGATTAGAAGTCAACTTGTTTTTTCGAAGCAAGGCAAAAAAAAATAATAATGGTGTGTGGCTTTTTAAGAAACCCATCTAAAAATAGCCCATGGAATAAAAGAATAAGGAACTGAATCAAGCCCAATAGACTAAGAACTAGACAACGGTACAACCTCAGACGAGCGAAATACAAAGGGCTGATGATATCTTAGGCTCATAAACGAATATTTAATAATTAATGTGGGACTTGGAGCAGAGTAGATAGAACATATGTACAAGAAAAAAGACAATTAGTATCCATTTCATGGTAAGGAGTCTATCGATCAATGCACAACTTTATAGTTTATTAGTTTGTTTTCTTAAATCATATATATCATTTACGACTAGTAGTCTAATAAACGTCTCTACTTAGAGGTCCAATATATGCCCCAATCCGATAAATTTTCAACAAGTCGATCAAACGCTTCGCATTACACTCTTTGATGGGTGTACAAGTTTTTGGACTATAGTCATTTTGAGCCATCATGAAAAGTGAACCAAAAATAAAGAAAAAGAAATGTCATTAACCCATATATACTCTCGACCGACATAGCAAAAAAACACTAAATAATTACCACACGTTTTGATAATATGGACGTAATACTGTGTAATATATCTCAAATGATAGAGTGATTAATCCATCTTCTTTTCCCAAACTTCCTAAATTAGTAATACATATAGGGATAGAACTCGATGACGTGTGTACATATATGTTACTGGCCAGTATTGATTAGGTTAGGGATTGTGAAGTTGAGAGTGATTTGGACAGCATGAGGATCAAAGGGGTTTGGTGAAATATGTGAAAGGAGTGGGACCTAAATGATGAAGAAGAAATTAAAAAAAAGAGGGTTTGGTGAGACGAGTGGTGTCCGATGGATCCTCGCGACTGTGGTTGTTGTTGGTTTTTTCTCCTCTCCATTTCCTCTTTGCTTTTTGTTTGGTGGCCTAATTTTTAGTCATTCCCTTTTCTCCACCTTTTTAAAAATTTTGTAAATTGTAAAATGATGACATCCTAAAACATCACTAAAATAACAATCTTATCGACCAAATAATTCGCTTAACAACTTTTATTCTATATATATATGTTTCCTTTTGTAGATATTGTCTTTTCCCAATTATCAAATATTCTTGATTTACGGTTTCTATAGTTCCATCTAGGAAGCCTTAGTTATGAAACTAACAAGTTTCCATGTTCTTTGAAAAAAGAAACATTAAGAATTCAAATGTCGTTCGTGGAATACGACGTATAGTAAAGATTAGATGAACAAGAGAAAAATGCATTCATATAAATTAGTATACGTGGTAGGTGATCTCTATATATGAAATCGATTATCATTTGAGTCCGGTAAATAACGTATTTAATTATATAGGCCCGCCATGCATGTTCTATAATAAATGTTTTGCTTCTAATATTGTACTTACCCACATTCTTAAATTATACTATTCAATAAAAAAATTAATGAAACCTACAGTATATAGGGCTATATAGTAATCAATATGTTCAATTAAAGACTTGAACTTTTTTAAAATCTTAGCACTAGAAACAACTATTGTTCTGAAAAGCCTATGATAAAATTTCACCACATAATAATGGGACTTATATATACATATATAGCCTATATGCTTCAAGACGCAAACATAACGCAGTATGTATTAACTCTAAATAAATAGTTTACTGATAACAATTTTCGTTTTAAAAGGTTACATTTTAATATATATTAAAAATCCTTTAAAAAACAAAAAAACTCCCTTAGCATGAAGACACATAAAAACATGAGTCATATAATTTTTTCAATTTGATTTCTCTGGTCTCTCAAATGACATATGAATAATAGAATAGGAAATTGACTCTATGAAATTTCTTGGTGACAATCTCTGAAGCTTAGTTGAGTCGTGAATCATAATGGCAACAACTCTTTATCAAGCGCTCCCACACAATTATCTTTAACAGTAAAAGGACAAGATCGAGAACAAAGTATCACAATCTTCATGCATGGAACATATCAATCAGACGCAGATCTAGAAAAATATCTTACCCTATAGACACAAAAAAAAACTTATATTATATGTAAATCATGGCACAAACAGTACAAAGTAAATTATATAAAAGTTATATAAGATTTTATGTAAATCCTTGCATTAAGGATGGTCACCCTACCCCCATCATCAGCGAATGTAGCTAGGTCCAACCCTAGATAGTACAAAATCGGGCTCTTCACTTTTAGCTAGCTAATAAAGAAACGAAATAGTGCATTTTGATTGTATTTGAACTATATATACTTGGTTTTGTCCCATCCAAATTTGGCAAAGCAACGAACAAAAGAAATGTACAGTCACCTTAACTAGCTAGTAAGAAAATGGGTAGTGGAGATGATATGGTTTACTATTCCTTAGTGAGATCCAAGGGGAAGAACGGAACGCTCAACCTTCATGGACTCTCGTGTACCCATCTTTACTCAAGAATTGTCGATTAGTGTATATCTTACATCAACACAAAGAGTTAGAGATATCCAAATCTATTAAAAAACGATAAGCTAGGACTGGGAAGAGAGAGTAAGCTAGGAGCCTAGTTAGGAAGAGAGAGTGAACCGGATAAATTGACCAAACCAAAATCGGATATTTGACATAAGCGTCCTTTCACATTGACCAATCCACCTGCGAACTGCGTTTTCAAATAATGTTTACTTATAGATTATAATATAGTTCGTCCACTTTGAAGCTCCTTTCCTCTTGCTTTCATTTGAACCCTTATCCTAAAAAACAAACACAGGAAAAACAATCATTTAACTCTTCATGAGTGTTTTTGACCTTTGACTCGTTGCTCGAAGATAAAATTAGCACAGGATCCTGAAGAACAAAAATATATGAATCGACGAAATTAGTTGACCTTGTTATAAATGTGGATATAAATACTAAATAGGAGCCTTTGGCCCTGCTAGGCTGATACGAATATACGATGGAGGCAAATTATATATACATGCACATGCAGATGTTTCAATGAAGGCGTCTCTGCCTTTGCCGTAAGCAACCAACCCATTTATTTCCATTCCACTCATGTCATTGCGACCATTTTCTTTGGTCCATTGGTCTTTTATTATTCTTTTGATTTAGACCACTCTTCATTATATGACTATTGCATTTTTCCCATTTCGATTGATATAACCCGTTTAACTAAAAGATAAATGGAGTTTGATGATGATTTTAATACTCTAATTATTAGCAAATGGATAGCTCATATGGTTCCATGCTTTGTTTGATAAGGAAAGACACAAGATTATAATATATTGATGAATACTAAATCATAACTTACAAAAAAAATCTAATGATAACAACATAAGATTTTGTAAAATGAATATATATCTAAGTCACAAAAAAACGCATTATAAAATAAATTTGTGATTAGATATTTATAGTTATATGAACTTAGGATAAGATACAAAAATGGAGGTCGTATTTAGATAAATAATAAATGGCATTTGGTTTTGTCATGCAAACGGCGTGTTGCGTCACTCGATCGGCTCCTATTGACAATCTCATAATCGCGTGAGTATTATAGTTTGCAATCTATATATATCCACGTAATTGTTAATTATCTTTCACAAATAATTAATTACAAAACCAACGAAACATGTACATTTCTATCTTTTAAGACTATAGCTAATTATGAACTTTTACGTATCAAACTTGGCCATTTGCATGCTTTTTAGTATTAAAATTTTCACTTTTGACTTTTCAGTTTTCACCTAATGATTGGTACCTATAGCATTTAATTTATAAGGAATGTCTGCAAAACAACAACAAAAAAAAACCTAATTTCAAATCTCTTCTTTTTTTTTTTTACAAACTTAATAGAAAATATACACCTTATATATATACTTTATTTTTATATCTATATAACATAAGGAAGTTGTACTCATTTTTAAATGATTTTGTATTTAAACAACGAATCATATCTTATATATATATATATATATATATATATAGGGCAACTAATACGTTATGGGTTTTTTCCTAATGTTAGTTAACCTAGTGTGAACTCAGGTTTTTTGTCGTGATCGGGATTCATGATATTTGGCTATATTTCAGTGACCTACATTTTTCAAAAAACTAAAAGAGGTAAAAATTTACAAGAACAAAAAATTGAAGAGTTATATATTAAAGGAACATTAAAAGTAAATATAATATTCTTTGCCCCTCGAGTTATGCGCCACTATTGAAATGATAAATTGTACTCAACATAAACAAAATTACAAATATGTATAGTCACATGATATAACTAAACAAAGTCATTACAAGTCAATCTAGTTCTAACAAAAACACTTCGGAAAAGTACAAATATGAAACACAATTAGATCGAAATAAGTACAAAAACCCAACCGATAAAATCGAAATGATATCCAAAATGACAAAAGAAAAAAAAAAAAAAACAAAACAAAGTAGACATATAAACACACAGAAACAAAACGAAATTAAAGAGTTGTGTTTTGTGTTATTATGGTGGGGACGTTAAATTGACTCAATTACGATCATACATTACCACACACCTACTCCCCCCACACACATCACAAACGAAAACGCTTTACTCCAAGAATTTAAAAAAAAAAAAACTATATTATTACTCTTCAACTTAAAAATAAAAATACAAAAAATAAATCTCATAGTCTCACCAACCGCGAAAACGCAAACTCGATCGTCAGCCACCAGCCACGACCACTTTTTACCACCGTGACGTTTGACGCACACCCAAAGCAATTCACCACCGCGTTCATACGACTTCCAATAACCAAATCCACGATTTTTAATCTCCACCACTCACTCTCCCATCTAACGGTCGTCATTAATTCTCAACCAACTCCTTCTTTCTCACTAATTTTCATTTTTTTTTTTGTTCTCAATACATTTTAATAAAAAATTTATCATTACATAGAAAAGAAAAAAAAAATCAAAAAATTAGCTTCTCTATGCGCTTACCTACCAACAAACACTACCACCTTATTTAAACCACCCTTCATTCATCTAATTTTCTTCAGGAACAAATACAATTCCTTAACCAACACCAATCTCATAGATCATCTCTCTTCCTCTCTCTCTCTTTCTTATAGAGATCTTGTAATTATATAATCTCCTCTTTGTAATACTTAAAGAAGAAAAAGAAAAAAAACTCAAATGGAGGTTATAGCACGCAAGATCACTAACGGAGGAGGATCAATCGACGCTATGTTATGCGGTGTAGATATCAAGACAAAGAACATGGCGATCAACGAGGCTGATCCTCTCAACTGGGGAGCCGCGGCTGACCAAATGAAAGGCAGCCATTTGGAAGAGGTGAAGAAGATGGTCGAGGACTTTAGGAAGCCTGTTGTCAATCTTGGAGGTGAGACTCTCACCATTGGACAAGTCGCTGCGATCTCCACCATTGGTAACGGTGTGAAGGTTGAGCTGTCCGAGACTGCTAGAGCCGGTGTCAATGCTAGCAGTGATTGGGTTATGGAGAGTATGAACAAAGGCACTGATAGTTATGGTGTTACCACTGGTTTTGGTGCTACTTCTCATCGTAGGACCAAGAACGGTGTCGCACTTCAAAAGGAGCTTATTAGGTAATAATTTCATTTTAGACTTATTTTATGTTTTAAGTGGCAATATTTATTCTTAGGTAGATACGTGGCAGTTACTAGTTGGTTGACAATATATATAAATATGACAAAAAATAATAATAAATGTTTTCCTTGAATTTTTTTCTCTTTTTAGGTGTTTTTTTGTCATTTTAATCTAATTAATGATTTGTACATATAGATAAATTAACTTAAATGAATTTTGAAATTTATTACAATCACCGGAAACAACAACTCCCCTTGGTTATATGGGACTTGTGTGACGTTGCATGGGAAATATACGAGTCGGGTCAAATATTTGGGTCGGGTCATATCTAGCTCGAAGGGTTAAATTTGTTTAGGTGATTTAAGAGTTAAATTTAATTTAAATAAATGAATTAATAACTAATAAACACACAATTCGAATGTTTTTATGTGTTCGTTACAGATTCCTGAACGCCGGAATATTCGGAAGTACGAAAGAAACAGGGCACACATTGCCACACTCCGCCACAAGAGCTGCTATGCTTGTACGGATCAACACACTCCTCCAAGGATTTTCCGGTATCCGATTCGAGATTCTCGAAGCTATCACTAGTTTCCTCAACAACAACATCACGCCATCTCTCCCACTCCGCGGTACAATCACCGCCTCAGGAGATCTCGTTCCTCTCTCCTACATCGCCGGAATTCTCACCGGCCGTCCTAATTCCAAAGCCACTGGTCCCGACGGTGAAGCTTTAACCGCGGAAGAAGCTTTCAAATTAGCCGGAATCAGCTCCGGATTCTTCGATTTACAGCCCAAGGAAGGTCTTGCGCTTGTCAATGGCACGGCGGTTGGATCTGGAATGGCATCGATGGTGCTATTCGAGACTAATGTTCTCTCAGTTTTGGCTGAGATTTTATCCGCGGTGTTCGCGGAGGTGATGAGTGGTAAGCCTGAGTTCACCGATCATTTGACTCACAGGCTTAAGCATCACCCTGGTCAAATCGAAGCGGCGGCGATAATGGAGCATATCCTCGACGGGAGCTCGTACATGAAATTAGCTCAGAAGCTTCACGAGATGGATCCTTTACAGAAACCTAAACAAGATCGTTACGCTCTTCGTACTTCTCCTCAATGGTTAGGTCCTCAGATCGAAGTGATCCGTTACGCAACGAAATCGATCGAGCGTGAGATCAACTCCGTCAACGATAACCCGTTGATCGATGTGTCGAGGAACAAGGCGATCCACGGTGGTAACTTCCAGGGAACACCAATCGGAGTTTCCATGGACAACACGAGATTGGCGATTGCAGCGATTGGGAAACTCATGTTTGCTCAGTTCTCAGAGCTTGTGAATGACTTCTACAACAATGGTTTACCTTCGAACCTAACCGCATCGAGGTATCCAAGTTTGGATTATGGTTTCAAAGGAGCTGAGATCGCAATGGCTTCATACTGTTCAGAGCTTCAGTACTTGGCTAATCCTGTGACAAGCCATGTTCAATCAGCAGAGCAACATAACCAAGACGTGAACTCTCTTGGACTGATCTCGTCTCGCAAAACTTCTGAAGCTGTTGATATTCTCAAGCTTATGTCAACAACGTTCCTCGTTGCGATTTGCCAAGCTGTGGATTTGAGACATTTGGAGGAGAATCTGAAACAGACCGTGAAGAACACTGTCTCTCAAGTGGCCAAGAAGGTTCTTACTACTGGAGTCAACGGTGAGCTTCACCCTTCTCGATTCTGCGAGAAAGACTTACTCAAAGTCGTGGACCGTGAACAAGTCTACACTTACGCTGACGATCCTTGTAGCGCAACGTACCCGCTAATCCAGAAACTCAGACAGGTGATTGTCGACCATGCTTTGATCAACGGTGAGAGTGAGAAGAACGCAGTGACTTCAATCTTCCACAAGATTGGAGCTTTCGAGGAAGAGCTCAAGGCAGTGCTACCGAAAGAAGTGGAGGCGGCGAGAGCGGCTTACGATAACGGAACATCGGCTATCCCGAACAGGATCAAGGAATGTAGGTCTTATCCTTTGTATAGATTCGTGAGGGAAGAGCTTGGAACAGAGCTTTTGACCGGAGAGAAAGTGACGTCCCCCGGAGAAGAGTTTGATAAGGTTTTCACGGCCATTTGCGAAGGCAAAATCATTGACCCCATGATGGAATGTCTCAACGAGTGGAACGGAGCTCCCCTTCCCATATGTTAAGAGTAAACTCCTCTGTTTTTTTCTTCTTTTTCTACATGTCTGAATAAATATTACCAAAGGATTGTATGTGAAGTCTTTTTTTCTGTCTTTGTCTAATTTAAATTGTGTTGTAAAACTCATTGTAACTTCTCAAATGAAGAAACAATTTTTCTGTTACAGTGTGGATCATAATTCTTTTTTTTTTTTTTTTTCTCAAATTCCCCATATATATATATATTGAAGTCTCCATAACAAACACCGCAAATATACTAGGAAAATGCTTATCATCTATATTTTGTAAAACCCAACCGGTCTGATTCTAGTGTAATCATTTAAATAAACATAAGTCACTCATTCTATGGTTAGAAAAATTCTTATAGAACACTGAAAATGAAAACATATGTTATATAAGAGAAAACATAAATTATTTCTTTTAATAACTCTATGTTGTTTTTAATTATCTAAAATTACACTATGTTATTTCCACTTACCAGAAATTACTCGAAATATTTGAACACGAATTTAACCTATATTCTATACACCAAAATTACATAGTGTGGAAATTACAATGTGAAAGATCACATACCTACAGGCTACAGTAGTGAGATTACAAATTTGCAACCCAAAAAAGCGAAACAAATATATAGGTAACTGAGAAACGATGCGAAAGTAGTATACAATGAAGGCCCATTTAAAAGCCCATCAGAGATTCAGAGTCAATACAAACAATACAGGTTCAATGCGCTAGACAAAATAGAATGATCTCTCTCTCTCTCTCTTCCGATCTGTTCTTTCTACCCAAAGTAGCGGGAGCGAATAGTAAAACAACAATGTCCGATCACCACCACCACCACCACAACCACCACGTGCGGCTGAACCGCCTCCGTTCAACCACCCAGCTCCTCCGTCAAACCACAGCTTCCTTCTCCACCCACCCACTCACTTTCATCTTCCTCACTTCCCTCCTCTTCTCCTTCCACTCTCTCGTCGATCATTGCTCTCTCCTTTTAACCTCTTTCGTCGACACTGACCCTTCTCTTCGCTCTCTCCTCTCTCGTCTCCCTCTCAACTCTCACCCCCACGCGACTACGCGCTCCCACAATCACCGCCGTGCTCCGTTTCTTCAGCTCACGCGCCTTGGTACCCTCGACGACGACTTCTTCTCCACAGACGAACACGATCCTCACCGCCGATCTCTTCAAGGTTCTTCTTTTCCTTCACCCATCAACGCCACGACGGTGTTTCTCTCCGGATTCGAGAGCATTTCTGGCTTTTCTGGCCCTATCGCCGATAATGGCCTTTTCCTCCCTCAGATCATTCGCACAGGATTGGTCTTGCGGCAGCTTGAGAAGGACGATCGTGGCGGCGATGAAGAAGAAACGAAATTGGATGAAGCTGAGCACGATCGTGAAACTGACGAGTATGGCGAGAAGAAAGATAATAAATTTGAGAGTTTTGTGGATCTGAAGCTGTTTTTCAAAGGGCTGGAGCTAGGTCGTCGTGATGCTGCGGCTCTGTTCTTCCTCGTGAGCTTTTTATCCGCTGCCTATGGATGGGTGATTCTAGGGTTTACCACTGTTTACTCATTGGTCCTGGCGATTATATTTGTTACTGTAATCAACGATTTGCTCGGTAGGTTTCCTTCGTTTCTTGGGGTTGCTTGGACTGGTTCAAGATTGGGGTTTAAGAGAGTTACAGGATTTGTTTTGATGAGATGGGCAGTCAGAGATGCTTTGACACAGCTTCTTGGTTTATGGTACTTTGGAGAGGTTGAAGATCAGTACTCGTTTTTCAGGCTTTTTGTGAGGTTAAAGCTGATGCCTTTCACTGTTATGCCCCCATGGATTAGAGGTTTCGAGAAGGAGATATCTGGTTTTTTGTTCGCTTGGTTTCTACTTGATACGCTTGTTGGTTTAATATTAGCTGTTGATGCTTTTGTTGCTATTGTGGATTCAAGAAGGAGGGGAAGGGAGATAGTGAAGGAAGGTCTCTATTTGATATCTCTCCTGTTGCATCAGGCTGTGCAGCTTAAGTGTCTCGAAGCTATTCTTTGTGGTTCTTTCTTCAGATGGGTTCTGGTTCAAAACCTAGGGAAAAGCGTTGCTTCTGTGATCCAATCTGCGTTGGAAGTTTACTTCATGGCGGCTTGGTTACTGTTCTACTTATCAGCTAGGTGTAAAGATGCGCACGCAGAAGGTAGGAGGTTTGGGAGGAGAGAAATGGAGAACTTGATTGATGGGCTGAGATGATAATAAATTGTAGATCTGTAGGATGATCTTTCGGGTTATCAAAGGAGCAAACCTTAGCTTCGATGTTCAATGCAAGTGGCTAAATCTGTGTGCCAGAAGTTGTCATGCTTAGGTTCCTTTGGTTTTAGAATTACAGTTGATTGATGAGATTGCCAACAATTCGATGTATGTACGCACTTAGGATTACTTGTGAGCTGTTAAAAAGGGAGAATGATACGACTACTGTGTATACTCATTTGCAAGATTTTCCTTTGTATATATCTTGCTGCAGTTGTTGATATCAATACCATGAGGTGGTCAATTTTTATTTTCATTTTAGGAATGATAATAGATCCAACTCTTTAAATGTACTTTGGCTATTTTGATCTTCTTTGTGTAGATACATCAATTTTATGCATTCTTTCAATTGACGCAATGGGGAACTGGTTGCTCAAACCTTATGGTTTGGATGATGTTAGAGCCTCTTATACTAACATACTTACATACATATTTAGTCGTGTAGCTTCCTATGAAAGACCTAACTCTTGGTTATAATACCCTTTGACTGATTCTTTCAAGAACTCCTCTGTGGCTTTTTACTTCTGCGTTCTTGTAGTGATAGGATATAACAGCAGGCAAGGGTATTCCTACCTTGGAGGCTGTTCCTATTAATCAATGACTGTATGATGTCGCAGGGATATTCTCTGATAACAGCTGCATCAGAGGAGAGTTCCAGACTGTTCTATATTTTATAATGATTGCGGAGCTGGGCCATCTGGTTTCAGAAACATTGCTTTCAAGATGGCTTGGCCTTTGTCATGAGATGTGTAAGAAAGTAAAGCTGTTATGTGCTCTCTCCCTCTACTAGAAACGATGGGAAGGTAAAGCTGTTCGTTGGTTTAGTTTAATTGAAAACAAAGGAACTTTGAACTATGTCTTGAGTAATTTTTCATGTTTTAGTGGCTCTTATCAGTAAGTAGCTCTGGGTTTTGTGGCTTCATGTATTTCTTTGGAGCTGGAGAAGTGTGATACATAGCTTAAATCGTATTTTATTGCTTTCCTTGTGGCTAATAATACATTTCCAGCTGAATTTAAAGACACATTTAATACAAAAAGTCTTACATTATTAGTGTACCCCCATAGCTTAGCATTGAACAACATTCTTTTTGTAAACGTGGAGCCGGAGAAATCAATGAATGTCTTGAAGTCCATGTACAAGAACCTTCCTAGATACATATGCAGTTACTCTGATGCTGGGGAGCACCAGCGCAACGAACAACATCGAGGAAGGTACTCTCATTGCATGGAATCCATAGTCTGGAGTCAGCACTGAAACCGTATGCATCCTGTGCTTGATCCAGCAATGCTTGGAAGAGTGGGTGTTTAAGCAAGTTGATCTTGATCACAAACCTCTTGTACTCCTCACCCACATATACAACCAAGTGTCCCTTAGGAACATCTTTTGGTGTCACCTCAGCTTCCTTCTTGAATGCCCAGCAGATTCTATCGTAGCATGCCTCACAAGACATACAAGGTATTATGACTTTGCTTGTCATCTTTTTCAGTTTCTTTTCACAGGACTTAATGAACTTGTTCTTCATTTTAGTAGGAGGAGAAGATTAATATCAAGTATAAGATTAGATAGATTGATAGATAGAATGTTTTGATGAAAATATGTTTCTCGATGAATAGTACAAAGTGAAGGACAAGTCTTATATATATACATGCCGAAGTAGAAATATCAGAGCTCTTCATTAAATGTTGGGACATGACAGTTAGCCAAGGGGAGTGAGATGGGCAACTTGAAAATTATACAGTACTTTATTCAACCGTGCGGTTCTGTTACTGCTTTTGTTGATAGAGTTGCATTACTGAAACTGTACGAACACACACTCTATGGTTATATGTGATTAAAAAATGCTCATTTTATTGCCCTAGCTCACATTGGTGTCAGATTTCTTCAAGTTCACGGGGGATTAAGACCCCACAAGGCAAGATGAACAGAAGGAGAGAGAGAGAGAGGAGATAAGATCTGAAGGAACAGGGTCCAGGGATGGGCTAAATCTTCTTGGAGAATGTGTGATATTGGTTGATGATTCATGCATGGGTACTTTCAGTTTGATCTGCAGAAATGCTCAGTCTCCAGATCTCTTGAATTGTCCCAGAGTTATGTTAGTTCTAAAGAGCTCAAGGCACTAGATCAGGTGACTTCTTGAACTATCTAAACATTGACTAATACAGAATCCTACGATGGTGTTTGCTAAGTATGATCAGCATTTGCAGTACAATGAGGTAGGTTAGCTTTTACAGGTGAGATATTAACTTTTTAGTTTTTACCAAACAAAAGCGCATAGATAGTGCAGTTAAAGTACGCGGGGAAGAATGTGGTTCACAAAGTTGAGATAGGGATGGTGAAAGGACAATTGTCTCTAGGAGGGGTACATAGATGGAGAAGTGTCAATGTTGGAGGGTCCATAATAAAAGAGAAACGAGTATCATTGATTAGGGTTCATCCCCCTAAGGATTCACAAAAATGTTCCCTTCAATTGAGTAAGAGATCCTCATTCTTACACCATTTCACTTCTAAAATGTCTCTCTCAGATCTATCTATCTGTTATGTTTGTGTTGTGTGTGTGTTTTGAAGTTGGTTTTGGTCTGTCAAGTGATTAACAACGACTGCCATTCTGAACTAAGCTGGCTTCCTCTGACTTTAGAATTTATTGCGTGCATGTGCAAACTCTTGTGATGTTATCTCTATACTTTCTCTTTTCTTCTCCTTCTTTCATGGAAAAGAGAAAAACTATAATTTTAATCATCATCTTATCTTGGCCATTAAACATGTCGAAATTGACCTCTCAGAGTCCGGACATTTGTTCATGTTTGTACTTTTAATGTTTGAATTATTTAGCATCCTAGAACTAAGCTAAACCTTTTAATAATATATTATTATGTGTGTAATAGTATATAATTGAATTTTTTAATAAATTGTTTGTATGATTCTCTTTACAAACATCAATGGTGGAACTTCCCTAAACCAAGACAATAAAGCAATGATTCTTTTGATGTCAATATTTAAACTCAACTTAGAACCCCTTATTTCAGGTTGGAAGGTTAATCATTATATAACATCAAGTTAAAAGCTAATCATTTAACTCTTTTACTTGTTTGTTTCCCATCTGCTCTTTCCCAGATGCGAAGCTACATAAACAGTTACATAGATAAAGCAAGAAACAGGTTTGAGTGACCATGAAATTTCAGACCCTATATAGTGGATTGTGTCGCTGCTATTTGTTAGTTTAGGATGGAGAATATAAAGGATGTAAGCAAATGCTTTTCTGAGTCGAAGTCGTTCTCAGTTTCAGTAACAGAAACTTCACATGAAAGAACTTTGATGTTGCAGATAAAACTGATATCCTAAAGAGAACTTTTTTCACTTTCCAAGACAGTTAAAGCGATTGGGGTCGATTTTGGTTTAATATCTTTACAGCTTCTCTAGACTTTCTCTTATATCAACTCCTCCTCTTCTTCTTCTTCTTCTTTGCAGAGCTTCGGCTTCTTGAGGAATCATGAATGAAACACGATGATTTGGAGAATGGATATGGATGGAGTGAGGCAAGTTCCTTTACACGATGTAGAACATCCTTAGGTATAGAGCAAGCCACTGACTTTCGTCTTTCGTCAGCCTGTATAATTTAAAGTTGTGTTACAGAGATTTCTCAAAATATGAATGTTTGTTGACAAAAGGAAGAGAAAAATCAAACCTGTCCATCATTATGCATGTCTTTATAACTTGCTTTCAGTAGATTACGCCATTTGTCCTGCATAGGAGGTTCAAGGAGAATTTTTATGACAAAATAAAGAAGGTTCAAGGAAAAGAACTGAGACACCAAGCATTACTAAAGATCAGTTTGATTTTTAGGAAAACGGTGATATACTCTGATATCGATGGGTGTGCGGTGCGCTGCAGAATGAAAGAAGAGGTTCTTTATATCGGTCCATTTTCCAACACCAAAGTGAGAAATACCATCAACCAACTTCATAACTTCATCAACAGTCCACATTCTCTGATGCTTTCTCCTGTCACTTCTGGTTCTGGATGTTTTTGTTACAGAAATGTCATCTTCTTTCTCCGATGAAGTTAGTTGATCATCAGAAAATGTATTCTCCTGCAAATATCAAATGGTTGGTTTACATAAATTATATAAAAAAATGGGACAACTCTGTAGTCTTGAAGAGTAAGACAAACCGTTGAAGTATGCATGTATTTCTTCATAGGTCCTTTCCGGGGCCTGAAGCCATAGGACACACAAGACATTCTTTCACCAGAAGAATTTATTCTGCAACATTAAAAATGAGAGTTCACTAGGAAATCTGATGTCTGTGATTATATATATTCAGAATACGACTTTAAGCACATACTATTACCTACTATAAGCGGTGTTGGACAAATTCTTCTTCCGATTCTTGCCTCGTTTAACCCAAGAGCCTATAAAAGTGGATAGTGGTTTATTGTCATCTTCTGACTCATTTGAATCCAAACTATCTTTAACTCTTTCATTGGATGCATTCTGATTCGGGGATTCAGCATGTGGAGCAGTTTCTTTTGATGACTCTGAGATGCTTCCACTTATTCCAGGAGAATTAGATGAACGGTTGTTCTTAAGACCATAGGGGTCACCATCTAATTCAGATACATTCTTCTTGACTTCAGTTTCTGCAAGTGAAAAATAGAGCACATAAAATTGTAAACCATATATTCCTCAGATGCACTAGGATGATAGAATCACATAAAATTTACCTGGAAAGATATGGTTACCGATAGAAGAAAGATCATGTGATGCGTATATATCTTCCACTTCTTCAACTTCATCGAGAAAGCCATCAAGAATCTACGAGATGATAGAAAACTTTCATTTGAAGAATGAATCAAGAAAGAAACCATGGAATAGAGACTAGAGAGCATAAAGAGAACACATACTTCGAACTTTAAACCTGCTCCCACATCTTGAGTGCTACAAGAGTTTAGTCCACCTAATATAATAAAATGAAAGAGAACTCTAGCATGAACAAAATGTTCCCATTTACAAAAGACTACAAAGCATTCAACACAAGTGCACTGTAACTGATTTACCATAATCTGGGAGAAAGCTAAAGTCAAATCCATGAGAGAATTCATCCATCGTGGAGCTTAAGCCCATATTCTCCATGCCGAGCCCTAAGAAACTGTCAACCGCGGTATTGTCATGTTTAGGTTCCATAATAAAAATGCTTTTATACTAGTCGTTGAATGGCAAACATTCTCATCAACCTATAAAGAAAAGAGAATATATAAGAAAAGGAAAAGATGAATAAGTCATGAGGAAAATTCATCATAATCTACAACATAAACCAAGAAACACAAGTGAAGGAGAAGCAGATAAATCCACACTCTCACAGTTGAATCCAAAAGTTTCAGGAAAACGGGGTGTCACTCCAGTCCATCCCAAAAGTCAAGTACACATGTTATAAACAGTACAAAATCACAAGTATGTCACAAATAATTGAACAGAACCGGACAATGTTGCCCATAAACCACAATCTCAACTTACATGCTAGATTCACAAAACGAGATCTCAAATTCTCATATGAAAAAGAAAAAAATCAATCAATCAGGCATGTGTTCCCGCAATCAATAGATTCATTCATCATACAAGCAAACAACAAATCTACAAACATGAAACATGTTCTCTGAAACATATTAAAAAATATATACTTTTGCCTAAAATCTAGAAGAAAACAATAAACAAAGAATGTAAAATCTACTTCTTAGAGAAGAGCAAAGACAGACATTCTAAGGCAATATACAGTATTAAAGAAAACTATCTATTTATCTATTTTGTCGGATGATCTCAGAGAAGAAGAAGGATAAACAGAAAAACCCCAAAAAGCAAATAAAAACCAAAACTTTCAGCTACAGAAGCGTATACTATAATGTTTTTTTACTACCTGTTTATTTTACACCAATCAAATTGCAAAATGCAATACACAAAGAAGAAAAAAATACAAATACTACGTATAAAGGTGGGCCAGAGAGTCACAGCTGTTACATTACACCACAGATTGAAGAAAAAAGAAAAATCTAAGCTGCTTAATAAGCTTATCTTCCTTAAACTAAAACCTGGAATTTTGAAGAAACTGAGAACAAAATCGAAGTAAATACAACTAGATTACGCATACATTACAAATCTATTTCAAAAAAAAAAAAAAAAAAAAAAAAAAAATCCTTAACTTGATAGGGATTATGGATAAGGAGTTAAGGACAATGTCAGAGACACATTAAAAAAAAAAAAAGTACCAAACAGAGACGTCGAGAGGAGAAGAAAGAAGAAGGAAGGAACACTGACGGAGGGAGGTGAATGGCGACGACTGTTGATTGTTTGGACTGAATGATGGATTTTTAATTTTGTTTTCCTTTTTTGGTTTTATGTGTTTTGGTTTTTCTTGACCGGATTCCAAAAGCTGATTTATATTTAGTTTTGAAATCCAAAAAAAATGACGTAAGGCAAAGGCACCTTCGTCTTCGTGTAAGTAAAATAATAAAATGTAATATAACGTGCGTTTCAAGTCCGCAACGATGACAGATGTTGTTCATGGCCTTCTACTGTTATATTGCTCATCGTCTTTGCTTACTCGGATAACGGAAAAGTTTAGATTCTTTTTCACGACGTTTACTGACTCCTTATTTCACACAGACGTCTGTTCGTTCCAAAGGAATAAAATATGGGCCTTTCGTATTAAGTCAAAGGCCCACCCAATTCAGAAGTAAAGGTCGGCGACAAAGATTAAAAACCACGTGTCGTTTTCAGGGATTGCTCGAGGGGGCTTGTACACTGTTTTTTGTTTTATAGAAACCGTTTTCTTGCTGAGCTAAACATAGTCTGAATAGATTGAGAGTGGAGACTTAAGATTGGCCTTGGGTTACTTGGACGCCAGGAATATCCCCACCGGATATTAAACCTCTGATCTTCACATCATAGTAAACTTCTTCCACTCTTCTCAGGTCATACTTCATACCTGTCACAGTTCAATTATACAAACAATATTTTTATGTTACTACTTACAATCTCACTCTCAGCTAAGCAAATGGAGAACAAGAGCAGTCAGATGAGGGAGATGCGACTTACTGTCGAATTTCTTGCGCAGAAAATCGTTCCTGAGATTCAGCATGCGAAAGGCTGCGTGAAGATCCGTCAAGAAATTCATCACCTTTCTCGGGCAGTCGTAGTCTCCTGCTGTCACTCGATTTACCACGTACCTAGGCTGCTCAAACATTGCATCATCCCAGAAAAATGATTTAGCAAAATTCCCATTTTTGCATTTTTCTAACCGTTTTTCATTAGTTGCTATCAACTAGGATGCTAATAAAGTAAGAATTAGGGATGAAAACTGATCTTACAAGATCATTTGACATGAAACAGATTCCTGCAAAGTATTCAAAAAGCTGAAGATCAGAATATAAAAGTAATGTTGCTATTCATTAAATACTCAGGGGCTTATTTGATCTATAGATTAGGGGTTCTTTCTCAGAAACATACCAGTCAGATAATCTTCAGTCTCCAATCCAAACTCCAGACTGTTCACTGATATACAATGAAGTGGAATTAGAAGAAACATTCTGCTTAAATTCAACAAAAGAGAAAAGTACTTTGGCAAAATTACAATTCCAGATTTCAAACAAAACAATACTTTGGAGAATGGTCTATTCTACACCAACATTATGCAAATTCAACCTTCGCATCATTATCGCATCTGTATCTATCCTAAGGGAGTATAACTGAGTTTGTGGAAAACAGTAATAAATCCCTCAATTGAGGTGAAAGATCAAATCTAAGCAAAATGATTGACACTAAAATGGATAAAATGCAGGCTGAAACAAAGCCTTGGCATAAAATCAATTGCAAAGAGTAAGACTAAGGTAGATAACTTAACAAACTAATAAGGGATCATAAGAGAGTCAATTAACTGTAAAAGAGAAGAAGACTATTGGCAAACTGAATCTGATTATTGAGAAAAGTAGACTCGTTCATTATTGTGAGTTTTTCTAAAGTCTGTGAGAGAACCAGCAAGAATCAGGTTATGTTCTGATGCAACCACTAGGCCATGATATATACTGAAAGCAAGAAAAATAATAAACTGAGATCCAGAGACATACACCCAAGTTTTTCTTCAGCTTCCGTATGCACAAGAAGAGTTCCAGTTTCTAGCCAGTGCATAAAAGCAAGCTGGGAGACCACTGCTTGTGTTTCACTTCTCCAGTCTCCATGGTACCTAAATTACAAAACCTTTTATCACTAAATCCTTGCAGAAAATGCATTCCAAATACAAAAATGTACTACATCTGACTATCAACTTTACCTATAGTACTGTCCAGGACACTCCCGAAGAATCTCAGCAAGCCGGCCGTAAAACTTCTTCAAATCATTGATTTTTTCCTTAGATTTCTCGATAACCTCTGATATCCATCAACAGAAATGAGCAATCTTATTAGTTTCTCAATAACAAGTACGCAATTTCTTCATTTTCAGTTACTTCCCTTCAAAGAGAACTTCATCACCAAAGTTCAGAACCCAGCAAGCAATTTCAAAAATTAAGCTAAAGGATGCAATTTTCAACCTATTTAGTTCCAACATTTTTCAAATACAAAGACCCAGAGACTAATAATGTACCAGGAATAGGTCGTGACTGGTGAACGAGAAGAAGATTAGCTTGAATGAGCCTAGTAGCGGACTCAATCTCCATAACCACAGCACGAATCTGCTCTCTCAAAGCAGCAGATTCTTCCAATTGAACACGGAAACTGTCGAACTGTTTCTCAAGCGAATGAGAGCCTTGACCATCTCCTCCCGCCATAGGAATGCAGAAAGAAGAAATTGAGCAGAAAGGGAAGGAAGATGAAGGAGACACCGAGTTTCGATGCCGGAGAGGATTGGAACGCCGAGGAGAAGCGTCGCCGGAACAGAGAGGAAGGAAATGGAGAATCGAAGAAGAAGAAAAGGGCTTAGGGTTTATCAAACGAGACGCAGTCAAGTGAGCGTTTCTAAACGCCGAACTCATCATCGTGTTTTTCTTAAAGTTACGCCGCTTCAGTTTCTCTTTCCGCCACCATCTTTGGATTTATGAACCGATTAAACCGGGTCATATTAACCAAACCGAATTGAATTGAACATAAACCGAATTCTTTGTAATTAATCACCATTATCTAAAATAATTTACCAAATGAAAAAATATTCTATGCGAAGGACAAATTATGATCCAAAACGAAATTTAAACAGGATCACAATTAACAAACCGGATTGAGATTGAGATATACCAAAGTAAAGTACGGTAGAACTTGTAAATTCGGAAACTGGAAATTGGAAATTTCTAATTCTACTTATATAACTCAGTTATAATAATGTACCAATAGTACAACTTCGTTACAAGATTTAATTTGTATCTACAAAAATGTACTCATTTTTTAAAACCGCATGGGTAAATTAGATTACTTTTTCTGGAATGTAACCATGCAGAAGTAAGCTATGAATCGGCAAATTAGTCCCATGAGAACGAGAACAATGAGACATAATATCCAATCACTAAGATCATATCCGTTTTGTGACAATGAGCTGCATCTCGTCACCACCCATACTCCAGAGTACCTAAACCAACAATAATATCCAAAATCAAACAAAAATAATATATGTGATAGAAAGAAAAATAATAAAACCTTTATCTACCTTTGAGCATTGGAAAGGACAAAAGCTTCAAGAGTCCATTTCGGGTAGCAGAAGCTTCCGAGATACTTAAGAACCATGCTTTCTTTATCTTGATTCGCGATGAGAGTCATAACAACGGGTACTAACACCGACAACTGCAAATATAATAACCACAAAATGTATCATATTGTTAGTCGAAGGTTTCGGTAGCTTATTTTAATGGATTATCAGAAAGTGGATACAAACCAGTTGGGCTGCACTAGGATTATACAAGATGGCAAATATGTAAGCCATGCCTGTTACGCAGTAGACCAAGCAGACTAGTACAATGTAGTTGTCTTCGAAACTAGATCTCGGGTTGTTGAAGAAGTAGAACATGGACAAGTACACTAAAGGTTTCATAAATGTGTTCAAATGGTCCATTGTGTCTTTAGCCATAAAATGTGCCAAACTACTGATTCCAGCGGCACTTTCTCTCCAATATTGTAATTTATCTACAGAGAAAGATCTCAACGCTGAGATCTTACACAAAAGAGCTACAAAACAAGAAAGATATAGAAAAATATATATTAGCTAAGTATCCAAAAATCTCGAATTCTCATGAATATATATATCAGTCAATATTTGTCTACTTGTTGAAAAACTTACAGACGGCTATAATCGTGTATGTGTAGCCAAGTGTATCAATAGTCTCGTCGTTCACCTTAGCAAGAGTTCCTAAACAAGCTCCTGCAACTAATAATATTAGGAAATCTAACGCTTGTAGTCTTGCTTCTCTAAGTCGTTGTTTTCCAACCCTGAAATAAATAGACTAAAGTTTTAATGTACATATAACAAAACTAGTGACCACAAAATTTCGTTATGACAAATTAACAAAATCATACCTTCCAACAAAATATCTATATTGTCGACCTACGGTAGGAGTTACTCGATTAGAATTGTCATGAGAGTTGGAGTAATTGTGTTGCAACTGATCTTTCGTGATCTCGACATTAGTTTTCACATCTTGCCATAAATCATTACTAAAAGAGTTATGAGAGGATTCATCTTGAGCTGTTCCAGATGATGATGAAGGGAGTCCATCACAAAACTTCAACATATCATGAGGCACAGGGTAACCATTGTGCAACATCCATCTCACAGGAAGCTGTTCCACTGTTATATCACCATTTGGTTTCACTATGCCTTCAAGAATATCTATATAATGATCAGGAGGATTGACACGATCCGGTACGGTGATCCCGATATCAGCAAAATAATCTTCTATTTTTTTCACGGATCCATGGTACACGGTGAGGCCACCTTTTGCTAGTATTATCATGTCATCGAACATTTTGTACATTGTATAACTGATGAGAGAAGAAGAAAAAAGCATATTATTGAGTTAACAATGTTAGTAAAATCTATATTCGTTTCATAACTAATTCATTGTGGAGATAATGTACCTAGGCTGATGCACGACCATACATATGTTAACTCCTTCAAGTGCTTCACGTCGAAGTGCTCTAAGAAGTAACTGTGAAGATGCACTATCTAAACCTGTAGTGGGTTCATCTAATATCAATAGAGAAGGTTCCATGACCATTTCCACACCAACGTTCACTCGCTTCCTTTGCCCTCCAGAGATTCCTCTTTTCTCTACCGTACCAACCAACGAGTCCCTTACATGTTGTAGTCCTAAGCTTTCAATCACTCTTTCAATGATCAACACTTTGTCTGCTTTTGACATATAAGCACTTAATCTGCATGTAAGTAAAACATATATACATAAATAAACAATATGCAACGTTTTTATAGTATAAACTCAATATGATAGTAAGAAAAATTTAACCAAATATTTTTATATCCTCTCTATGTTATGTGCTGGTTATGAGAATAAGTTTACCATGGTTTACCTGCATCTTGCGCTAAATCGAAGGTTCTCCTCGACGGTAAGATTCCCATGCACTACATCATCTTGTGGAACAAATCCAGTGATCTTCTTGTATGAGTTTATGGATTCATTTCTGCCATTTATGAGGATTAGACCAGTCCTCGTACATCCAGTTGCCTTTCCTGCCAAGGCAGAAAGAAATGTAGTTTTCCCAGCTCCTGATGGACCCATGACGGCAGAGACACGACCTGGCATGATCTTTCCCGTAACAGATCTCAATATATGCTTATGTTTACCCTTCAATGTAAGAGTTAAGTCCTTAAACGCAACTTCTATAACAGGTCTAGTCCTCATATCATTGTCAGTGGCCATTGAAATGACTCCAGAGAATGTCAAGTTCTGGTTGTTTTGCTCCATAGCTTTCTCTTTCTCAATCTGACCATATGCATACTTGAAAATCTGGCTCTGAGTATGTAGTTGTTTACCCTTTGGAGCTTGTGGCTTCTTCCCATGCTTACTAGTACCAGTCCCTACGTTAAACCCTTCGTTGTTACTCGGGTTCTCCTCCATTGATTTCATCATCTTGGTTAGATTACTTGCTTCTTTTTTCTTGTCTTTTGACTTTCCAGAAGCTTTAGCTGGTGCAGCATCCTTCCTAGCAGATTTCATGCGAGAAAATGTCTGAGATAGCTGTGCAGACAATCCCATCTTTTGGTTCTTGGCAACATCTTTTGCAGTTTTCCACCTTTCTCGAGCTTGTGTTGTTTCTTTTGCGTGTCTTGCTGCAGCTTCTCTTGATTTTGCTTGTCTTTTTTCTCGAGTGGCAAGAACTTGATCAGAACAGTTATAAACCATGATCATCACAAGACTTAGTGATGCCTACATACACAATAACCAAAATATAATTCCCAACAAATTTTAAAGAAATAATGTGTTCTCTAGTTAACAACTTACAATTAAGATAGCTCCGTAGGCATGAATATTTTGGTTTGCCGTATTCGGATTACACGTTGCGAGCTTGAAACATGCTAAAACAGTCACCAAAAATATAGATCAACTTCAATTGTAATCTATTTAAAAAGATCATATGATAAAACAATATATTTTTCTTGGGTTTTAGAAACTTACGTTTTTGTGAAGTAGAACCTTGTCGGCAGTAATGCCTGAGTAAACACATTTTATCAACTCATTAACTATGTATATGACCAAAACATTAGTTGACAAAAAAAGGAAAATATATGTTCTTTTATCGTCACATTTACATCCTTCATGTAACTAAAATGATGAATACTTTACATATGAAACACAAAAGTAAAGAGAGTTGTGAGATAAAAGAATCAATACCCACTACTACAAGTGACCTTTCGAATTGTTGTTGGGCAATATGAACCTGGAGAACAAAACATATCACCACTGCTCTCCGCATCAACCCAACTGTCTGCTGAACCACATGTATGGTTCAATTTCCCCGGAGGAATCTGGTAATTATATCTGAAATGAAAAAAATACTCTTTAATTAATCATCCACTAATATCAATCTTCATTACTTTAGCAAATTACTCCAGAGAATTAAATTAACAACGAACTTACGGCTCGCAAATTCCTGTTGCTTTATTAAGCTTGGCAAGCGGGCAATATGCGCCTAATGGACACGCTTCATTTACATAAGTCAGAGAACAAAACAACAATGAGTATGTTAGGTTTGAAGTTGTTGGTATTCAAAATGTTGATATATATAATTAGGTGAGTATGTGATTTTCTTACGTATCATGCAAGCAAGACCTTGTGGACAAAAGAAGCCCTCACAACAAGGTTGACATTTACGAGTTCTAGAGGGAAGAACTTTTCCATTGTTGAGATCGAATCTCTTATCGTCATCCGCATTGCAACTCCATCCTGGCTCGCATCCGGAAACCCATTTAGCTAAATTGCAGTTGATGTTAGGCTTTACATGAACCGTTGTTGCTTCATCTCTTCTAACAAAACTACTAAAGTAGAACTTTATCTCAGCAGCTGTACATAGTCTAATTGTTAGGTCACCTGCATGACAAGAACATTAAATCTCAATATTCATGTACTTAATTGACTCAAAAATAATCATTTATCTTGTTTACCTTCAGTTTTCTTGACACAGTTGCTTAAGAAGTCCAGATTATTATCAAAGTTGAATGCTTCATTCCAATCGTTCTTCCTGAATTATAAAATGTGATTGTATTGATCGGCTCAAATATGCATGGGACTAAATATATATATATATATACATTAGCGGATTTAATGAAAATATATATACTTACAAATTTTTGATGCAGTATCCTAAATCTCGATCAACGTCAGCCTTTAAGACGTTCTTTAGATTCTGAAGTCGACCATATATAAGGTTTGTAACGGAAACAAGAACTTTTGGGTTCCCTGTTTTGCTATAGTCATCTCCGTCGAGGCATAATGACAAAGATATAAAACTCAACCAAAAAACAAAGAACAATAAGATGTGTTGTGTCCGACAACCATCAACCCTAACTCTCATTGTTCTTAATCAAAGTATTGACTCTTGATATCGAAATCGAACCTCCCGAACTGAAATATTTGAATTTTCTGAGCAAACAATGGAATAATAGAAACATTGGAAGCTACCAATCGAAATATTTGTAGAGATGTCTTGTGTATATTTCTATCATGTCTTGAGAACCAAACGTCAATATGGTCACAAAGAGAACGAGCTTGTTGCAAAAAAATTTTGGAAATCTTGAAATGAGGACGTTTGAGATCCAAAGTTTTGAAAAATGATAGAGACTTGTGTGAAAAGAGAGAGTTGAGAAGGGTCATCGTAAGAGTCATGGAAGGAGGTCCAGATTTCTAGCAAATTAATAATATGGCAGAGAAAAATGAATGGTTTCTTACAACTTATTTACCAAATATAGAAATAGGTATACTATATTGGAGGAGCATGACAAAGTGGAGTTTTTGGATTTCATTACGACACTTTTTGCGAATTATATATATTCTTGTAAAATTGATAAGCGTTATAAAAATGGCAAAAGCAACAAATCAATATATAGAGGGAGATGAAAACCATATACTACAACCTCTTGTATCTCCCGTTAGGAAAAGAAGTGCTTATTAAAAGCAGTCGTAACAACACCTTATCTTGTTGACAAAAGAACGAAACACCTTATCTTGTATCTTTTTTTTTTTTAATCAAATCTTGTATCTTTTAAAATTTGAATTGTAATTAAAAAAAAAAATCAATTTTTATATAATAAGATGTTCAATTTTTGTTGACATATGTTATAATTCTACAGTTTTATAAGGATTATAATTTAAATAAGAAATTTGAAATCTGTACAATTTTTTTTAAATAATTGAAACAAAATCGATATATCAATTTAGAAATCAATCTACCATAACATAAGTCAACTATTTTAATAAGTCAGTGGAGCAGAAAACTAAGTCTACTGAAATTAAAAAAAATAAGGGAAAATTTCAAAAAACTAAATTTATCTATAAATTTAAATTGAAGAAAATAAGTCTACAATTAAATAAAAATTATATATATATTTTTAATTATATAATTTTCAATTACTTATTTTGAATAAAATTTAGTGAAAGTAATAGTTTATAGAATCACAATTTGGCAAAACACGTAAAGTTTGGCAATCGCATAAACTTTGGAAGATTGCTTCTTCTTTTCTCTTCTTTCTTTCCGGGCCAATAAATATTTACTCTTATTTGATTCTCTTTTAATTTCTTTCAAAGCTAAAAAGGATACTGTAAATTCATTATTTTTTTTATTTTTTTTTGTGTGTGTGTGTGTGTTTGAAATTTCCACTTAATAAATCATTGTTACCTTTGTTGAACTTTAATTTCTTTACGATCAACTTTGGGGAATTCTGTTAAATACAATTGAAAAGGGTATTGTTTTCAAAAATAGCATTATGAGTTTTATTTTCCAAAATTATAACTAAAATATATTTTTTCCAAAAATACTACAAAATTAAATCTAACATTTTTAACATTCAAAACTAATTTCTAAATCCTAAATATTAAAACCATATCCCTAAAAACTATACCCTAAATATAAATAGTCAACCCAAAAATAAAATTAAAAAATTCTATACCTTCGAAATTCAGATTTTTATGTTTATGATATTTTTTGGAAAATAAAATTTTTGTGGTATTTTTGGAATAAAAAAACAAACTGTGATATTTTTGGAAAAAAAACTTAAAATGTGCTATCCAAGGGAATTTCTCTTAAACTTTCGCTAAATGATATTTTTTAATACATAAATATTTTTTTAGTTCTCATAAGAAATATGGATATAGAGTAGAAAAAATATAGTATAATTAGTCAACTTTTATTTCTCTTCCAAATGGTCGATACATATTTTAATTCATTAATCATCAAGTACCACAATTTCCACCTGGTCCTCCAAAAGAAAAAGATACCCCAATCGACTTTACATAGCCCCAGTACATTAGTCTATAGCATTTGTAAGAATCTGAATATTGTCTTAATTTTCTATCTTCAATATCAACGGATTGATATTTCAAATTCCAAACTTTAACATGCAAAAAATGTGAGGTTGTTTTAAAGTTTATATGCGGAAAATGACCATTTCCCATTGGAGGACTAATTCCGTCCAAAGATGTAAATGTATTTCCTCCATAACGTACCAAAGAAGCTCCTTTGTTTAAATGTGTAAATAACTCTTTGGGCCAGTATCCAATTAGTTTATCAAAAACTTTTAGTGCCCAGTTTCCAGTGAAACCATCCTGATAAGTATTAAATCATAACAAAAGTATATTAGACAAAAATTTTAAAATTTATAAGTACATATGTGACATCAAGAAATTCTACCAAATAATTATACAAAAATTATTTTAATCCAAAACTTGAAAATAATATATAGTAGATAAATTTTTACCTGAATAATTTTCGCGTAAAAACCAACTGTTTGTTTACCATAAATAGAAGATGTATCAAATACACTTCCAACCCAGGGTTCTCGAGTAACAAGAATAAAGCCAGGACATTTTATATTATAACATCCAGTTTTTTTATAGCCATCTGCCTAATAAATTAAAAAAAAAAATTAAAGGGTAAAAGCTCATGCAAAAAAAAAAAAGTTAAGGCAAACCCTTTATCCGTTTGCCATGTATAAAGAAACGTTATTAAAAAGTAATTAATTTACTCACAGTCCAATATATTGTAAATCGCGCCAAACTATCACCATATAATCTTGGATGCACCTATTAAAAAAACATGAAAAAACAGAAAATTTCAGATATAAGTATGAAAATGTTTGTTTCAAAAAATGTATACTCAAACTCTATTTCTCCAATATATCATGTTGAGTCTTATAAACTAGATCACCACAAAGTTATCTTCTTGTATTATGAGTAATCATTCTATAATTTTGAAAGAATTATTTTAATTGATTATATGCTCATAGATATAATTAAATATGTTTATCTATTATATTATGTAAATGTATTATATATAAAATTGAAGTAAACATGTTGTTTTATAAAAATGATAACAACTTACCGCCCAACCAACTTGTATGCTGTTGAGTTGATCGCGAGGTCCGTTCTCTAACCAAATTTGACTTTTACTATATTGGTTATTTTGTAGTGTTAAATTATGAACACTTATCCCAGCTTCTACTCCTCGATATATGCTCCCATCCAAAACAGTCTCAATTGTTGCAAACTGTATATGACATAAATAAAAATGTTGACACTTTTACTAAATTTTGCATGTCTTATAATCACAACACACTAGAAAGAAGAAAAGAACTTGACTGATATAACCTTTTTTTGTGTTGTGAATAAGATAAAATGTCATATGGGATGATATAGATATTTCAATAAAACTATGTTAACAGAGGAAAACATACATGTTGGCCGGGGTACTCAACCGTGTCAAGATGAATGCTCTCGGTTCCATTTCTTTGCCTTAAAATTGGTACTGTTCCTTTTGGACAACTTTGATTATTTATTTTATACTTATAAATTCTTGTTCGGCTTTCATTTGAGAGAAATTGTTCCTAGCACATAACACAAGAATAACAATTTTAAGTTAAAAAATAAAATTACAATAAATTATTCTCTATCAAAAATATATTTTTGCCGTATATCAATAAAAACGTAAATTATCATACCGGAATCTTGTGGTGTTTCAACAATGGATGTTCGAAAGCTGGTTGTTTATATATATTAACACAATCAAAATCCTGTAAAATCAATTATGACTTAAGAAATCAAAAATATTATTATAAAAAGAAAAAAAATCCAAATTCATACGTAAATAGTGGACAAACAAAATAAAAGTGATTAGAATCTCACATCAATGATTCCATCGGCCGCTAACGTTAAAAACATATAAGAAGCAAGAACTAGCACAAGATGTAAACCCATTGTTAATTTTTACTCTTTGTTCTCCATTGATAATTTAAGTATACATATATATATATATATATATATATATATATATATATATATATATATAACAATAGTGAGTAGTAACGTCTAAGAAATTTGTTGCTAATCATATCTCGTCACATTTTATAAACCTACCAAAAGTGTCAAATACAAAGATTTGACTGTTGACTATAGTAAATTTAATATTAATTTTGGGTCAACCATAATAAATTTGCTTCTAGTCTTATCACTTCACCTTTATAACCTACCTAAAGTGTCAATACAAAAGATATACTTGTTACACTAATTTGATCAACATCAAATAAATTTATTTAGTCAATAATTATATAATTCATCTAATATAAAGTTTTCATAAGTGACTAATACAATTATTTAATTATAAAGACAAAAATATTAAAGAGAAAATGAAAAAAACATAAACTTTTAAATTTGGAAAAAAAATAATATCAAATTTCAAAATTTCATTTAAATCACAAAGTTTGGTTTGAATTTTTGATACATTAGTCAAGTATTGTTGATTTGACCATTTTAGTATGACAAATGTATCAAAAATGACTAATGTATTTGACCATGGTCATAGCAATAAGTTTAGAATCAATTATGACTAGCAATAAGTTTTGTTGATTTGACCATTTTAGTATGAATAATGTATTTGACCATGGTCATAGCAATAAGTTTAGAATTAATTATGACTAGCAATAAGTTTAGAATATTTGACCATTTTAGTATGACTAATGTATTTGATCATGGTCATAGCAATAAGTTTAGAATCAATTATGACTAGCAATAAGTTTAGAATCTTATTTAGACTAAATGGAGATTGTTAACAGAAAGTTATTGCTAGTCATATCACTATCCTCTAATAATTCCGCCAAATGTGTCAAATACGAAAATCAATTTAATATAGTTGTAAAATTACATTTTTTTTAAGGTCTAGTAATTCTTCTAGATAAAGTGATAATTTTCTAAACTAAAAACGAAATAGGTATTGGACTGCTAATGTATATGTTGAACTAAAATTCTTTTCAAGTATCGAATGTTTTTAGTAGAATATTATTTGATGGTTGAATATTTCATCAAAATTTAAATTATTTTAAACAAAAATAACTAAAAACATATATTTTATTAATTTTTGTACATGAATGACAATGTCCTCAGCATAGATGAATGAATATATGAGTTTTCATTACAAAAAAAAAAAAAAAGTACAATTTTTTTTGTTTTTACATTTACAAGAAAGGTCTGCAATATATATTAGATGAACGTATCCATGTTCATGCAGAATGAAGTGCAAATGTATACGGAAGATGATTAATGTGTTAACGTGAAAACAACTGATCTTATGCAATTAAATTAAACAACAACAAAAAGAAAAAGGTGATCTTATGCAAACTTCAGAGAAACGATACCCAAATAAATTACAAAATGTTTTGCATTATCCAAATAATGATATTCGATTGCATTTTAAAACCGAATAAACACAAAATTCAAATTACCTATCTATCAGTGTAAATCCGTTAGCCGTTATATACGTTGATCTAAACGGTGTTAACCATCCGTTAGTCAACCATTTAGTTGTGCTCAGTCAGAGTCAGACATGTGACATGGATTTTGGCTAGATAAAAGACGCTATATATATATAGAATATTCAAACTTGAGTATTTCACTTATATTGTAACAAGATATGTATAGAAACATTCAATAGCTCAGCTGATTTGGTTTCAGATGCTGTTTTTTTTTGTTATTGTTTCTGATTATGCCTTTGAACAATCATTTCAATGTAGACAGGTGTAACTGGAAATCTGTTGGAAGATAGAAGAATACAAACACAGTGAACACAATTCAAACACATCGATTCAAAACCTTTTTTTTAGCCTCTTGTACAGGAGCATCTAAGATATATAGCATTTTTTCCCCCTCTGTATCTCTTCAGAGCAGCTGATTAGAAAGAAAGAAAAAAAAAAGTCCCAATAGAGAGAGATTTGATTGATCCTTTCAAAACATCAGAATGGGCAGTATTCCTATTATAGATGGAGCAAAGCCTATATTGGATAGTAGTTTCCATTGAGGGGGAAGAAGAAACACAAGGCAGTAGAAGAGCAGGAGTACCAGTGCATATGCCCCTTTTTGCTACTCGTATGAGTCACAGAGATCATCATGACCATTGTAATAACATTACTGTGTCGACAAGTACGGATGCCATATCGGCTAGCTAGTACATGCGACTTAATTAGTTATACTAGCTAAACCTATCAAAAAGCGGGACATAAGAAGAAGTTCTTCGACTTTTTTTTATTCAGGATCTCCTCCAAATCATCTTAGCACTCCAATATATGAACACATCGATGGTCGCCAAATCATTTCATGCATGTCACCATGTGTCTTTGATAAGAATAGACTCATCTATGTACTTGTTGCTTCGCTTCTAAGATTCATATTCATTACTATACAAGATTGTTTCCTTAAAATCTTTAATAATTAATACAAAAACACACAGTTTCAAAAAAATTTGCTGAAAAGTATGTTAAACTTATGTATTACATATGTTTGTGTCTGGATTACTTTGGTTCAAGAGCCTTTTGGAATACATGAATTATGATTTGTTTATCTTTTCCCCTTGGTGTAGTAGATTCTGATTTCCTTTTGTGTAACACATGAATTATGATTTACTTTGGTTCAATTCTTTGTAAGTCTCAGCTTTGGCTATAATCTGACACAGACAAAACTTCTTCAAGCTCTGTTTCATGACAGATCCAAATCCTTTTTTTTTCTTTTTTTCTGCTTGTTGTTCTCTCTATAAGTGTTTCTTTTTCCCAAAAAAAAAAGGTCTAATGTGGAGAAAAGGAGATTAGAGAATAAAAAAAAAAAAAAAAGAGAGAAAGCAAATCAGGTACTTAAACGTGT